TTTTTACCGGCCAACATTTACCGACCGATAGCGTATTAATCAACTTCTTTACCGACCAACGCTTACCGACCGATAGCCGATTAATCAACCGCTACCGGTCGGTAAAGTGTTAAGATAGGCATCCAAAATTTGAGATATTTTATTTTGACGAGATTATCAACGGATGTTGGAAATTTTAAAGGATATGCGTTTTTGACGTTGAACTGCTCGTATGCTAGTAGCATTTACCCTCGTGTTCCGGCGGTTTCACAGTGTCTCGGGATTGTGTTAAGAATGTGGTAAGTATGTGTGCCGTGAAGCGACGGCTTAGCAACAGACCGCCGACGAACAAAGCAATATCCTTGTAACGCTTTAAAGAAGAAACGTGTGTCCGCGACAAATAGAATTTACTTTCTATCGAAGTCGATTTTCTATCTTGTCGCGTAAAATTTTTAAACAAAATTTTCAATTATCGTGCCTCCGATCCGTCGACGAGGATCGAAACTAATTTCGATAAGTTTGCTCGTGTCCTATAAAAACTTGTGAAACATCGTGAATAGGAAAAAATGGTTCGAACAAATGTTATTCAGTTTGATGAGAACTATAATAATTCCATATTTTTTAAACCTTTTGGGGCTTTTTCCTCTGAACTGTTGCTTTGCCAAAAATATGTTAGTTACTAGAAAATTGATTTCTCTGGAACATTTAATTAATTTAAAAAAAATGAATATTTCTCTGTTTTATTCTGAGAAAACTCGTGACGCTTTATTCGATGGACTCTGTATGTTTGCAGTGGTGTAGCTATAATAATTGGTATAAGTAGAAGTCTTGCACAAGTACCAAAGAGTAATTTTTATTTAACGTTAGCTACCTAAGAGACACACACGTAGTATTTGTAGCGTAGATCTATGATAAACGATTGAAAAAGTATTTGCAAATAAAAGCGATTATCAAATAACCGAGTTTCTGTTTCTTGATATCGAACCCATCTGCGAATAATTCGCATTTTTTTCTAAAAATGTCCCACAATCCCTTTTATACGTTCCAATTGCGCATAATTCGCGATTACCATCGTTGCAAATCATTTTTCATTCGGTTCACGAAGTCACAAGTTGATTCGTTTTGCAATTCTCATGCTTTACACACCCATATTTTTTCAAACGAAATTCTTCGGAAAAATTTGAAGCAAAAGAATTGATCGTTTTGGAGGCTTACAGTGGTATAATTAATTATATCTTCGAAAGTGTCGAGTGTCTCATGTTTCATACATATCATTAGGCATCCAATTACATTTCTACTTGTACCCCAAGATTTGTATGTGTTTCCTTGTTGTAGTAATGAAACCCAATTTACAAATCCACCTAATCTTGTCTCGATCAAATTATCAGGTCAATCAGGTACAAAATTTCTATACAAAATTTTTTCTTACAACGCATATTTTGGAAGTTACTGAGCTGCCCAAGTCACTTGGAACACCCTGTATAGTAATGAAATTTTGAACGAGTCACATTGGCTCGATTCGTAAATTCGTAAAATCGTTTGAAGATAGATACGAGACAAATAAAAAAAAAAAGTGTACGAGCTGGACTCGACATAGGATCGATCCGGTCGGAATGAAAATACTATGTCGAATCCATCTTGGGCGTATGGCACCGCGAGAGGGGGGTCAATTGGCCCGGGAGGACGTGTCGTCGGAGATAATTGCAAGAAATTTATGGAACACCGGTTGCTCCGGGTCTTTAATGCAAAATTCCCTGTACCGATGGCAGGGTGAGTCAGCTTGTTACAAGGGCCAGGACCAATCACAGGAGCGACGTTCCTGTCGGAGATGAGGTGCGACTGTTGCTATACGGTGGTACAGGTGGGTGGTGGCAGGGCCGGCGCGGAACGGGGTGCTCCGGGACCTCTAGACTAGATCGATAATGCATCTCTTGGCGGGCGTAGTTCCTCTTAGTCAGCGGTGATCGCTCCTGCGGCCAGATGTCCTGATCGTTTCCTCCTGGAACTCGTGAGTACCGGCGCTTTCCGACCAGAAACCGGAACCGTTGTTCCGCTACAGAAACAAGTTTCGGTGTCTCCTCTCCCCTGCTTTTGCTTGCTTGGCCCCCATTTTTTTATTTTCTCTCCCTACACCTGCGGTGGGTTTTTTTCGTTCCTTTTACCCGGCGAATACGATTCGAAAACAGGTTTTCGAGTTCCTATTTTCGGAGACTCCCTTGCTCCCTGACAAATTTCCCCCCGTCCACGAAATTTAACGCACCTGCGATGCACTTTCGTTCGTTTTTCCGTTTCGAGCTTTCCACCATCTTATCGTTCTTGCTAATATAGCCGTTGCAAAGTGTTTTTCGTTAGGCTTCTTAAGCTCTGATCGTTACCGTTGCAAAATGATAAAGGTTTCTAACGAATGCGAGCAGCCATTTCGACGTTCCAGGTATACTACTCGATAGTGTTCGGTGTTGAGTTCTGTGATGATTCGTTTCTTTTTTCCAACGGTCAAACTTTGTTTCGATAAGCAGACGTTTGTGTTAAAAAATATATTTCTGTGCCATTTATCGAGTCTACTGAAATACGATCGTACTCTGACTTACGTTTGTTCCATCAGATTTGTGTTTCATTTTATATAATTATAAATGTACTCTAAACTTTACTTCCCTGGTTGAATTTACTAAAGAATGGAGAACCCATCTTAATCTTATACAATGATAATACATATACGCATATATATTTGGTAAAACGTTATAATAAAAAATGTTGACGGTGTGAAATGCGTCTATTTCAAACGAAAGGCAACGGGCAGAAAAACTCATTTATGTTCGAACTGTTCCAGTAAAATGCATTGAAAAAGTTTGAACATATTTCTTAGCATTACGTGACTTCCAAAGTATTGTATTTTGGGGACTGACGTAACGTTTAACACGTTCCCTGCTATTACCACGTTCTATGGGATATTGAAGATAATCGGTTGCATTATTTATTATATTTGAAAGCGTATACACTATACCGAATAGGATTGCTATACAAATTGTATGTCGTGGTCTATGGTGAACGGTTTATGAACCGAATGGTGGTGAACGTGTTAAACGCGTAGGAAACGATAGTGAAATTTAATATTGTATTTTAAAACGTTATCCTTGGTGCAAGGTGATGTAACCTAGTGCCAGTGAATCTTATCGTTCAAGGAGCTTATGGATGTCATGCTTCTTGCATCTCCTCCTCAACTGGAGGATCCCCCTCCTTCTCAACAGAGAAGTCCTTACGCAGCTAATGGGGTGTGTGTGGCTGCGCGGCGCAGATGCGCAGAACGACCGTGTCGACGACCGCGTGATAGAAGCAAATGTGTCTAACCTAGACACGACCGACCGGGTACTAGCAGACCATTATGAATCGCTATGAAATAAGAACGGCGCGCTGTTAATAGCAACCGTGATATTTACAGTTTAAAAATAGATTCCGATCGACTCGAGGAACTGAGCCGCGATTCATTAAATATGTACAATGACGAGGTTTCGAGGACAAAGTTTTCTGGCGTTAAAGGATATGATCGAATAAGGGGGTCAAAAGTGGCCCCAAACCAAACTTATCGAGAGAAAACACTTTCTGCTAATTTTCAACCCAAAATCTTGACGGTGGAGGTAGCAAGTAAGGGGGTGATAAAGAAAATCATGTTAAATGAAAAAATGTGAAAAAATTCCAGAGCATGTGTCCCAATGTCTGAAATGTCTCTGAATTTTTGTACATTTTTACATTCGATAGGATAAAAAAAACTGCATAGAAACATGATTTTCTTTATCACCCCTTTATTTAGTACCCCCACCGTCAAGATTTCAGGTTAAAAATTAGCACAAAGTGTTTTCATACTGTCGATTTGGTTTAGGGGCACTTTTTTAACCCCTTTATTCGCCTGTACTCTTTGTCTGTTGCGCGGCGGCGACATAGCGATGCGGGCGAGCGCGCATCTAAGGCGGCGCAGGCACACGCCCATTCGAGCGCCTCGGCTGCGCGAAAACTCGAAACAATGCCAAGAAGGGGAAGCCCGAAGCGTGCCATTTCCCCCCGAGAAGGCAAGATAAATTAGTGGCGGGTGTACATCATCTACAAGGTTGGGAAGATGTATTTATTACACTAAGAATTTCGTAACGATATTAACGCATTCGGTACCAGCGTTTTAGTGGAACATTCCCTTGCCCAGACACTCTCGAGGGTCTCTTTCGGTGTCAGGGCCTTTTGAATCAATGTTGAATGGCACAAAATCCTTTGTCTTATTTTTTCTAATCTACACAAATTGAAATATTCACGTAGCAATATATAATAAATAAATAGTACTTTTCCAGAAAATGATAATTTAAATAAAATTATTTCAAATAAGGTGGATAGACCAAGTAACAAATAAAATACAAATTTTGATTCAATCATTTGAACAATATTTTATTTCGATAGTGTCCATATCCCTGTTTCATTGCAAACCTTCCAAAAAATCAATGAAGAATTTGCTTCGAAAAATGTATGGCGCAAATTCCTACGTCCAAACTCCTTGTTTGTTTTACAATTTTTTAGTCTGTGAGAATGGTGAAAAAAAAGTTTATACGCGTTTTTCTTCAAACTATATTGTTTTAATTTATTAATTCCGTATGCTTGTAATTGTAGTTTATACTAAATTATACATTTGCTTCAATTTTTTTGTAATTTACAAAAATGTTAAAAAATTAATTAACTGAATTTACTTTATTTTCAGGAATTTGTCAATGTGTTGGAAGAACAAAGTGTTGTCATTTTTTTAATTATTCACTCTTCTTTCGTTTCAAAAATATCGATCAATACGTATGAGAAAAAACCTAAAAATATTATTTTTTAACAATTTATGTTGAATTTCATTGGCACAACGATACGAATACACATGCTAATTAAAATGTATTTTTTACATAGATGTACAATGAATGTTTCTTTTTTTAAATTTTATTTTATTTGGCTATCTTGGTATAGAATGAATCGATTCTAAATTTTCTTTTGTTAATTCTTTGCAGAACCTCTTCAGCATGCACTGATCTCTGAAGCGGATAATGTAGCGGACAGCGAGGATTCGGAAGACGAGTGGAACTACTATCGTGTCGATCCAAACAAGGAAAAAGACTCCACCGCTCCTGTCGACAAACCGCAAGACGCGAGAAACGAAGAAAAAACCGAAAGTCCCGAACTTTCCGTCGAAGACAACGAGTTGAAAATCCAGTCAGAGGACATTGGGGAGGGTATTAAATGCGAAAGTCCGAAAAAAGAACCGTCTGAGCTTTTTAACATAGAGGTATGTTCTTTCCATAACTAAAATTTATTTAATCGAAAAGTTTAAGAGCTTCATTCATCAAAGTCTCATCGAGTCCTCAGACCAGAAAGCAAAGTACGAGTAAAATAACGTAAATGGCGTAAATTGACGCTAACATGGAGTCGTGTAAATATTAAGATTCATCTGTTGATTCAAATTTACTGTACAAGACGAAACCTATTTGCCCACAGATTAGCGCAGAGAGCAGAACGGTAGAAGAACACCAAGAAACGGATCCTTTCGCCGAAGAGCAAGAAGAACAATCGAAAGACATGGATTTTCAATTAAACCCGGATGCGGCCGAGTTCGTTCCAGTTTCGCCTCAATTCGTGGGACCGAGACTGACCATCGCCGACGACTTTCCTATTTCCGGTTCTCCATTGAAACAAGTATCTCAAATGGATGACATACAAGTGCCCAGCCAGAGCGAATTCGACAAGGAGATCTGTCAGCGACCGAGAGAGGTCGAAAACGAAGAGAAGGGTTATCAAAACGGCGTGAACGCGCAGTCGATCGACGACGCGGACTACATGGCCGATCGATCGAAAGCTCCCGGTTTCTGCATGAACCTGGACGACTCCGAGATCTCGTCGATGAAGGCGGAATTCGGCGACGAGTCGTCGACCAGCTTCTTGACGAGCACCACCGACCTGCACAGGACCGGCATGTCCACGGTGGACGAGTCGTTCTCGAGTTCCGAACGCGACTACGACATCTCGAAAGACCCTATGGCCATGTCGTTCACGCCTAGCGATTTCGAGGCGGCGTTCGACAAGGACGTCGACTTGAACGCCGTGCACAATATCAGCAATATCGACTTGGAGGACAAGCACTGCATCATCGAGGAGGAAGTACCCGCTGCCCAATCGCCGGAACTACACCCCGAGCTGACGAACCTGGCTTCTCCGGAAGCTGAACAGCCAACGCACACGCCTGCCTTCCCCGGGGAGCCCGCCGAGCTCGTGAACCTGTCCTCGCAGCAAGAGGACAGTGAATCCACTTTCATCGAGCACCCTGTTGCAGCGGACGAATCGAAAACCACCGTCGACCTTTTGAACCTGCAGTCGGAGTCTTCACAGATGGAGCAACAGGACGCGGCGAGATCCGACCATTCTCCGCTGACGGAGAATTATTCCGCAGAGTTCGAGTCGGAGAAGGAGGCAGTCTCCGTCTCCGTGGACAACGAGCAACTTCTGTCGCCTTCCAGCGCCGAGATCGACGAAACGAAACCCATGGACGAAACCAGCGAGGACGTCGTTCTCTCGGCAACCTATTCGCAGAAGGAGCCATGCGCCAAGGAGGCGGACACGCCTTCGTCGATATCACCGGTTCCGGACGCGTTGGAAACCGACTTTGTAACCTCGACGGAGAACGCGAACATCTCCTCCTCCGCTCTGTGCGTCGACGCTCCGGAATTCACGCCTGGGCATCACAATTTCCCCGCGTACTCCACGGAAACCGATGAAGTTTGTCAATCGTCCGCTCTTATAGATACTAGCGACGTTTGTAAACTACCTTCCACGGAGACGAACGACGTTTGCGAATCACCTCTCTTAGAAACGCGCGACACTTGTCAAGCCACTCTTATAGAAATTGACCAAGTTTGCAGATCCCCTACCGTAGAAAATATCGACGTTTGTCAGTCTCCTCCCGTAGAATCGAACGACATTTGCAAATCCCCTGCCATGGAAACGCACGATATTTGTCAATCTCCTTCCGTAGAAATGAACGATGTTTGTCAACCACCTTCCGTAGAAACGAGCAACGTTTCCCACCTCTCTCTCATAGAAACCAGCGACATTTGCGAATCGTCGACTCTTGTAGAAACTAGTAGCGTTTACCAATCCTCTTTCATAGAGACCAGCAACGTTTATCAATCATCTCTTGTAGAAACGAACGACGTTTGTCCATCGCCCACGAAAACGGACGATGTTTGCGAGTCGCGTCCCGCGGAGGCTGAAGATACTTGCAAGCTCGTTCCACAAAATTTGGACTCGTGTACACAGCCTGCTGAAGAGAAACCTGTCGAACAGGCGCAGGACAACTTGCTGGACCTCGTCGAGGAGCAAGAAGTATGCGTGACGAAGGAGATCGCGATCGAACCAACTCCGCCTCCTTCGCCACAGAATTCGGAAGAGAAGGTCGCGCAAAACGTCGACGATATGATCTGTTCCATCAAGTCCGCCCTCGAGGAGAAAACCGACGCTGTCGTGGAGTCGAAGAACGAGGCACCGATAGAGACGAACACCTTCGAGATCGCGACGCAAGCGGTGGAGGAGCCAGCGAAGGAAGCTGTTCCGAACCTGTTGCTGGAATCCGCGCAGGAGTCGACGGACTCGGAATGCCCGTTGCCACCGAAACCGGAAGACACTCTGTTCAGCACCGAGCCAAAGTTACGAGAAGAAGTTCCACAGAAAGAGACAACATCGACCGTCACCGAAGACCCGGAGAAACCGTTGGAGTCTGTGGAATGTAAAATGGAGGAATGTAAAATGCAGGACGAGAAGAAAGCGGAGGAAGTTCTTGTGGAGGTGAAAGAACCCGAAATAGAAAAGGCTGTGGACGTTGCAGAGAACAAAATGGCGGAAGCGGCAGCAGCAACGGCGGTTGCTGCAGCCGTGGCCGTCACGGGTGCGGTTATAATTCAGAACAAAACGAAAACCACCGCCGCCAAGTCTGCGAAACCGACGAAAACCACGGCGACAAAGACCGGTCAGAAATCAACGCCGACGTCTCCCTCGAAAACTGTGTCTTCCACGACGAGAACGCTCGTCGCAGCGGCGAAGAAGCCAACGACGACCGCCACGGCTCGCCCGAAGGACCTCGATGCTCCGAAGAAGACTACTGTCTCCAGCACAGCGTCCAGCAAAGCGCCAAGTTCAAAGCCGTCCCCGAAGACGACCAGCAGCGCGACTTCCGTGACGAAAACCGCGACCAGAACGAGCGGCGGTCTCGCCGCGAAAACAAAACCAGCCGTGGTCGCCGCGAAGACGACCGTCGGCGAGAAGAAACCCACGGCAAACGGGGACGTGAAAGCTCTGGTCAAGTCGACCGTCGCGGCCAAACCGCCCGCCAGCAAGCCACCGCCGATAACCAAGACTTCCACAGCGCCGAAAACTTCGACCATGCGAACAGTGACCGGGACGACGACGACGACGAAAGCAAGACCGGCGACAGCCGCTGTGGCGGCCAGCAAACCAGCCGCGACCACGAGAACCGCTTCCAGCGTGACCTCGACGACCACCTCGCCCAGCACGAGGCCCAAGACGGCTCCGGTTGCCGGAAACGCGATGAAACCCCGCACGTTGACCGCAGCGAAGTCCCCGATCATCGACAAACAGGTGAAGGAAACGGCCAACAAACAAATCTCCATGGGACGGTCCAGAACCGTCGCGAAGACGAGTCGTGCTTCCGCTCCAGCCGCCACCACCACGGCGAAACGCGTGTCCTCGACGACGAAAACCGCGCCGACGATGCCCTCGCCCATCAAGAAGGCCACCGCGACGAAGATCACCGGCAGAGCCTCGTCGATCGCCGGGAAAACGACCACCGAGAAGGAGAAGGTACTGCAGAACGGCGTGTCGGAGAAGGTGGAGATAAACGCGATCATCGACGACGTGCCGAAGAAGGACCTCTCACCGGTGGTCACACCGAACGATAATCAGCTGATCATGAGCTCCGATTGAATCCGCGGCGAGACACGAGCGCCGCGTTCGACCATTACTTTTCTAATATCGTCGATCGTAAAAGGATAAATCCTTGGTCGTCGAACGAATCTGGCTGGTCGGCCAAAGTAGTTCATTAGAGAATATATAACGAATATAATATTTTAGCGGACGATCCGGATACGTTCGACGCGTCGAGAGTTCTTCGTTAATCGGAAGGAGTTTTTACTAATAACTAGCGTAAAGTATAAAAGATAATATATTAATGTGTATATGTACCGATGAAATAACGAGTCCGTTTATCTATACTGGCAAAAGAGAGAAAGAGTGACTGATAGATAGTGAGAAAGAGAGAGAGAGAGAGAGAGAGAGAGAGTGAGTTGAGCATACGTTTAAAAAAAAAATAACAAAAAAAAAAAATACATGCTATATCGCTTCAGAACTGCTTCGGTCGTACTGGTAAAACCAGGTGTCTCGCTAGGAAGTGGAGGGGGGGTTAATGATGAGGAGGAGACGGGTGATTTTGCTAAAAGGAGATATCGGTTGAATTTGTAAATAAATCGTACGCGTTTCAAACTGGTCTCTGAGATTACCAGAAAAATGTCCACTTGGTGCTGTAACTGGCCTGCAAAAGAAGAAACGAGAAACACATATAGGGCCCCAATGGAGTCGCGCCGAGAGATGAAATTCGAGAACCGGAGGAAACGTTACGCGTCCCGCTTGACCGCACGATGCGGTTTCTTAACATATTCTTAACGTAAAACACGAAGCTGGACGATCTTTTTATACTTTTTAATTTTATATGTGCATTATACTTGATTAATGATTAATTGTCGTACTTTTTATGGAGAACTTATCATCTACACATACAGACACGCGCATAAAACACACATTCGTCCACATACACAAACACACACGTACATTTATACGTACACCACGCACACGCGAACGACACAGGTACCATATATTTATTTTGTTTTGTTTGTTCCTATTCTGAAGTTGAGTATACTGCGAGAGAATATTATACGCTCGTCATCCATTAATACCATTCTTTATGTATTCTCTATTCATTTTTATGTACAGCACTTTTATGAGTTAATGTGATACATATTATTAAATAAATTCGAACAAATACGAAACGAAAGAACAATTTGTATGTATACGCGAGAGCATCGTCGGTTCGGAAACCATATATGATGGAAAAGTATAATGTAAGATGAGAAACGAGAATCGTTCTTACCATCGAAGGTTTGATGAAAGAAAAGAAAAAGGGGAAAAAAATGAATTATATCGTAAAAGAAATTGTTTTCCAGTTTTAAACATATGACTGATTATATACTACAAGTATTCGATCCCTTATTGCCACGAAACGATACGAATAAAGAAGTAAAGAACGTTTTAAACAATTTACAATAGAAACCAATGAGTATTTAAATATCAATGAATGTTGATGCGTTAATTTCAGGTTTTGACTCCCCGTGTTCTGTTTCTTTATACATAGAAGCTTGTGAAACTTTTATTTTTCATTATGTCTTTTAAAATATCCTGGTTATCTGTACGTTTTTTAAAAATTTAATCAAAAACTAGTATGAACAATGATGTATTTAATAATCGTAGAGAAGGAAAAAAATGTAGGCGGTATGAAAACTTTAATTCCCTAAAATTTTTTTAAATTGTATTAAATTTTTAAACAAGGAAATTAAAGTATTTTTGTTTTTGCTCTTTTTCTGTCGCATTGATAGATCGAAAGGATCTAGTAGAGCAAAAAAGATTCACTCTTCATTTATCATTAAAAAAAAACACTAAAACCAATATTAAAAAAAAATTCCTTAGAATTTTATAGTTGGAAATATTCTACTAATGCTTCCGGAGGGTGCCTTTTAAAAGCATTGTTTACAAATGCCATAACGAGTATTTATTTATTAACGCCACTATTTATTATAATATTAATTATCACGCATAGCCACTAACATAAAAAGCACTTACTGCCACATATCATGTAACTAAATAACCCGCATAGGTATTAGAAAAATGAACAGAAATTTTCAGTGACTAGAAAATTGAAATTTTATAAAAATGACTAGGAACGTATCACAGAAATTATAACTTCTGTATTATTTATTTATCATCTTTTGTTCGAATGAAATTAATGACATTTAAAGCAGGAATTTATAAATTTCTCAAATTTGCATAGAATTTTGTCCTAAAGACCGAAATATATTTAAATTTTATTCTGCTTTTCTGAAAATTCGACGAGAATGGAGGTAGATGGTGAAAAAAAATGGAGATAAAGTTGTAAAAAGCTTTTATTTTTTGTTAATGTAAAAGAGTGACGTTATTCGTTTATCTAAATATTCGTGTAATTTAGAGCCTCTTGTATGTACGTGTTGCCTTAATGTCGGTCCTGCTCTCAGAGAGGTGCTGAAAATTAAATAATTAATCACCAGAAAAACAGTATCCAAACCGTCAGATAGCAATTTACAAGAATTATGAACAATTTAAAAAATTTAATTCAATTCTCGTTCAGTAAAAAATTGAATTTTTTAACATAGAAAGGTGAACCGAGTTGCAATCGAGACATTTAATTTAATTTACATTCTTTTACGATTTTAACGATTCCAATTCAACCATAATTTTCCAAAAATCAAAAACACGTTTCGAAATTTTACTTACAACTTTCATGGTTGTCTCCGTGAACTCGTAGACGCGAGTTAACTTGATGGAGTCGCGCACCGTCGTCTCTATTTTCAATTTATCACCTTCCTTGGTCGCTATGCTCTGCAAACGACCAAAAAACAAATTTTATTTTACAAAATCCTCCATTTTGTTCAAAGAGGCTCGTTGGTCAGAAAAAAATCCATTATTTGAATATTAGTAATTTGGAATTTCAATTTCAACATTTTTAGGGATTCCCCTTTCGAACTTCCCTAGATCTGCATAATAAACAATTTATTCCGTTTAGAAATAATATTTTCACGTTCTAAAATTTTTTGCAAACCAATCGATACTGTCATTAAAATTACATATTCGTGTACCCTGATAATTTAGTACTTTTTGCGAATCTGATATCGTCCAAAAACGAATCGTTGTCTGTTATCGTTTCGAAATCAAAGTTCAGAGTCTTATCGGTATCTCCATTATCAGTATTAACGTGGAGCAACATTCGATAGCGTTAAACATCGTCTGAATTATAATATACTGCAAGCGGAATGATGTCAATTACCGGCTCGAGTTACCATAGCAGCCAATTGCCCTCAGAGTTCGATGTCCGAAGCGTAAACGAAGGTAGAGTCTTTAGGAGCATATTAATCGCTCGATATTAATATTCTGTTGCAGTCATGTTCCTACAAACTATGCAATTACGCGTAAAAACCCCGTGAAATCGTAAAACAAATGAAATTCGTAATTAGGGAACCTTTTTCTTAATGTAAATGTGAAATATTTGAATATATAGGGTACTCGGCCACCTCTGGGAGATTCTAGAGACCAAAACAAGACGAAAATCAAAAATACCAATTTGTTGATGGAGGCTTCGTTAAAAAGTTATTAACGTTTAAAGTTCCACACCTTCTCGAATTTTTTTCTAGAAACTGGGTAGGATTTCGGGGGTAGGTCTATTCACCAAAAATTATTGCAATTGACCCCCGCGACTGAAAATAATTTTTTCAGAACGATTGTGAAATTTTTTTTTTCGCCCAAAAATTTAGGCTACTCGAATTTTTTTCTCAAAAGTGGGTAGGAATTCGGGGGTATGTGTATTCATTAAAAATTATTGTAACTGACCCCTGTAACTAAATATAATTTTTTTAGTATGATTTGAAATCTTTTAATTTCGTCTAAAAATTTCACACCTCGAATTTTTTTCTCGAAAGCGGGTAGGATTTCGGGGATATGTGTATTCGCCAAAAATGATTGTAATCGAGCCCCGTAGCCAAAAATAATTTTTTCACAATGATTTGAAATTTTTATTTGTATCTGATATTTAATTTGACGAAGTGAAGCGAGTTCGTCATTTTGATATGAACCGAGAACTCGATATCCCTGTTACAAATGTATTAATGCAACAATGCAAGATTAAAATGTTTTATATTTTATTTCCTTCGTAATGGATTTTGCGTTCACATTTTTGTCAAATTTTTCTCGTTAAAATAGGACCAAACAGGATGTACAAACACAAACGTTAAATACAAATGGTCGTAATTACCTGAAAATAAAAAAGTTAATTTTCCATCGCGTTAGGCATCGATACACCGGAACATTTAAACTTCTTCGAATATTCGCGGGCTTTCGATTCCTTTTTCGCTTACTACCCCTCCTCAGTGTGGATGGCAGAGATTAAGCTCTCGAGTTTCGTGTACAAAAAAAAAAGAAAATAATACTGTATCGTGAATGGTTGGACTAACCGGGAACGTGCGATCGAAGGACGGCAGTTTCTCCTCGTACGTTTCGTTGAGCTTGTAGGTGGTCGAGGCGGACTTTCCGTCGGAAGTGATGACAACGGTCCACTCGTCGCCGTTCTGCGAAATCTCGATGATCGGTTTCGAGGACATCAAGTGGGCGGCGTACTCCTTTTGCCCCAACGCGTTTACGAACGCGTCGAAGTTCTCGTTTGAGACGTACTCGTACTTGCCGACGATCTGCATCATTATCGAGCGGTTTGCGTTGACTGTTCGGGTATTGCACACGAAAATGATTCCGGGACGCGTTGCACACAGGCTGTTGCTAGCAGCGAGATGCCGGCACTCGGCGGTAACCGATCCTTTTATAAGATCACTGGCAGGGTACTTGTCTCCGCGGGGCATGAGTGAGTGCACACACACCCACACCGGACAATCTACGATCGACCGGGACAAAGTGTCGAACGGATTATCGGTTAACCGTCCGGGCCCGGCAAACAGACGGCGACGTCACATTTCACCGACACTTTTCATGCTCGTTCCTCCCGGACAGAAACGGTACAGTATCATTGTCCAACAAATTAAAATCATTTTTTATGCGTTAGGTTATCCACTAGCTATTTTCTAGTAGAATTTACCCTTTCCCAGTCGCGGGGATCCGGAAGCAGTATCAATCCGCCCCTAGTTTTCGAGATACATTCTTTCTAGACGAAAATGAGGTTAGGTTAACTAAGAGCGTGCTATTCTCTTTAGACGAAAATCAAGTTAGGTTAACTAAGAGCTTGAAAGCCATACGTGCTACAGATTGAACAAAAATCAACACTCGGATCCCAAGTAAAGCTCAATCGACACCGTGAAGGTAAATTAAGATCGTACGATCGAAATAACGATCGGGGTTTCATTCACGATGATGGGAAATCGCATTTATCGTGTCGCGACTGCGATTTCACGGAGTTCGTCGGTCCACTAATTCGACTAACTACTTTAACTGGACAATTAACGTTGTGTATTAGCAAATTGGTCCAACGAGTTGTGATTGACGGGCAAAGAGTCCGCGGATAGAATCTAAAAATGAAAAGGATAAGGGAAGAGAAATTGTCGTAGGTACTGTGTTTTTTATTCGATTCGATCCCGAAACGTGTACTTCCTTTGTGTCGATCGGCGATGTGTATTTTATTGTTCAGACCCGCTCGTTCCCTATCATATCTGCTGTCTGTGATTTTAATAAAACGAAGAGGGTCGACGTGTGTTGGTACGTATATGAATTCAAGTCGGCGCACGCACTTAATCGTCAAATGTAATCTCCGTTACCGAGACACGTTCGACGTGCTCGAGTTATTTATTGGTTTACTCGGGCAAATGTAGCGATTTAAAAATTTGTATGATCTTCTTTCGAACTTACATTTTCCTAGACTTTGCTTAATTTTCCCCGCGTGGTGTATACAGGGTCTTTGGTCACCCCTGGGAAGAATTTTAATGGGAGATTCTAGAGGCCAAAATAAGACGAAAATCATTTCAAGTTCCGCTCGTACTGAATTTTTTTCTCGAAAGTTAGTAGGATTTCTGGGGTAGGTCTATTCACCAAAAATGCTTGTAATTGACCCCGGTAACTAAATATAATTTTTTTAGTATGATTTGAAACTTTTTAATTTCGTCTCAAAATTTAACGCTTTCTCGAATTTTTTTCTAGAAACTGGGTAGGATTTCGGGGGTAGGTCTATTCACCAAAAATGCTTGTAATTAACCTCTCTAACTAAATATAATTTTTTTAGTATGATTTGAAATTTTTTAATTTCGTCTCAAAATTTCAGTACGTACTCGAATTTTTTTCTCGAAAATGAGTAGGATTTCGGGGGTAGGTCTATTCACCAAAAATGCTTGTAATTGACCCCTGTAACTAAATATAATTTTTTTAGTATGATTTGAAATTTTTTAATTTCGTCTCGAAATTTCAGTACATACTCGAATTTTTTTCTCGAAACTGAGTAGGATTTCGGGGGTATGCGTATTCACCAAAAATGATTGTAATCGAGCTTAGCGACCAAAAATAATTTTTTCAGAATGATTTGACATTTTTTTAAATTTTCCCGTTTTAGATAAGAAAGATAATGCGCCGTATAACAAAATTCACCGAGATGAACCGATAGAGTTGCGATTAAAGTGATTACGAATAGCATAATATCGGTGTTTTTTATATTCTGAAAACGTAACGCGGAAAGATTACAACGGTGGGCTTGGTCGATAAGAAATTAATTATAAAGTCGAAATTTATAGGATTAATTTCTACGATAATTTCACGCGCAATAAAAATAACAATTGTGATATTTTATTTGCTCGAAAAGTTAATTTTTTATTTACTCATTTTTTAAATATTTCATAATACAGCTCAAATTCTAATTTTTATTAGGCGGGTAACGGATGAATGGTTGTTTTTATTTTATAGTTTATCAAACGATCAAATTCTCGAATATAGACGATATATAAAATTTTAAGCTTGAACAAAATTTTAAATCTGCAGTATTCTTATGGCAGAACCATAGTCATAAAAATTCCCACGTATGGTCCATGTTAGATTCGATTTCATAGAATTAATTTCGACAACTGAGAATTGTTTCGTATGAATGTGATGGGGGAAAAATAGTGTCTGAAAATGAACGGACTCCTCTAAAACGAAGTTTGACCAAATTCTGTCCGCCATTGAACGGTACAGTTTGGTTCTTCTGGAGGGATGATTGGCACTCGAGACTCAGGGCTCGGGTTTTCTGAGACACAAGTACGGCCTTGAATTGACAGCTAATTGCCAGTGATGACCATACATCAAAGACCTAGACGATCGGAGGTCACGTGATCTTCCGTTTCATATGGGATGAATGAGCTTATTCCCATTAGGAACACGCTCGTCGACGCGTATACATATGCGCGGTCACGTAGTACCTTTCGCAGTGCTTGACGATCAATTGGAGTTGTTGGAAGTGCTTTCTTCTATTCGTCGGTGCAAATCACCCGATCGATTATCAACCGCATCCTGAAGCAGCGTTACCAGACGGTAGACCGCTACCCAGAGGAAACTGCCCCTCCATTTACGCGCACTAAATTCGGCTAACTTCGGATAACTTCGGGAATTCGAGGAAGAAGACGTGAGCCTTATCTTCTCGCTCTCGAAACAGCTGAAATCGAATTTGCGTCAACCGGCGTACGATTTTTATTTTCCGATCTATGCATATCTATTACATTATAAACGAAATAAAGGTTGTTTTTAAATATATTATAATAAGGAAATTTTAGAGGTTGTAAAACCTAATTATCGTGTAACTGCATGTAATTTTAACATGGCTGACCTCACGTTCTTATTTGTAGGCAACATTTCCCCCAGGCATCAACTTAAAATTTTGAAACCTCTTTTTTTCATACAAATCACAATAAACATTTAGAAACATAACCAATTTTTATATTTATGCAAATTTCGTAGTATATTTCAATCTTGTGTAATTATAAAAATATATTACAGCCCATAAGAATTGTGAACAAAAATTCTGTTGTCGGCATGAATTGTCTCTTCTATTAATTTCTGGATGGAAAATTTTTCCGGATAGAAAAATTTCAATTATAATTTAAAGATAAATTATTACACTGATTGGACATATATCGGTATACCGCGAAAGTGAAAAGACGAAGCAAAACGACACTGTAAGACAATAATAACAGCTTTATTTTGCACTGATTTGCAAACGGTCGAAATCACTTTGGTATTTCACGGACTATTCCATTCTCTTCTAACTGAATACGATATACCGAGGACACACGGTACATTTTTTTCACGATAAACAATAATCGGAATCGTATTGGAAATATTACAAGCATAATAAAAAAAAAAAAGTGAATGTTCGATCGAAAATACCCCGAATTTATTTTTTGGACGCGTAATTTTTTATATCGTTCTTGTGGTGTAACATTAGGTCACAAAATAAGACATCGTGTGCCATTCTAAAGACGGCACGATTCTCCATGAACACTCTAATCCCAAGCTTCCCTTAAAATTAGTAAACGTGCGCCGGTAGCGTATTCAAAATACTCGGAGCCGGACAACTCGCGAAAGAAAAGGTGGATGACATGTGTATACAAACATTTGTGCCAATTGCCAACGAAATATTATATATTATCTAATAATAATTCACAAATGAACACATAAAATGGCAACGAAAATTGCGATTGCACGAATTCTCACCTTTTCTATACATTGAACCCTCGTTCTTAGTTTAAGCGGGTATTCCAGTCTAAAATCTTACGTGTACCAACCAGTTCGGAAATACCCTCCATGCGTGAAATGCCAATACAAAGTACCATTCTTCCGCAAAAAGAAGCCACAGACGTGTTTGCATCCCCACTCCTGTTGCAGTCCGCTGACAGCCAATCAGCGGATCGCAGCAAGAGTGGGGTGTAAATACGCTGTGCTTTCTTCTCGCGGAAGCACGATAGTTTACGGTTTTCTTTTAAAGAATAACAAAAGGCTAAAAATTGCAGATCCAGACCGGAATACTCCCTCCTCGTACACGAACATACGCGGATATGTCTATTTAATTAAATTAATAATAAATAGCTTTCGATAAGGTGTGACGACGTAGCTTAATAAACGAAAATGTTGTTCCTATGTACACGATCGATGCGGACATCTCTTCACGCGCTAAATTCACCTAAGCTGATTAGAACATTATTATTCTTAAGTACAAGGCATTCCTGTGCAGAACATTTCACCATCTATAGTTTGCAGAGGCAAAATAGTAACGGAATAAATGCCCCAATAGCTACAAAAACTGGTAACATTACTGAGGAATCGTCGATGGAATATGGATCCGGGGTTCTGGGTCCGCTCGTATGCCGACTACGAACTGTGGATTCCTCTTCGTCTTCCTGTATATTCTGATACTCCTCCGGTTCCTGAGGAATAGGACCTAACTGCGGTATATCTGAAAATTATTTAAATCGATTACAAAATTTTAATCATTGCCGAAATTATAACGAAGACTTGTAAAGAATAAAAAAAACTAATGTACACTACCTTTCATATTTCCTCTCACAACAGCAATAGCATTTATCTTCGGATTATCTCTATAACCCTGAAATCGAATAATCAAAGTTAATAAAAGTTATCAAACGTTGGTCCGGCGCGTTAAATCCGAGTAACAAAAATGATTATAGTACTTTTATAAATTCAACTCGGATTTTTCCAGTCAAGATATCGGACTCCTCGTCATTGTATATTAATTTCCCTGCTTGGACTTTAAATGGAATATATTCATCGTGCGCTATACCACGGCCAACTCTTTCAAAGATATCTAAGTCAGTAACAACGGTATGGTCTCCATTTAATACCACATCAAACACCTGGAAAAAGATTTTTTTAACTATAGTCCATTTTTTAGCAGATAAGCACCGTTTCTATAATATAAAGCATATAGTTTTCATAGCGTATGTAAAACATGGTGAACTGTTACCTTCATATTGGGAGAATTAAAATAAACTTCGCAGAACTTTAATATCATAACATAATCTCCATCTTCGCTGATAGGAATATCATACCCAAAAGTACTATGGTGGTAACGCTCTGTTTGGTACAATATTTGATCGATGGCGTTTACTCGTCCAATAATTAACTGTTTGCCATAATCGGACGCAGTCCCGACTTTGGTCAGTAACGGGTCTTTGGTATAACGAATTCCATAACTGTCAGTGTGCGCCTCTCCGCCAGCGTTTATCGCGTAAATCACTTCCAGGCTCTGAAAGCTTCGTACGCAGAGAGCAAGCAATAACGTTGATATCGTCAACAAATATATTCCCCATCTCGTGGTCATTTTCTTCTTATTATATAATAAAGCTAAGTTGAACTTTGTCGAATCGGCAGTGCAATCATAACTTTCCGCTTCTGTAGTGATTCTGACCGGCAAGTGAGGTTACGATTAAAATAAACATTTAAAGCTAGCGATACGTTGACGTCGCGTGCGAAGAAATCCACATGTCATCCGATCAAATTTAATTCTTTGCCGATGGAATAAAATCAAGATATCTCGTTGGTCGTTTCGTCAACAAGTATCATCACTCTCGGGCACACAAATTACGCGCTTTTATCATACGTGACAGTAGCCACGTTAGGATTACGTGGTCAGTAAACGTGTCAGGTTAGGTGGTCAGCGAGCATATGAAACTGCTTTTAGTGCAAGTACACAATGATGTACACATTGTATGTAATCTGATTAGCTTCGAAGATCCTTCTTTAAAATTCCGATTCCCTATAGTTTTCAATTTTTAAAAAGTAGGTCATTTTAATCTGGCACAAGCTATTATTTTTTAACGCTCGTCATTTTTTAAATCTGTATTTTTTAATTTTTACATTGTCGTCGATTGCGTCGAACGATCATTATTTATTAGTACAAAGTATCGATTATATTAATTCGGGGGAAAAAGGTTTTATTTTATAGTTTCTTTGTATATTTCTGGGGAAAAAATACGTTTACTTCTGTCAAAAAGTAGTAGTAGTTTTTGGCGAAAGAAATATACCTAGTCATGAAAACTTAAATAGCCGAAGATAATAGTTGGCTGTCAATGGTTCTGGAGCGAATCAGGATTAAAGGTACGTTTTCACGTGGCAGTAAATGACAGTAATTTGCAAGTCGAAGTAATTAACGCGACTTTTTTAAATTTTCTTAGCTTCGTTAAAAAGTTATTAACGTTTAAATTTCCGCCTGTAGATAGGCAACCAGCGTACAGCTGCGTCTGAGCGATAGTGGTTCTCACTCAGCATGAGAAACTCTACTTAATGCGCGCGCAGCTGTTCGCAGATTGCCGTCCAACAGGCGTAACTTTAAACGTTAATAACTTTTTAACGAAGCCTCGATCAACAAATTGGTATTCTTAATCTTCGTCTTATTTTGCCAGGCAAATGTGAGCCTTTCTCTCTCGACTCCCACGAGGCGATCCGAAATTACTTCGGGCAGCTTCGGAGAATCGAGAAAGAGGGCATGCGTCAGTTTGCCTTTGTCGGCTTTCCGAACTCCACGAGCTCACGTACGCGTATCTGGCATGTGTGCGTGTGCACCCGGCGGTGCTTTTCTGGCATCTCTGATACGGCCTGAATTTTACGTGATTTTGTATCGAAAGTTGTAACATCGATGCAGACCAGGTTACAATAATTCTTGTTCTCCAAGAGAAAATCACCAGCTCTGGACCAACCAGACGCTTATCTGAAAGAGCAACGATCACGGTTGATAACCAGAACCGTACAACGTTCTCCTAGAGAACGAGAATTTATTTTTCCCCCAGTGTACGTGAATGTTGTACCTTCGGCGTGAACCGGACCATGTAAACATAATCGACAAGGAGTGCTTTGGGACGGAGTGGACGAAACTCGAGATCCCAATGAACGTTTCTACCGAAACGTCGAGCAACGATATATCGGAATGGATTCGAAGAATGTATATAGATTGTTTCGGGTGTGAAAAAGTGCTGGTGAGTTTATGAAGTGTGTGGAATGTGTGTGGCTTGAAGCTGCTGTGCGATAAGTCGAACCAGAAGTCAGTTGCCAACAGAGTATTATGGTATATGTATGCTTACAGTCGAGAGCAGAAAATAGAGAAGATAAATTTTCAAAGTGTTACTAACATTAGAGTTCATTATGAATTAATTTAGTTTTATTTTAAGTACATACACGTTCCTGCATAATATCCATACATATTAATATATATATATATTGTATATATTTATATACATATGTATATAAATATTAATTTTTTATTCGACAATGGATCATTGTGACATCAAATTGGAAATGCACTGTGACAGTGAAGAGAAATATGTTAGTTTAGTGGATAACAATTGTCAAACCGATTTGAACAACGAACTGACCGGATCCTCGAACGCATCGAACGTCCTTGCTATTTTAGACGGAACTTTCTTCGAAATAAACCCTGAAAAATGTTCCGACAAATCTGTGGTGGCTGTTTGTATAAAATGTAAACCAAAGAAAGTCGAGATAAAAGGCCGTGCGAATTCAACTTCGAACTTTCGATCTCATCTGAAGAGACGTCACGGTAACGCAGTACTGAACGAATATAGCGAACACATGAAAGTAAGGAAAATTAAAAACAGTAAGAAACAGGGGGAAACATCGGGAACGAACTACAATAAAACGTTCCAGTGGCAACAGCTAACGCAAGAGAATTTGAACAGAGATATAACTAATTATATCCTTCATTCCATGGCGCCACTTCGAACCGTCGAAGATCCTTATTTTTTGAAAATTTTCGAAAATCTTAATATTTCAGGTACGTGTTTCACTCGCATATTATTTTGTACGAAATAATTAACGTTTGTCCTATGTTTGAAACTTTACCAAACAGTTATTTCCCGGTAAGTCCTCTGTTTTACGCGGTTAATTCGTTCCGGGGGCTTCCCGCGTAAGTCGAATTCTATAAATACGATGCTAAAAATAGCGTAGCATTATAGAAATAAAAATTGGACAGGAAATTTTTTATTCAATATGTAAACACATTCATATGTTCGGAATATGGATGATTGGCGGGATAACTTTCGCGTAATTCGAGGACTCGCTATATGGAAATACCAGAGTTGGGCAAATTTTATTTACGAATAACGAATAAAAGTTTTAGATTCATCGGTACACCTTTGCCGCCTAAAATCTATTCGAAATCGGTTAACGAATTCCCCGATTTATGAACGAATCTAAAAGTTTTATTTGTTATCTATATAAATAAAATTGTAACTTTGCAATTGTCAATTTTTTTTTTTAATGATCTCGACTTAGGGTTTATCTAAACCGAATTACACATTTTTTAGAATTTTTTTATGGCTGTCTGTGTTTGTTTGTTGGTTCCAGGTTAATTGAAAATCTACGGAACCGATTTTAATTAGATCACCGCAATTCTGAACGGGGAAATATAGGTTACTTTTTATTTTTTTATTTCACGATTCAGCGAAGCCGCGGATAACAGTTAGTTTGCCAATAAAGTTTGCCTAACTCTGGTAAATAAATACACGACTTCTTGGCAAAACGATTCCACGCACATTGGGTTTTATAATTTTCATTTTTTGTTCCTGTAACGGTTTAAGATCATAATAAGTATAAAAGAAGGTATCGATACGTTTATTTTTTTTTTACATTTTTGTTATACCTCTACGACTGCGGGCCTTTTCGATCGTTTCGAGAACCCAGAATCGATATCGTAATTGTTTTTTAGTCTTTTTAATTTCATAATCTGCGAACGTTGCAGATTACGGAACAAGGATTATGAGCAGAAGAGACCTTAGTTGCCACATACGAGAACTTTTTAATGAAAACATTTCAAAGGTAAAAAATAGCTTAAAAGAATTGAAGTTTGTTTGTACAACTGCTGATATATGGTCAGCGAGAGGGAGCAGTTTTTTAGGAGTTACGGCGCATTGGATCGAACCACAGACCCTGGAAAGAAAATCAGTGGCATTGGCTTGCAGAAGATTCGCAGGTAATCGTGCAATTATATAACACCTGGTACATGGTGCACCGTACGTTTCAAATAAAATTGAACCTTATACTTGTGCCGTGTTTAGGTATTCACAGTTACGATAAGATTGCCGAACGTCTTGAAGAAATACACGTGGACTTCGATTTAAATTTTCCTAAACTGACGGCCACGGTGACGGACAACGGGAGCAATTTTCTGAAAGTTTTTAAAGTGTTCGGAGTAGAGATTAAATCCGAGTACGAGGATGAATACGATAGTACGGACAGCGACGGCCATAACGTGGTGTTTAATAACGAAAACGAGGTAGCGGAATTTTATATTAACGACAGGGTGTTCAGTACGTTGCCGCGACATATTCATTGTTTCGCCCATACGCTTTCTCTTTGCATAACAACCGACGTAATACGAACAATAAAAAACTCGGAAGAGTTGAACGCTATACATAATCAGGTAATACATAAATGCACGTTGTTGTGGAACGCGTTGTCTAGGCCAAAATCAGCCGAGATAATAGAGAGCGTGTTAGGTTATACGTTAAGCAGGCCGGAAGACACAAGATGGAATTCCCTGTACGATGCTTTGATACAGATCACGCAAATAAAAGAGAAAACTTACAACTTGTTTAAAATCTTGGGTATCAAGTGCGAATTAACTGATTCGGAATTTCAGTACATCGAGGAACACATTTCTTGCACAGAACCCATTGCTCAAGCATTAGACATCTTACAAGGGGAAGAGGACGTATTTTATGGTATGGTTATTCCTTGTTTACTTTCTTTGCAACGAAAATTGCAGCACCTAAACGAGAAAAGCTGGACGTATTGCAAGCCGTTGATTCAAGCCCTTTGCAACAGCATAGAAATCAGATTCGAGAACTATTTAAATTTCCGTACGCCCGAGTCGGAGAAAGCGGTGATCGCCGCTTTCTCGCATCCGAAGTTTAAAAACAAATGGTTGTCGTGTGTCGAGACCGACAAACATAAACGGCTGTTGTCGTTATTTAAAAGAGCTCTTTTCTCGCAAATAGAAACGGACACGCCAACCTCGGCCACCCCCAACAACCACGAGACCAATAAATTTAATCATTTCTTCGATTTCGGTACTCTATCGTCGACGCACAACGACCAAGAATTACTTTCCACCACTAACATAGAACTATTAACTCTGCAATATTTTACAGATAAGACAGAAGAGTATAGTATATTAAATACATTCCCTGCAATTAAGAATATATTTATACAGTATAACACTCCACTGCCATCGTCGGCGCCGGTCGAGCGTCTGTTCTCGTTCGCGACGATAATAAACGAACCAAAGGCAAATAAATTATCAGACACAACGTTCGAGCAAAGGGTTATACTCAAAGCAAATTTATTAAAGAAAGCTGTGTAAATAGTTGCGTAAGCTAGAAACAGGCGAGAGAGGGAGAGAGTATGTAAATTCATCGAAACAGAATTTTAAGTGACACTGTACGTGATGCGCTCGTAAGTGTACGACGAAATCAAGGCTTGTTGTATATTTAGCAGTTAGTTTTTAGTTATTATTTCTAGTGAATTTATATCGTTAGTTTCCGTTACGAAATATTTTAAGTAATATTTCAACTGATAGAGATTACTAAATAGTGATTATACTATTTAGGTTTATATTGTTATATTTTTTTTTTCATATCGATGCATTATATTTAATAAACATATTTGTATTAAATCCATCTTATTTTTCCATCCATGATCGAATAACTGGTTCGGTTGAAGATTATAAAATGATACTTATTAAATAATTGTGTTATAACGCTAATGCTACTTCTATTCCTACAGCTGCTTCTATTCCTGCTCCTACTTCTATCGCTACCTCTACTGCTGCTACTACTACTGGTACTACAACTACTGAAACTATTATCTTTATTGCAATAATTACAGTTCATTATTACGATTTTCCCGTTTGAACTGTAAGCACAGATTTTCATGTATTTAAGGTAACACGTTCTAATAAAAATAAAGTTACTAAACATTAAACAAACTTCTCTGCTGGCTCCTGCTGACCACCGGTGAACTTTGTCGACAACTTCTGGCGTGATATGTATGTATTAAAGCTTTGTATAATATAAATCTATGGCAATAAATGATACAATTTCAAAGATTTCAGTGTTCTCATCGTTTCTATCTTTCTTTTCCTCCCCAAATCATGCCCTTAGTTATAAGATGACAGGTGACTGCATTCTTACCCATTTAAGTGTCCGTTTATTTTGTCCGTGAAGCTCCCTATGTATAAGTTGAAGAAGGCGTGACCCATCGGTGGTGCACGATTTGCACCGCCATCTACGGCAAAACGCCCAAGTTTGTCGGGGAATAGTTCATTATTTTCAACGATAGATGGCGCTGATTTCCGACCTCAGGCCCCCTGGTGTTAAAACGCCCAAGTTTGTCGTCGAATAGTTCGTTTCCTTCGACGCTAGATGGCGCTCATTTACCGACCACAGGCCCCCTGGTGTTAAAACGTCCAAGCTTGTCGAGAAAGCCATCTAGCGTGAACGATACGAACTATTCCACGACAAACTTGGGCGTTTTAGCACCAGGGGGCCTGTGGTCGGATATGAGCGCCATCTAGCGTTGAGAATAACGAACTATTCCACGACAAACTTGGGCGTTTTAGCACCAGGGGGCCTGTGGTCGGATATGAGCGCCATCTAGCGTTGAGAATAACGAACTATTCCACGACAAACTTGGGCGTTTTAGCACCAGGGGGCCTGTGGTCGGAAATCAGCGCCATCTAGCGTTGAGAATAACGAACTATTCCACGACAAACTTGGGCGTTTTAGCACCAGGGGGCCTGAGGTCGGAAATCAGCGCCATCTAGCGTTGAGAATAACGAACTATTCCACGACAAACTTGGGCGTTTTAACACCAGGGGGCCTGAGGTCGGAAATCAGCGCCATCTAGCGTTGAGAATAACGAACTATTCCACGACAAACTTCGGCGTTTCGCCGTAGATGGCGGTGCAAATCGTGTACCACCGATGGGTCACGCCTTCTTCAACTTATACATAGGGAGCTTTACGGACAAACTAAACGGACATTTAAGTGGGCAAGAATGCAGGCACTTGTCATCTTATAACTAAGGGCATGATTTGGAGAGAAAAAGAAAGGTAAAAAATGATGAGAACACAGAATTCTTTGAAATTACATCATTTATTGCCATAGATTTACGTTATATAAAGCTTTAATACATATATATCTTGTCAGAAGTTGTCATCAAAGGTCACTGGTGGTGAGCAAGGACCAGCAGGGGCTAGCAGAGGGATGCAGAGGCATGCAGATACGAGCAGGGGCAAGCAGCAACAAGTTGTAATCGTTGTACGTTGTCGGAAGCATCTGGGCTGGTCAGCAGTGGTCAGCAGAGGCCAGCAAAAGTCAGCAGAGGCTGGCAGTAACCCATAGTAATCGTTGTACGTTGTTAGAAGTATTAGGAACGGTCAGCAGCGGTCCGCAGAGGTGAGCGGAGGCCTGTAGGAAGAATGAGAAGTACTTACACGTAGTCGTACCTTGTATCTCGTACTTCAGGTAAAAATGGGTATAGCAGGATGAAACTGTTTTATAACATTACCTGTTAACTCAAAATTACCGTTCTAAAATTAAACGCTATGTTTGTATGCCCGAAGATATATTGTGCTGTATCCTCTTAGAATTAAAAATTTCTTTTTCATTACGGTGCTTTGCTTATGCGAGCTTTACATGTACGAGTCAGGTTTTGCCGACTCTTCGAAACTCGTCCGAGCTCACGTACGCGTGATCTGACATAGTGTGAGAAAGTGGAACGAGGCGTCCCCGGTGCATCCGTACCTCCGACGGATGGAGGTCCACCATCTGGCTCCTCTGCCGGCATCTCTGGTAAAGTAAACGTACTATTATAAATCGCTTTTGATCGTCGTTATACTTGGATTATATTCTTATATTATAACAGAGTATTTTAATTACATAATTTTCCATAGGAAGAATTTTCTATCGGACCGAATTATATTTCCCCAACGGAATCTCTCTTTTCGCTCGTTTATCGAAAATTGCAACGTGTCCAATGATCTCTAAAGAAATTAAATTTCACTGCGTACTACGTTCGTAAATTACGGGAACCGGTACAGTATTTTTGTTATCGACAAACAATTATTGTTGTACAGAAATGCATCGCTTAATTAATGTGTTCAAAAACACGCGAAACGCACACCTTGACTTCAAGAGACCGATTATTATCGATGTGCACAGCTGCCAGTCCCTTCCCTTACCAGTTCGAAACCTTAGAATGACCGTGATGTAAATGGCGATCTTTTGAAGATATGAATAATGGGTGTTTTATAGGTTCAGGGAGCTGGTAGTTCTGGCCTCGGCACTGTATTGTTTGTATCGTTCCCACGGAGCAGCCGTTTTGAAGGGTTCCGTGACACTCAATCAGGGGCTCCATAACCTCGCTACGATTTTTAGAACGCGAAGACATGCACAAATAATTAACACGTTGACCAAAATTTTGATCTCGGACAACTCTAAACGGCATAACTTAAACTTCGCCTTGGTATCTATTTCTGTTTAATTTGGTACTTTCTTTAACATTCCAACACGAGAATTGTTTTAGCAAAACGAAGTAATGAACATGTATTTACGGAATTTCAGCATAGTTCGAAGCTCTGATACGGTGAACTTTGACAAGTAAAACACGTATAAACAAAATTTTCTCGAGCTCCACATGAATGTTCTAGAGTGTAAAGAACTTCGAACGTCGAAACATTTGAGAACCGCTGCCTTCCACAGATATATGTATACTGCAGCGGGCAGGTTTTTCGATCAAATGTACATAAGCACATGTCATCCTGACACATTGGTAACCAACAAAATTGCATCTTTTGTTTTAATGTTGCACAATTTGTATATATTTGTTTCAGTTAAATTTATGTTAATATTTATTGCTGTTATCATCGGTATTATATTATATGTATTTCTATATCTGTAGATACGATAAGAGATGAACGTATATTTGTAAAATTGTCAAAGATATGTGTATATGGAATTTGGAAGCCATCTAAAGCCAAAAGACACGGCTAAAATCAAATAAATATTTATTGCTATTCTTCGCTATTCACTTTTTCGGTGAATTAAATAAATTCTGCTGCAAGAGTTTGTATTTATTCCCTCAGGGACTCCACCTCCGCCCACGCTTTCTCTTTGTAACACATTCAGATATGTATATTGCTATGTGCACGATACAAACCATCCTCAGATTCGATTGTAAACATTTAAACGTGCCAAAATTCAAGTCGATTAAAAATTTTTAAAAATCTGTTACATTAATTGCATAAAAATTTTGTTAATTTTAAACAATATTTTTAAGGTTACTACAGAGCAAAATCTTTTTCAATCAATAGGTTAGAAATAACGGGCTCGATAATATTATACGCGAGAAACGTAAAATTATATTTTTACAATTTTAACGTTAAGTACCATGCAATCTGATTCTTTACACGGGTTGTCGGTGATTCACCATGAAACGTTTAAGTAAAGGTCACCGTTATTTACAAATATAGTATGGTCAAGATTGCTACTTCGTCTGGAAACTATCAAAGGTTTTATAATCACTGAACACGCTTGTGACAAGTAAATTTATAATATGCGATGAGAGTTCTACGCGCGATACCACAGAAATTTATGAAATGAAATAAATTATTGCAACGACGATCGTTCGTGGTATTTCCTTTATTTGCACGTAGCTTTTCTGCCTTTGATAATGATCATTATTAGCAACATTAGGATCTCGCCTAGTTTTAACGCGACACTGTTCACCACGTACAACAAATCGATCGAACGTCTAGGTATAAGATTTTAAACAACAGTCGCTATAGATGATTCCAGAAAATGATTCTCGTAAGTGACTCATAGTTAAACGAGCGTGACACACACGTAGGCTGTCGTATTGAACGAACGCAGCTGGTTTGTAACGTACTAGGATATGCTAGAAGTTTCGTTAGGGCTGGCAAACTTTACCGCAATGCTTATCGTCATTGATTACGTGCACTTTGTCGCATTGACTGCGTTCCCCTTGAGCGAAACTTTCGTCTAAATTTTTTAAACACGAACCAAATAACACGCCATTGACTATTGCCACGAAACATATAAAATATGTATTTGAATACCTTTCATGTCCATTTAAATTATTTCGTACTGTATCTACCATCGTTCGATAATGAATTTCATATCATAGTTAAAATTCTATTCAAGACTAATGTAAATTTTTCAATCTTTAAGGTTATCTCGATCGCCGGAACGCGAAATCTTAATTCGAAAATGAAATATTCTATTTATTTGTAATATATGTATCTGTTTAAGTAGATTAGAATAGATAGAATAGAAAAATTTGTATATCAATTTTGGAAAAATTCATTATTATGCTGGTAATGATATAGCATTGCGATTCATCGAGTCTTCCCTTTATTACTTACTCAGAATTTATTGTTAAACGAATATAGCTCGAGATTTAATCATTTCGTACGTGTTAAAAACAGCACACTGAAAAATTGAATAAATCGTGATAGTTATAGGCGTCAATGAAATGACGAATCCTCGAACACGATTGATTTATGCGCGAATATAAATTGTGCATGCGTTGTGTGTGTGTGTGTGTGTGTGTGGCCACGTATCGTACCTTCTCGAATTAGCTACTACATGCTAGTGTTTCTTTACTTTTCTCGATGCTCTACTTCCGTGTCGTCTGCCGTTTCAGCCGGAAATCGTGCCGAATAATTCTTTCGCCGAAAGGTGGATCTCGAAAAATCTGTCAATAAAAATTGCAAAGTAATTATTTTTAAATGAACAGTACGAAATCACGAAATCTATACGATGATAAAGTATATTTTGATCGATCAATAATCGTGGAAAATTTCACCGTTGACGCACGTAGTTGATCGCGGATGACCAATAGCCGCTCGGAGCTAGGGGAAACCGTGTTGCGATTGGCGCGTATATGGAGCTCGGTCGAGAAGAACATTCCAGAAGCGTCCTCTGAGAAAGTAATATATACGGAGGCGCGAGTACGGGATCTTCACTCACGTTGCGAATCGTGGAACGAGGAACTTCTTCGCTATCCTACAAAGCAAGCATTTTACGTACGAACAAAGCGAACAAAGAAAGGTGCGTGTGTTAATTTCTCGCGGTCTCGTTTCCATTCACGGGCTGGATTCAATCCCGACATCGTTCCAGGAAACTCATCCCGTTTCTCTTTTGTGCTTTTAGAAAACAGCAAAGATGGCCAAAGCACCCGCAGTTGGTATTGATCTCGGCACCACTTACTCATGCGTTGGCGTTTTCCAGCATGGAAAAGTGGAAATCATTGCCAATGATCAAGGAAACCGAACAACGCCCAGCTACGTTGCGTTTACAGACACCGAACGGTTAATCGGCGATGCCGCCAAAAACCAAGTCGCCATGAATCCCAACAACACAATATTCGGTAAATATATTTAACCACATATATCATTTATTGCGTCGAGGAAACATTACCGCGATGCCTGATTTTGCGAATTAAATTCTTCAGTTCGTTTCCAAGCATTCAGTCAATTCTGTTTATTTTATTTTTTCGAATCTTTTTTTTTATAAATTTTATTGATCACGGGCGTACTGTTTTTTTTTTTTTACCACTCGGAGATTTTTTGTTCAGAATGCCCCCTTGATGATCGATGCTTTGTAAAATATAATTTTCTATTAGGATAGCGTGCTAACAGAGGATCACGAAATAAACGTGGTTCGATAAATTCTGTTGTGTTTGAAACTGTTCTAAAATTCCATTTTAATCTAAAAAATTATTCCCCTTTTCTGATCATATATTTGGATCAAGCATTTCGTTATCTAGCAAGTTCTTTTTTTAATCTTGAAACGATATTTCTTTATGGATTCTGTTGATACGTTTTTGCAGTGTGATATTTCATGTTTTACGAACGGTGGAAAATGAGTTTTGATAGTTATCGAAATATTATTTAAACGAAATTTGACAAATTGCCTCGAAGATTTTACTAGAATTTTGCAAGTAGGCGTGGAAAATTTTTATATGAATAAGAAACTTTAAGATCAATACTATTATGTATACGATAACCACGCATGCGCATACACGCGGTTAAGGTCATAGGTTCTAGAGGACGCTTTTTCAGTTCCTTGCTAGATCGCTAGACTAGTAACAAAAATTTACCAACATTTCTGCTCGTAGTACATGGTCTATCGTCGAATAAAAGTTAAAGAGCGCATTAAAAAATTGTTTAAAAATGCAAAACGTGATCATGTGTCCATGTAATTTCAAAATTTTATATAGAAGGCGAGTCAATATATTTAATATCGTAAAGAAATAATAAAATAGTTAACACGGTAAACGCCAAGCGAATTATGTTTTATATTTCAATATTTTTTAAATTTGAACTGTTAGCCCGCAGCAGAATTTTACAAATTTTAAATTTTTCTTATAAATTCAGTTATAAATTAGAATCTACTAACGAATTTCTTAAACCAATATTCCCCCAAATTTTCCCAACCCTGGTCCTGGTGGGATTGAAATGGATTTATGTACAATAAAAATAATGTTTCTTTTGGTGTCGTTGAAACGAAGCTTGGATAATTTATGTCATACTAACGGAAATTTGCAATGTTTTTAGATGCGAAACGACTTATTGGACGTCGTTTCCAAGATGCTACCGTTCAAGCTGACATGAAACACTGGCCCTTCACTGTAGTGAGCGACGATGGCAAACCTAAAATTCAAGTACAGTACAAAGGAGAGACGAAGACTTTCTTCCCTGAAGAAGTGAGTTCAATGGTCCTGGTGAAGATGAAGGAAACTGCTGAGGCATATCTTGGAAAGTCCGTCAGCAATGCCGTGATCACTGTACCTGCTTACTTCAACGACTCGCAGCGTCAGGCAACCAAGGACGCTGGTACCATCTCGGGCTTGAACGTTTTACGTATCATCAACGAGCCCACCGCCGCCGCCATTGCTTACGGCTTGGACAAAAAAACAAACAACGAGCGCAACGTCCTAATTTTCGATCTCGGTGGTGGCACCTTCGATGTCTCTATCTTGACTATCGAAGATGGCATCTTCGAGGTAAAGTCCACAGCAGGAGACACTCACCTTGGCGGTGAAGACTTCGACAACCGTATGGTCAATCACTTCGTTCACGAGTTCAAGCGGAAATACAAGAAAGACTTGACTTCGAATAAGCGTTCCCTTCGTCGTCTCAGAACAGCCTGCGAACGTGCCAAGCGCACACTTTCGTCGTCCACTCAAGCCAGTATCGAAATCGACTCGCTCTATGAGGGAATCGATTTCTATACATCGATCACTAGGGCTCGTTTCGAAGAGCTCTGTGCCGATCTCTTCAGAGGAACGCTCGAGCCAGTAGAAAAATCGCTGCGCGATGCCAAGATGGACAAAGCTCAGATTCACGATATCGTCCTGGTTGGTGGATCCACGCGTATCCCGAAAATCCAGAAGCTGTTACAGGACTTCTTCAATGGAAAGGAACTGAACAAATCTATCAATCCCGACGAGGCTGTGGCTTATGGAGCTGCTGTGCAAGCTGCCATCCTACACGGTGACAAGTCCGAAGAGGTACAAGACCTACTGCTCCTCGACGTTACACCTCTGTCCCTTGGTATCGAGACTGCTGGCGGTGTTATGACCGCTCTCATCAAAAGGAATACTACCATTCCAACGAAACAGACGCAAACCTTCACCACATATGCTGACAACCAACCTGGCGTATTGATCCAAGTCTATGAAGGAGAGCGTTCAATGACGAAGGACAACAATCTGTTGGGTAAATTTGAGCTCAGCGGAATACCTCCAGCACCTCGAGGAGTCCCTCAAATCGAAGTTACCTTCGACATTGACGCCAACGGTATCCTCAACGTCTCGGCAGTGGATAAATCTACTGGCAAAGAGAATAAGATCACCATTACCAACGACAAGGGTCGCCTGAGTAAGGAGGAAATCGAAAGGATGGTAAACGACGCTGAGAGGTATCGTAGCGAAGATGAAAAACAGAAGGAAACCATTACCGCTAAGAACGGTCTCGAGTCTTACTGCTTCAACATGAAGAGTACAGTGGAAGACGAGAAGCTGAAAGATAAAATCAGTGCCAGTGACAAGCAAGTTGTATTGGACAAATGCAACGACATCATCAAGTGGCTCGATGCCAATCAATTGGCCGACAAAGAAGAATTCGAACACAAGCAAAAAGAACTGGAGGCTATATGCAATCCTATCGTCACCAAATTGTATCAAGGAACTGGAGGAGCACACGGTGGAATTCCTAGTGGCTTCCCAGGAACAGGCGCTGCACCAAGTGGAACTCCTAGTGGCGGCGCTTCCGGACCTACAATTGAGGAAGTCGATTAAATTTCTTTCTAAAGAAAGAAAAATAAAGAACATAGAATTACTACAGCTGCGGTCTTTCGTTCCTCAGTATAATTTTAGCTATCTTTTGTTGGCATCCAAAGTCATTTAAAAATCATTGTTTTCTTTTTCTTTTGTAAAACTGGGCCTGTAATGTATTATTTATATTTAGGTTATTGTGGAAGACAATGCATAAAAAAAGTATAATTTTATTGTACTTATCATTTCTATATTTTAAATAGATCCGTTGTTGATTTTCTATGTTCGACGAAAAAAATGATCGAAGAAAAATAAAGAACATAGAATTACTACAGCTGCGGTCTTTCGTTCCTCAGTATAATTTTAGCTATCTTTTGTTGTCATCCAAAGTCATTTAAAAATCATTTAAAAATCATTGTTTTCTTTTTCTTTTGTAAAACTGGGCCTGTAATGTATTATTTATATTTAGGTTATTGTAGAAGACAACGCGTAAAAAAAGTATAATTTTATTGTACTTATCATTTCTATATTTTAGATAGATCCGTTGTTGATTTTCTATGTTCGACAAACTTCATAAAAATAAAAACCAGGCGTACGACAACGCTGAAACTTACATATGGTCTTTTAGTTCATTCCCCATAGTCCACTAAGTCAGAGTAGTAGTATTAACCTTTTGTTATGCTATGTATTGAAACAAATTTTTATTAAACTTTAAATAAATTCTGTTCTTATCTTTGGCGCTGTCAAGTGACCGATTCTACGCTTTTTTTATTTTCGAAAAAAATACAGTAGCATATTTTGAGTCCGTTTAATACAAGTACTCCTTCGAAATAACTAATTTAAATCATTCATGACTTTCAATATTAACCATTTAAAGCTATAAAATTTATTTCGTACACTGTTGAAATTGGAGTAAAAAGAAATAATACTATTAAAATGTAGGTAGTTCTAGCATGTAGAATTATTAACATTTTCGATGAAATGAAATTTATTTGCAAGCACAACAAACTGCTACAGAAAATAATTATTTAGTAGTCGATAATACAATTACGAAAATTCGACAGACGTGCAATATAAATTTTCTAATATATACCCAAAGTAACCTGAAAGACAATAAATGATAAAATAACAGAATTGCAAAATTTCGGAATAGAAATGTAAAGTGCGAGCATTGTTACAACAGAAAATTAAGACGGGTGTGCCATAGTAGTTGCGAACAATACGGTTGATTATTTCTTCTTCTTCTTCTTCTTCTTTCCGCCTCCAGCTTTCTCTGCTCCTAAAAAAATACACAACAATGAAATAATAATTAATATTAAATATATAAAAATTTGTACATCGTAATACTCTCGTAATATGCATAAAATATTATAGAAGATCATACAAGATTGTACCATATAAAAATGTTTTCATTTTTCCTATATTTACCAGAGTATTACGATGTACGAATTTTTATTTTTATGCAGCCAATGGATGATTTTGAAGGTATTTAATGTATTTGTCTAAAAGTACTTTATAAGGTTTATAAAAGTTATAAATTTCTGATCGAACACGAAAGCTATTAAATTTGCCAAACTTGCCCAACAATTTTGTTTGTTCTAAAGCGGCTGCCAAAGCGTCGCCAAAGCTCTGACTGTAAGATGGCGCTGAAACATAATTTTCTTCCTCGGTGTCTCTGGAAGATGACTCGACAAGCATGCTCGAACACGGCTTCTTGCGAGCAGAGTTAACAGACGGCCATACGGTGTCGGATTTTAAACGCGTGCCTTTGTTTCGCAACATCTCTGCGAACGATGGCCCCCCCTGTTCGAGAGTTGTATTGTCGGTTTGTCTGTTCACAGCAATTTCGTCAAACGTCGTGTTCAACGATGGACTGCTAGCTACGCTTGAAGGCACCGTTGATTCCGGCGGTGATGAAACGTTCTCCCTACAACCGACACTGTTACTCTAAAAAACAAACTCACGATAGATTGTCAAAAAAGCATTTACCAAAAATTCAAATTGTTCATGATTTCCCATGTCGATCCTCTGCGGTATAATATTGTATAATATATTATCAAAAAAAAAAAAAGAAACTAAAACTACAGTAAATGCTCATCGACTCTCCGATCTAAGTTTATTTCGCCAAATGTATTTGTCAACGCTTAGAATTCCTGTTGAAAAGACTAAGGCACGTATGCAAGAAACCGCGGTAGAAATAGCGTTGAACCAAAGTAAAATGCGCATACTCTGAAAACAACAGTTCCGGCTGCCATTGAGGGAAATGACGCTGTGAATCGATGTGTACAATAGGCTTTGGATATCTTCCCATTCGTTTATTTTCTTCTTCGGTGATCTTTTTCTCCCTTTTCCTTTCTCCACGTTCTCGCTGCTGCCTGCGTCTGTGTCTCAATGCTAATTGCTCTGTAAAAATAGTTAAACATAATCGCATCAATAATTAACACGTAAATAAAATCAGATAATTCCTTTCTAAACATCAGTGGGGAAAAATTACCCTGAAACGAAGAGAGAACCTCTTGCGATACAATCGGTGGTTTTAACTCGATCTCGGCTACTTCAAACTGACAAGTAATCGGCAAGTGACATAAATATCTTAGTCTGCGTCTTAGATCTTCTGTAAGACTTCCTCCTTCTTTTTCCAAGAGCTTTCCCGTTATTACATGAGGAGAATTCTCAAGACTACCGTACTGCATTTCCAACATTTTTACATTCACTGCGTGAAGATATAGATCTTGCCCATCGTCCGCTAAAAATGAACATTATTTAGTAATTTCTTTGAATAAACAATAAAAAAAAAAATATATATATATATATATATAAGAACCTTGGTAAAAATAAAAAAATTTATGTAAGCCTGAAGTCGACTGGGTGCTGTTGGGTGAATTTTCTACTGTTTTGGGATATTCTTCATCTACGCTTTTTATATTTTTTTCGTTTGAAATATCATTAACTTCTTCGCAATCTTGATATTCTTGTTGAAGTAACTGTTTTTCAGTATCACTGTTCTCCATCTGTGTTGTAGTCGGGTCCACAGAAACTTGTGACTTTGATTCGATCTACAAGGAAAGTCGCGATAGTTACTAAAACGTATTAAAAAAAAAATATGTTTTATGTAAATAAATTAATGTTACCTCCTTTAACAGATCCTGTTCGCGTATTGAAAGTTCATTAAGCGCTTGCTCGATGTAACAATTTTCTGGCGAATCGGGATTATCCGACAGTTCGAACTGCAATTGAGTACGTTCGCATTCGATGATACCCATGACCTGAAACACTGAATTTATTAGAAGAATGCTGATCGGAATGTTTTTCAAGTTACGACACTTCAGCTTTCGGAAGTTTGGAATATTTACATCATTTGTGCTTGCAATGAGAAGTTTCGAATACACTTCTTTACTGATAGGATCTGAAGCTGGGAAAAAGTTTGTTGGACTTTGTACCGCGGCTCCAACGGGTACTGCGAGTAACGATCCTTTCTCACGGCGCATCAGACGCAAAGTAACAATATCGCCAGAATTTAGCATACTTTGAGTGATTTCAGTGACACTAAAATCATATAAGCAAGGATTCTAATATCTTCTATCCTGTGAAACGATACGATTCTTTCTTATTTTAAAGTATCGTCGACATTACCTTTTCAAATCAGATTTTTGAATAGACTCATAACAAATGGGACATTTACGCCAAGATTTATCAGAGAGCGATAAATAATGAAGGATACAGGGCCAACAATAAACATGACCACAGCGTGTCATTTTTCCAGCAACTGGTGAACACAAACAAATTGGGCAAGACAAGCTCTCAGAACTATGAATTTTCTGAAATGTAATATATCCATTAATTTGTAAAGCTTCCGAAACTCATAATTACGACTTACAATCTGTTCTACTAATTTCCAATCAACTAGAGCATCGGGGTCAGTCAGATGTAATGAATAATTTCCATTGGCAGTTACAACAAATTGGCAGCTAAAAGTACAATAATGTTTAATATCTAACGAATCACGAGTTCAGATATATTTAGATTAAGTATTAGATTGAATCATATGTAATTGCCATTTTTTCTTTTAAAAGGATTAGAAAAGGGTTTCTCAATAGTAGTTTAGTTTAACGTCATTTAGAATTTCCCCAAAAATTTACGATACGCTATCCGAACCAGCAATTACTTGTGATTCAACCTAATATAATATTATTATATACCTGGCTTGTAAAAACTGTTCTTTGTTGTACTTATGACGCTGTACCGGCGGAAGCCACCTATTACTGTTGCGGCAATAACCCTTTATCGGTTTTCCACGACTCCATGCACCTGAACCACCACGCATATCACGTGGTTCATAATGAAAATTTAGCAGATGATTCAAATTCTGCTTTTTACTTCCTTGGACCAATACTGTGCCAGGCTCAGCTAATTCTGATTGCACTACCTATAACAAGTTAACGAAGTCTGACAAAAACATCAACCAAAGAGAATAAGTGTTTCGTTAAGAGGATATTCCGGTTTAGATATTTAAAAATAAATTAATTTCTTCTTCATTTATCATTTTCTTAAAGCGTGCGTCTATGAAAACATGTGTGCGGCAAGACTTGCTGCTTGAAGAGTACAGCTACATAGTAATATATATAAACCTTGGTATTCTCCTTTGAACCGCCATAATATTGTCCTTTAGGTTTTGGTCTCTTATCAAAACTTTTTGCTTTCTGTACATTGCACTTCTTTGGTTGTTCGAACTTCGTGGAACTACTAGTGCCAGATGGTTCGCACCGACGCAAAGCTCTCGGGAAAAGCTTATTAGTAACATCTGGAGAATAATAAAATTAAGCTTTACACGAGATAATAAATACTTTATAAAATAAGTCATTCATCTTGTATAAATACATTTATATATACAGGTAGCGAACATATAATTAAAAAGAGCCAAAAATGAAACACTTTTTTTGTAATATAGATTTACTATGCAATATATGTAAATTTTTCAAATAAATTGTGTATAGTAATCAACATTAATAACTGACCTATTGCTAGAAATAATATCCACAACATTTGCTTTATGAACAATTGAAATATTAAACCGAAAAGTTAGTCATACCGTTGCGTCATAGAGTTAATAGAGAAATCTTCCTTTGGTTAACATGCCCCCTACCATGTGTTATATATTTTTTTTTACAAAGAAATTAGTTTTAGACTGCTTAAATATTTATGAATTTATTAGTACTCGAATTAAATAATAGATGGTTGAATCTGTGCTGGTATTAGCAAACATATCATATTTCTGTGGTAAATTTTACAAGGACTGTTTTCATTGACTTCTTGGTTGGGTATATTATGCAATAGAGAATTAATACAATCGATGCACACATATATAGATAAAAACATGCACTATATCAGTTATTCTTAACCTTTTTTTTCCCCACAAACCACTTTTGACAATTTAATAAAGCTTCTCGATCCATTCTATACAACATTCTTTGGAATAATACTTTTAAATATTAATTTAATTGCAGAAATTGCTCTATAAAACAAAGATAAGCTTACAAGGAACATCAGAATTTTCAATTTTATTTAATTTTTGTTTCTACGACCAACAAGTTCGTCCTTGGCTAGATTTGCAACTTCAATAGAATTTATACTAAACAGGAAACAAACGTAAAGAACCACCGAGTTACATTAAATAAAATTTCTACAAACATAGCGGGCATGATTCACAGCGCAGTTTACTAACCAAAAAATAGTGATGATAAACGTACAGAGCAAAACTTCATTCTAAGTCGGCACTAGTACCGATCATTACGCTTGAAACTTAATAATAATTTTTATTTATTCTATTGGACAAAACAATCACCTCAACTTTTTGCTCAAGTCCAATGACTCCCCTAAATAACTTTACTTTAAAAATCAACCGCAAATTCTTCTCTTTAGTCATAGTGATGAAATATTTTCTATCTACAGCTATGCAAAATATCATCACCGATCTGTTACCGCATGATCTTGAGGTACTCCAAAAATTATATAATTCGAAGGTTCGTTAAAATCGAAACGATTTTTAAAGCGAGTAGGAAAGATGGAATATCAAGAATATTTAGGAAGCAAGCAAAATTGTGTTTTTTGCAACGATACGCACATAAGACGTCAGCAAAAAGATGACGTCGCTATCAAACCGATCGACATTCGGACGACGCACCTTGTGTCTTCTTCGCATCAGCAGGAGCTCCCTTTGTGGAGGACTGCGTAAACTTTGCGTTCTTTTCCATTTCTGGCACGAATACGTTCGTGCTGATTTCCAGCGTGATTGAGGCTACGGTCTCCTCCGTACGGAGAAACAGTGTATTTTTGCAGACCCTTCATCTTCTTCAATAAGCCATGTTTCGTTAGCGTCAAAGGTGGAAAAAAGGTCCTCCAGTTGCCGATAATCGACGCCCGACGTGACGGTTCTACGGTGACCACGGACTCGTCTGCAACAGAGCAAAAGCTCTGCCTCCTCGCCTTTTTGTCGTAAACGACAATTGCCTGAGTTTCTGGCTCTGCGGCCAAAAGCGGTCGCGATCTCGTCGCTATGATGGCGACGAAACTAATGACTTGCGCAACCGGAAGTAACACGCGACGCACATCGACTACTCGAATGAATAACAGATATGTAGATAACGAATGAATATTTCAGATAAGGAACGCGAGTAATTTTTATCGACGTATATGCAAGTCAAAAATAACGCAAAAATACAGTATGCATTTTAATTTTATGCGCTTGCTATGTCGAACGGTCAAGATTTGTCGATTTCCGGCGTTTAAAAGTTCGCATGTGGCGATAAGCTTCAATAGATCGAATCATATGCATATAATCGATAATTTGCGATATTTCTTGACGATTAATCATGTTATATTTAAATATTAAATTGTCCCACCACCTACGTACACTAATTTACAGCCACGTGTACGTGAGCTTTGGTGCTTCCTACTTCCGACAGTTTCCGGTTCTGAATTTCGAGTCTTGATTGCTTAGGCATTTTTAGTTTCCGACCTAAGTATACCTAGTACACCATAAATGAGGTACAGGATAAACCTATCAAAAATGATTTTACCGTACAGATGGTAAGACAGTTACTGTTTTACCTACAATCAATACATTTCACTGTAGGTCTACGTCTGACTGCCATACCGACCTGAAAATTCGGAGGTGATTTTAGCGTCCTCTTCTCATGGATGGCGGTCAGTTGAGGAACTATTTATTGGATCAGTGTTGATGGGCAGATAACTGTAGATAAGTGTGTGCATAAATACATGTAAGTTGACTATACGAGGGATTGAAAAAGGCAATCCAGTATTATCAGACGGCAGGCAGGTGCCCAAAGGAAACTACCCCTCCACTTACACACGTTAATGCATAGCCACGTTATATATATGTATAAGTTCTGGCGCTTGGTACAGCTACATTTTTACTTCCAAACTTATACAGGGTGTATAAATTTTAAGGGAGATTCTATAGGCCAAAATCAAGAATATCAATTTCTTAACTGAGGCTTCGTTAAAAAGTTATTAAAAAATTTCAAATCATTCTGAAAAAATTATTTTTGGTTGCGGGGCTCAATTACAATCATTTTTGGTAAATAGGCATACCCCGAAATCGTGCGCACTTTCGAGAAAAAAATTCCTTACCGAAAATCTAATGTGAGGCCAGAAATGCTTCCCTGAAGTTTCACGCGAATCTTTAAAATATCATAACTCCTGAACGGATTGGAGGATTTTAATTTTTCAAAATGCAAACAACGCGTATTTTACCGATTTCATATATTTGAAGAACAGCATGAAATTGATTTAATATTTTTCAGGGTTTCAACTGAATTCGTAATAAGTGCATCGATAGAGATTGACAGAAAGTAATAGTGTACTGATTAGCAGCGTTTAGATGTCAACAGATATAACGAATGTACCGTATTAATTGTGAAACTGGAAACACGTCTTTTCACGCCAATTTCCTCGGAACGAATGACGACTCCGTAGCCAAGACCGTTGCAAATTAGTCTGTTTATTACCGGAAGCGATTAAGCCTCAATTTCGAATAATTTCGTTAATACTTACAAACAGATTGCTAGCCAGCATTTAATTATTACGTTACAAAAATCGATATTTACCGATAAAAATCATCAACCATCGCCATCGAGTTCCGAAGAAACGATTTGTTATTTATTGTAATTCTAAATACGATGCACAGCGATAACCGTAAAATGAAATTTGCATATTCCGATGAACAATATTATCTCATAGTTAAAGCTAACGCGAAAATGCGGTGCAACCGACGGAGTGACCCAATTTACCGGAGATTTCTTTAAAAATGTTACAACTTCGTTGGTTCGTAATCCCGGTGCCGCGTTTTTGAAATAATTATCCTGCGCCCGAACTGAGGATGCGCGGCTCTTTTCGCCGGCCGCGGAATCCCGGCGACGCGATTGGCCCGCGTTTTCGCTCCGTCACGTGACCGCGGCGCGTATATACGTCTAGCCGCCGGCGGAGTTCCTCACTCACTCTTTTCAATCTTTGCGACGCGGTTCACTTTTCAAATCTCGCATGCCGATTTTCCGATGGTCCGTCATCCCGACCGTGCGATTCATTTCACAGTCCGTCCTCGCGGGGACGCCCCGTAAGGCGATAGGTTCTCCCAGACCACCCATAAACGATCTGAAAGAGAAAAAAAAAGAAAATAAGAATAAAAGCGCGCGTAAGGGACAGTAAACGTAGATTCGTACGATCTGGCGATTGATCCTCAGCGATGACCATGAACTGATCGAGGATAGACACGTGTAAACCGCGCCGTTTTAGAGTCGAGAGCGATCCTCGTTACCAGTTTCGCAACTGCCGTTCGTTCAGGATCACTTTTTTTCACGCGTAGAGAAATTCTGTGGTCTGCTAGTGACGCGGGAATGGGTTTGACGGACACGAGTTTCGAGGTACTTTTGACTTTGTGGTGGGTTCTCGTCGTGGGAGTTGTGTGGACCGAGGGGGTCCGCGGTCAGTGTCGCGGTGCCTTGCCCAGTCGTAGCATCATTCGTTAATTGTTTTGGACGTGTCCTTCGGTAAGTAGAACGTATTATAGACTAGCGTTTAGAAAGATTATCGCGGGATTACGGTGGAATGCCCTTTAAATTATCAATATAATATTCTCATTCGAATTTAACGAATTTAAAGATGCATTTATTTAACGAAAGGGCCTTGTTTTAAAATGTACAAGTTACAATGTATTTTTCAATAGATATATATTATTTATGCATTTCTAAATGGATTTTGGTACTCGTCAAATCAGATTGTACGAAATTATTTGAAACGAAAGTCCAGAAAGTATAATTGAAAATAAATATGTCCCAAGTTCTCCACGAAATTCTATTATTTATTAACGGAAATAGTAACGATAATCGCCTACTTAACACTGGATTTACGGAACCCGTCAATTTTTATATACTCAAAGCCATACTTAAACTTTCAGATCTTATAAATATTAGTTAACGATATACGTTGAATTTGATTAATTTACCAATATAAATTTACATTCTGATTAAAAGAAGAACTCGATAAAAATATGTGCAATCACTGTTCCGTAAATCTAGCGTTAATATCTTAACAAAGATATTGAAATTAAAAATTTGATACAGAATTTGCAGTGTATCGCAAGCTGTAACAAAAATTTAAATGAAAATTGTTTCTTTCGTGATTCGATTAAACTTTACCATTGCTGAAATGGGTCAAGAAGCCTTTTTTCCCCGGAACGAATGGGATTTTCGGCTTTCAGAATTCGTGCAAAATTAATTGGAGTAACTGCTTAAGCAGGTGTTGCTGTTGCAATTGCTAGTTGCGCGTTGTTGCAGGTACGGTTGCAATTCATTTTCACGGCCGTTTGCGGTCTCGATTATTATTCCCATTCTCGTGTTTCCAAGCTACTTATCACGTAAACATTTTAAGCAATCCCTGTTAAACGTGCTATTCGCGGAACGTAAGAATGATTAGTTATAATTCATCTAATTGTAAGGAACGATGAATTTTCCTTGACAAGAAGTTCAAAGTATATAGTCTACAGCGAGACAAATGAGGGGAAATAGAACTGGTCGACAGAAATCAATTATTTAAATCGTTTGACGTATCTCGACAATCGTTTGTTTTGAATCAAAATGATACAAAATATAGTCTCGAGAAAAACGCGTTTTACATTTTTCAAACCATATTCTATCAAAACTATAGAAAGAAATTGATTTTTTCCAAGGTCTACGGTACAATAAATATGATAGAATCCTTAAAAGAATCGACAAGTGTTTAGAGAAAACAATGTAAGAGCTAAAGTTGGAAAATTCTGTTTCTCCTTCTATGTTCCAATAAGAATACGGTAGCATACTATCAAAGTACCATATAAAGTGTTTAGATTATTGCAGTCCAACGATAAGATCAAAGAAAATTTTATTAGCAACTTAAAGACAACAAGGTTTAGTCTTCTTTCTGAAAAATTAGACTGCCCAATTGCAGCGAGTCGGGCGTAAGTGTAATAGATTGTTATTGTCTATCGAAGGTGTACCAACGTCTCTAACGATGAGTTAATTTAATACCAGAATCTTGTTTTTTACCTCTCGGTATACCCCTCCTCCCGTAGATCATGTTTCCTCGAATTTCTGTACGCGAAACTTCTCTCCCTTTGTCCCCCGTGCACTACGCTCGCATGACGCCTTTATATCCCGGAGAACACGCGACCAGACTTCGTTTCGTTCGTTTTTCCCCCGAGGAAGTCGTTTCTCCAGATCTCCGAGCAAACGGTCAGGGTACGTGTTTTCGTTTTGCAACGCTCGTTTGCACATTCGTAATTGAATCTAACTGCATTTGGCAGTGCGTGTTGCTTCACGGAGTTGCAATGGAACTGATTCCACGTTAGAGTTTTCCAATAACAGCAATATTATGCTACAATTTTGACAAACAACCATAAAAAATTTTTAACTGTACTCGCTCCAGCGTGAGATACTGTGAAATAGTAAGTAGACTATACTTCAAAACACTTAAAATAAATGAATAGTATTTATAACTTCACGAATAACGGCTGTAAAGTAACTATCGAATACTTCTGTTTTTGTCATAATTTGAAAAATAGTGGAGAATAGACCCAGACAGGTAAAATCAGCGTGGCGATCAACGTGTTGAGTTATACACGTTGACTACAAGATTAAATCAGACTTAAAACGTGGTGTCCACGCTAAAGTCGCGATATTTCAATAACTATCGATCGTAAGAAAAAATTGTTTACATGAAAATTGCAGGATAAAATAGATCTCTGTTTTGGCGTAAACGAAAATTTCGTTTAAGTTATTAATTTAAAAGATATGGTGAAGTTTCGCTTTTTGAATGGAACTATATATTCTTTTGTTGGATCATGCGATCAGTGCTTTTCAAGACGAATTTAATAACCTGGTGGCCACGCTAAAGTGTGATATAATGTACATATATATATATAATATAATTAGTCGCGATATTTCAATAACTATTGATCATACGAAAAAATTATTTACATGAAAATTGCAGGATAAAATAGATCTCTGTTTTGGCGTAAACGAAAATTTTGTTTATGTTATTAATTTAAAAGATATGGTGAAGTTTCGCTTTTTGAATGGAACTGTATATTCTTTTGTTGGATCATGCGATCAGTGCTTTTCAAGACGAATTTATTCACTGTACATCCTATTCTATCCTGCAATTTACAATACAAACAATTTTTTCGTACGATCGATGGTTATTGAAATATCGCGACTGTCACGGTTTAGCGTGGACACCCTGTGTACGTAACTTTCCGATTTACGCTGTGTTATGGGGGGTTAATTTACGACGTCGCTATATCTTGGCCCCTGGCATACCACGTTTCCAAAACGCGTCGATAACACAGTGACGGCCGCGCGCGGTTCGGAAAATTCGGGAGACCTCGACGCAGCGTTTTCCGTCGCACCTGTTCGCAGAATTTCATCGTCGTTCGGCAATAACCGCCGAATATCAATTAATCGGGTCGGTCTATAGACAAGCGTGGATCAGTGCGTGTGACAGAAAACCCCTCGTCGAGAGTCAGAGTCCCCTCGAGACCGGCACCGCGGCCGCCTTTGAAATATACGCTGTTTGTCCACAACCCGTCACTGGAGCACAATGAGCCTCGCTCGGAGCTTAAGCGTTGTCGCTTGAAGGGCTATCGATAACTTGTCGTCGCCAAATTACTCACGCGACCGCGCCCGCGCCCGTGTCCGTGTCCGTGTCCGCGTTCCGCGCTCGCATTCGCATTCGCACGCGTCTCGATCCCCCCCTCCCCCCTCTCCTCTTTTTTGCTTCTGTCCGAGTTTGCAAAATAATAATATAATAACTCGGTCGACGGGTGAATTAGCGATTTTTTAGGCGCGCTTCGTCGGAGAAAAACCCACCGCGAGAACGAGGACCCATTATGCTTGTCAACTCGATCGGGATTCCCCTGTCCGCTCGATGGATCTCGATCTGTTGCCGCATTTCATATCGGAGATCCCTGGAGTGTAGGTACTCTCTCTCTGACTCCGCAATTTAAATCGCCGTCCACCGTGATCGGTTATGTAATGTACACGGAGGCGGATTTCATTTTTCCCCTGGATCTGAAAGCAGATTTTACAAATATTTATTATTTCTTGTTTAACATTTTTCCCTAAAAACCTATACCTCTGCAACAGGCGTTATATCTAGGATCTTCGACAATAATTGACAAACTTACTGATCACTACTGTCTAATAATTTATACGTCTACGTAAAAATCGCCTAAAAATTGTACGATTCTGTGTATATATTGTAAGCAACCTTTAGGTTTGTAATGAATGAGTGCAGTTACATTATGTGAGAGTTTCGATTAAAGGCATTGCCGACTATGTGTGTGTGTGTTTCGCGTGAAGTATACATTTAGATCGTTTGTTAATAATAAGTTAGTTACGTTCGAGTCAGCTTTCCGTACAAACTATTGCATTAAGATGTTAAAGGGAAAATATCTAAAATATCTTACAATATGCAGACAGTGTTTATATTATGTACGATGGCGTCGATACTGAAAATTTGTAGATTAATCGGTCGATTTCTTGCAGGAAAGCGAGACATGTCGTCGAGGGTGGTGAAGAATCCTGCCAAGTTTGACGTCGGCGTTGATGGCAGAGAGACCTGGTCAGGCAAAGTCGACTTCCTTTTATCTGTTATCGGATTCGCCGTCGACCTTGCCAATGTGTGGAGATTTCCTTATCTGTGTTATAAAAATGGTGGTGGTGAGCGAATTTCAGTACTTTTATATCACTTTTGGCATGATCACCTCCGTTTGTGCACCAAATGAAGTAAAATAGTCCACTGTAAAAAATTCTAAAACCACACGAAAAGATTGGACCACTCGAGCAATTAAAAAAAATACCAAACAAATGAAGTCGATGTCTTAGAAAGCTACGAACGACTTTGAAATTCGAAAGAAAAATTAACGAGATTCTAATCGAAACCAACGTTTATGCGATCATTTAAATGTTCGGTACGAATCATTCTGCATTGCTTATGTAATTTACCGCGGACAGAACGAACAACCAGTTTCGCTTAAATGGGCGTGACTCAATTTTCATCGCGATTAATCACACGGCGTAAACGTTTTCGACGATATGCGCATTCAGTGAACGTCTCAAAGTTGTTTTTAGATTTTTATTCTCCGCTTCGAGTTTTTTCCTCGTAACGATCAGTCTTCCAGCGGTTTTGTCTTATTTTCAAGAGATACGTGGAATAATTCTAAGTAAACACCAACGCAAGCACATTAACAGAACAATTTTTCAATCGTTGGTAATATGCATCACGGTTGATTTAAGAACGTTAGAAACTCGTCAAGAGATAAGCAGATTTTGCAGCCGTTTAAGTTGCTCGGCTTTAAATTTGTAAATTGACATTTCCAGAATTAAACGAGCCTGGCAATTGCCAGCCAAGATTGTCTAATTTCGAAGTTTATGAAATACTTCAAAGAGGAAGATTGAATGTAATCATTCTAATGGATGTTTTTATGATTACACAAACTTTTACACGATCGTCAAATTTATAAAATATCTTCGATAACTGTTACACTCGTTTGAGCCACGAAAGATAGTCGTTATAAATAAATTATATATAAAAAAATTGTACGCGTGTCCTCGAAGATATTCGATCTAATGTTCGTATAATGTTGGTGATTTTTATTTAAATATTCCGAGATTCAGCTTCGTTGGTGTCTCGTAACGTTGTTAAGCGTTATTTCGCTACTGCAACGGGGGATGCATCGAGTAATGCACTCCTGCAGCCAAGTAATACGGTGTTAACCGGTCGACTAATTGGCATTTACCTCGTGGAAAATGAACCCCCGAGATTTAGATTTCACTTCAGGGTTCTTATCCGCGAAAGCGTCCACAGGACTCGAAATTGGCCCAAATTAAAGCGAAAGAGTAATTTAAGAGTCACGTTACATCTCGGAAGATTGCTCCGTTCCACTAGATTGTTTGCAGGCCATACTATATCGCTTTAAAACCACAATTTACATACATATCGAGAATAGGATCAAACGAGATTTTAAGAACGCGTATAGTGGGTTACAAACGATCAAATAACTCGAAAGTCCAGTGTGTACCGAGTTCTGACAAATAAATAATACCAATATGTCTTGCATTGTCTCGGGGCTGAGTCGAAGCTTCGTACGACGGTGTGTGACTTTGCTCCATTCTGCAAACCTTCTAACAACGACTCCATCAAGCCTCACGCAACGACTTGGAAGACTATGGCTCGTCGACGACGATGCTATTAGCTGTTCTATCGAGTCTGCCGTAGGAATACGATTAGGGCCGGCTATCAGCGATACGGGGCCTCCTCAAAAGCGGCTGCTAACTCAATTAAGAGCAGAGTAGGGCGCGCCATTAGTACCGGCAAGATCGGTCGCTAATGTCCAATTACCTTAATTAATTATAATTTCCCATTCGGGCTGGCCTTTGATCATGGACGCTCGCGACGCCTCTACCTGCTCCATGTCACCGTACGCGATCCATTATGTCGCGTGATTTCGTCCAATGTTTCGCGCTTCTTCTTTGCAGAAATCCGCCAATATTTCGCGACCCGTTAACCGTTAACTGTTAACTCGTGATCCCCTGCATCTGGAATTTTGAACCTCTTCTATCTCAAGGCACGCCTCCATTCTTCTTTCCAAACGTGCAGAACGACTGAAACAGTGGAAAACCATAAGACCACGTTGTCTTTTAATGTTAAATAATTATATCATTAAATCCTAGGGCGGCAAAATCGTTAAGTTTACATAATTGCCTGGTCAAGTAAAATTAAATAGTATTTTTTTTAAATTATTAAAATTATTATTTTTAGATTACCATTTAATTTTCTAATCATTTTTATCCGATAAGCAATGTTTTGCGATATAGAAACGATACACAAATTATCTCAGCAATTGCATTTCTTAGCGATGTATTTTCCGATTTAAAGGAGAGACGCCATTTTAATAAAACCGCCACAGTGAAGAGTTTCGATGAAAATAAGTGCAATCGATGCCCGTGAATCTTGCGTTGACGCTTGCTTGTAGATTTCTTGGATCTAATACTTCGATACAAGTTGATTTCGAGGGAAACGCGTCCATTTTAAGTGAATAAGAAAACATCGAGTGGGCGCTTTCATCGAATCTGCTCGTCATTGAAAGGGGGGGAAAAGAAGTAATCTGGGGTAACCGCGAGGTATGAGAAGAAGGGAATATTCTTTCTCAATGCGATTACGTCTCCGTGGTTACGAGGGAGAATTTATCGGAAAGAAAAAAGACAGAACCATAGGGAAGGAATGTGCAGTATTTGAGAGGATTCTAGTTTCAATTAGCGAGGACAGCATCCCCGGTTCGTTCCTGATCTGACCATCTCGGATCAGCTATGCAATTTTATCAATACAAGTATTATATACTTCATCGATATTCGTTGTTGTCCAACACGCAACAGGCACAACGATAACGTTATTTGCTTTTTGTATCTGTATGTATAAACGTCCAAAATATTTTTCCTGTATTTAATTAAAATCGATAAATTTCTTTTTGCTATTTTAATAATATGTATTACTATATCGATGATCTATCAAGAAATTCTTACTCTCTGCGACTGCTTTGCGATTCATCCACGTGTGCGACGTATCAACAGATTTCCTGTCCGTGTCACGGCCAAATGTCCGGTTTTAAATAACATTTCCGCTCAATTTTCAGCCTTTGACCGTTTACCCTTTGTGCTCGAAACGTGGAAATGTTTGATATTTGCTTAACTCGTCCGTCTTCGATTTTATAGAATTTCTATAGCGAAGCGATCGGTTCAATCGTCAGGAATGCTATAAACAAACAAAAATGTAGCATAAGGGAGTATTCTTCTTTAAATCCTACAAACTCCTTGTCTCTTTCATAGTTTTTTAGCTCACAAAAATGACAAGCTCTAAATAGATTTTTTACCGAATACTATGGATCGTTATTAAGACAAAAAAATCGATGTAAATCACCGAAACGTTTCAGTTTTTCCTATCGTTACGGCGGTACAGAGAAAATTCGAACAAGGTAAAGAAAAATGATCCAAAATGAGTCGAACGTTAAACTAGATCTTTTCAATCGAGCAAAAAGACAATTACAATTACATTGCTTTGCTATAATATACTATTACTATTACATCTCTACTCGCGATCGTCGAACTGTTTAACATATTTGTATAAATTATTTATTCTACAATTGTTCGCGACCGTTGCGGTGTAATTTCTTGATAGACGTTATCCGATCTCTGAAAATTCATCTTCGCCAATTTCCCCCGATCGTTTGACGAATCGGCTCCATTCGAATCACCATTTTAGCTTCACCTTGCCACATTTTCGAAAGTTCACTATCGAATTACGCACCTAAAAGCACCTCGCTGCCGCTGGTGCTCTAAATATTCTGCAATCCAGTTATGCAGCTAACGCGGTGATGCTGGTAGCTCGCATATCACTCTTTTTCCCCTCGCTCTTGGCGCCGCCCCCTTCGCGCGAGGCCAATACCGTCAAAGATGATAAGAACATGGAGAAAAAAAACCCATAACGGATATCCCTGCGTCCTTAAAAATTGCGTTCGGTAACTGCGGAAAAAAAAAACCAAACATGAATGTTGAATTCTTGAAATAGAAAAGCCTTTGTTGAAACCTCGCGCGTAATAATTAATCTTAAAGCTGTTCGAATTTCAAGTTTGAACGATTAAGTAAATTATTAATGCGTTTCTGTTGACAGGTGCCTTTTTGGTTCCATATTGCATAATGCTGGTGGTAGGTGGAATTCCCCTCTTTTATATGGAGCTCGCCCTAGGTCAGTTCAATAGAAAGGGTGCGATCACATGCTGGGGTCGTATAGTGCCACTTCTAAAGGGTAAGTAGACGTCAATTCATATTTCCTGAACTCATAGTTGGCGTTAGTTTTAATCACAACAGTAGAACATTATTATTTCTAAAAATTATAAATTATGATCAGAGAATATAACGAAGTAGAGTCAACGACTAGTGTTGACAATGACACCAACCGCGAGTTAAATCATATCATAACTATACTCGTTCGCTTCTTTGCTCATTGAACGACCCTAGTATTTTCCGAGAAATAACGTGACAAATCGGTGATTATGGCGGTCGAAAAGAGTTAAAAAAATACACAATGAATTTTGAGGTAATAACGTGGAATTTTCCCATCTCGTCTAATGCACGAGATGATGCTCGACAAAAGGACCATCGACGATCCAAGACTTTTCCGAGCGACCGTCGGAACGTCTCTGAAAACGTTCCGAACCACTTTGCCGTCATCTCTTACAATGAAGAACGACGCATTAGGCACGCCCAGTATATTTTTCTTTTATTGCACACTTCGGCCGGCGCGGTACGCGGTGTTTTATGTAACGCGTATAAATCCAGGGAAATCCGAGGGGGTGGACGAGCACTCGAGAAGAGCCTCCATTTCCGGCGATTTCCTGCTTCATCGCGGCGATTTCAACTAGGGCCGTCGCGATGATCGATCTAAGAGCCAAGGAGCCCCTTGTCTCCCGCGTGCTTTTTCCTTTTGATCCGCATCGATGAACGACGTAATTGATCCCGATGAAGCCGACCCTCCCCGCGGGATAATGGAATATTCTCTGCCGGGGGAATTGGGGATATAAAACACGTCTCGAGAGATTTTTAATCCTTTCGAGACGAGTCTTCTATACGTATATGCATAGAACGTGATCCCCCCCCATTACAAGCACGAACTGAAATCATTTTAATCTCTCCCTAAAAGATTTTATAAAGTGTAAAACCATTTGCTTGCAAATATTTCAAATTAACCGAGTGCAGGCTTTTGTTCTTGAAAAATATAAACATGACTAGGAAGTATACCTATACAGGGTGTCTCATAGCATGTGGAACCCACTTCAAAGATGGATTCTACATATACAGAGTGTTCAGCCAACCATGGGAGATTTTAGAGGCCAAAGTAAGACGAAAATCAAGAAAAATTAAATTGAAAAATTTCAAATCGTTCTGGAAAAATTATTTTCGGTCGCGGGGGTCGATTACAACCGTTTTTGGTGAATACACGTACCCCCGAAATCCTACGCGTTTTCGAGAAAAAAATTCGAGATGTGAAATTTTTCGACGGGGGTAAAAAAATTTCAAATCGTTTGGGAAAAATTATTTTCGGTTCCGGGGGTCAATTATAATCATTTTTGGTGAATAGACATACCCTCGAATTCCTGCGCGTTTTCGAGAAAAAAATTCAGTAAGGGCGGAAACTTTAAACGTTAATAACTTTTTAACGAGGCCTCCATCAACAAATTGGTATTCTTGATTTTCGTCCTATTTTGGCCTCTAGAATCCCCCAATTGTACCAGTCTTATCCTAAAAGCAATTTCCACAACCGTGGACTGTTCTTGTGACCAGGAATCGGATACGCAGTCGCCTTAATTGCATTCTACGTCGATTTTTACTACAACGTGATCATTGCGTGGGCGTTGAGGTACTTCTTCGCCTCGTTCTCCAGCCTGCTGCCGTGGACCACGTGCGACAATCCGTGGAACACGCCGCATTGTCGTTCATTCGACGCGAATATTTCTTACACGTTCGACGATCCGTCTCTCGCGGAATCGTTCGATCAGAGAGATTCCAACAACTCGTCACTGATCGAAGAATACCTGGACAGAACTTCGAACCAAGGCTACAACAATACTTGGTACACGAGCGCCGCTCAAGAATATTTCAAGTAAGTCTGCTCCTCCTACGCGAATCGACGACCACGATTCAGACACTGAAAAATAAGGAAAATTAATGGACTTTTGATATAGAAACTAGATAGAGAAACGAATCTTTTTGGGGATTGAAAATAGGGGGAACGAAAAAAGTCATAATGAAACTAGGGGGCAAGAAATATTAATACGATATTCTGTTACTCTGTTTAAAGTCTGCTCCTCCTACACGAATCGACCATGATTCAGGGGACACTGAAAAATAAGGAAAATTAATGAACTTTTGATATAGAAACTAGATAGAGAAACGAATCTTTTTGGGGATTGAAAATAGGGGGAACGAAAAAAGTCATAATGAAACTAGGGGGCAAGAAATATTAATACGACATTCTGTTACTCTGTTTAAAGCCGAGCGATTCTAGAGCTTCACAAGAGCGAAGGCTTGCACGATCTTGGGAAAATTAAATGGGACATAGCGTTATGCTTGTTAGTGGTCTACCTCATTTGTTACTTCTCTTTGTGGAAGGGCATTTCTACTTCCGGAAAGGTGAGATTTTACGTCACCTTCGCGAGATCGTTTGAAAAATTTTTAAATAAACTTCTCGTCACAGGTAGTTTGGTTCACGGCTTTGTTCCCCTATGCCGTTCTACTGATTCTACTTATACGGGGCGTTACGTTGCCAGGAAGCCTAGAAGGCATACGCTACTATCTCAATCCGAACTTTTCCGCCATCACTAAAGCAGAGGTAATCAGAGCTACTGAACTGTAACATAAAAAAATAAATTTCAAATTAATTTCATCGTCCTTGCCACATTCGTCCACCGTATTTTGGGCACCGATAATTAAATGAGACAGATATAGAATAAATATTACAAATTCCTCGTCATCGGTCTTTTGTAAAAAGTTTCTAAATTTTTAATTGTAAAAAGGAATAATTTGCTTGACAAATATTTCAATTAAGTCTTATACCGGTTACCAGTATTTCCATGCTTTTTGAAATAATTTACCAAGATGTTCCAAAATGCAAAATAATAAAAGCACAGCGGCTTTCTCCTTTTTTTACTGTTCATTGTTCCTCGATCGTTTCCTCACTTTCATTTTATTATATTATAAAACGTTTGGCTTTTTCTAGAGAGCCAGTAGCGTTCTTATAGAAACGTTCGCACTCGCGATCCATCGTAGACTTGGTAAAATGTTTTCCAACGGATAATCGCAGAGTTATGAGGTGCCCATTTACAGTGGCCGCGGGGAAGGAATAAGAAACCGAAGGACAGAAAGTTAATGCACTGGTATAAGAGAGTCGGGAAAAGTCGAGCAACGTGGCCGGGAAATATTGGGGGAAAGAAAAACGTGCCAGGTTTATCCGACGACGCTGAAAATGGAAACTCTGTGTACCTGTCATAATGACCATTAGAGTTCGGTCAGCCACGGTTCTGGAACCGGCACGTTCGACCCTCCCGATTCATAAGCGGAATGCATTTCTTTCCAGCGACTTAGCCGCCGCTCCTGGATCGCTAAAATGGATTTTATACAGCGACCGTGGAAATTTGTCGATTCCCATAAGCTCGTCATAGACAAGAAATTATTTTTATTCTGCTTATTTTCCTTGGTCTCTTAACACGGTTAATTCTTTAACGGACGCTCTTTTCATAAAGCTCTCTTCCTGTTTTTCAATCGATATTTTATAAATATTCAAATATCAGTCACGAGTACTTGCATCATTAAGCGGACAAATAAATATGAATTTTATTAATTCACATAGCTCGTTGTATGCACATATAATTCCTTATCGTCAGACTCTTTCGTTACAAACTAATTCTGAATTATAAATGTATGGGAACTGAAATTTGCCGACTAACGTGTTTGGATCTAAGCGGTAATTCTTCCGCAATTTTTATAATTTTTTTTTTTTGTCAGTAGATGTTAAATCCAGTGGTTTATTTAGCAATTTTTAAAAGAATAGAACGTAATTTTTGTGATCTTGATATTGTAAATCAATTCTGATTTTAATTATAAAACAAAATTTATGAAACCATTCCGTTAGCTTATGTTAAGAACCCTAAATCTTTTTTTTAGGTATGGGTAGATGCCGCGACACAGGTATTCTTCTCCCTCGGGCCGGGCTTTGGGGTGCTATTGGCTTATGCGAGTTACAATAAATATCACAACAACGTTTACAAGTAAGAAATACTCGCCAACGTACCGAAACCATCCCGACCAAACTTCAATAATTTTTTCTCGTCGTTGAGCATATACATACAAGAATATTAAACAACCTCTTTTCTAAATACAAAAGCCACCTATTTTTTAGAGCCACTCTTGCACAGTTGCTTTCAATTACAATAATTTTTATTATTTTCTTGCCTCGAAAGCAAATTTAGACGGCTAAATTAAAGTTTCATTTCTCTTAAATTAATATTGTATACAAAATTCCTTCATTAGTGTTTTAAGGGCTTATTATACAACCTGATGGTTGTCTCCACCAAATGTCTTCCACCATTTCGAAGCTATATTGCTTGTATTTTCAGGGACGCATTATTAACCAGCCTAATCAACAGCGCAACATCTTTCATTGCTGGTTTCGTGATCTTCTCTGTGTTAGGATACATGGCGCGGGCAAGTGGAAAGTCCATCCAGGACGTAGCAACCGAAGGTCCTGGTCTAGTATTTATCGTATATCCTGCTGCTATAGCTACCATGCCCGGCTCCATGTTTTGGGCACTCATCTTCTTCATGATGCTGCTGACTCTGGGCCTGGACAGCTCGGTACGTTTCTCAATATGAATTTCATTCGTTATCCTGTACAATTAATAATATTCTTTCAATTCTCAATGGAAATGATGATTTTCAACTTTGAATTAATTTATCTCTTGAAAGTAAAATGTAAACAGATTTATGTAACTGCACAATGTCCTTAACACGTCCAAGCATAGGTACTCGTTTTTTAAAAGATTCTATTTCCCCTGAAATTCTTTCAAAACGCATACGTTTTAAATTTAAAAAATGTAATCGTATTTCGTACGATGGACTATGTTGAATTTTATTTAATTGCATTAATTCAAGGTGTTTTCTTTACGCGATAAACTTTGGAAATTATTCCTCTAAATTTCGAAGTTTCTTTGCTTAATAAACCATGTGCTTTTTTTATAGTTTGGTGGTTCTGAAGCGATAATAACTGCTCTCAGCGACGAGTTTCCCATTATCGGGAACAATCGAGAAATTTTCGTCGCTTTTCTTTTCACACTGTACTTCGTCGTTGGATTAGCTTCGTGTTCCCAGGTAAAATAAACGTATAACTGACCCAACTTAACGACATACTCGTTCAGTAACAAACACCGAATTTAAAATGCTCACTAAACCCGATTAAATATTTTACCGTAATCTTTATTATGATTCAATTTAATTGCTATTTTGTAATACTTTTATACAGGGTGTTCGGCCACACCTCGAAAAAATTTTAATGAGAGATTCTAGAAAATAATTCTTTCAGAACGATTTAAAATTTTTTAATTTTGTCGAAAGTTTGACCACCTTCTCGAATTTTTTTCTCGAAAGCGGATAGGATTTCGAGGGTATGTCTAATGACCAAAACTGATCGTAATTGACCCCCGAAACTGAAAATAATTTTTTTACAATGATTTGAAATTTTTTAATTTCGACGAAAAATTTGTCCACTTATTGAATTTTTTTCTCGAAAGCGGATAGGATTTCGAGGATATGTCTAATGACCAAAACTGATTGTAATTGACCCCCGCAACCAAAAATAATTTTTCCGTGAATGATTTGAAATTTTTTAATTTAATTTTTTAATAACTTTTTAACGAAACCTCGATTAAGAAATTGAAAGATAGTTACATTCATCCCCAATACTGTATATTGTGCTCACAGTTATCCGAATTTCAGTGGCCCAAAGTCGCGACTTCGTAGGATTAGAGTTAATGGAATTGTTGGAAATTATTAATGGCATTTTGTATTTACGCAGGGTGGCTTTTACTTTTTCCATCTGTTGGATCGTTACGCTGCCGGCTACTCGATGCTGTTCGCAGTTTTGGCAGAAGCAATCGCGATCAGCTGGATCTATGGAACGGACCGATTTTGCGCGGATATTAAAGATATGATCGGCTTTTCCCCCGGAATTTACTGGAGGGTTTGCTGGAAATTCGTCGCGCCAATATTTCTCATGGTACGTTGTTCATTATTTTTTCTTTTTCCCATAAAATACTACCGATCCTACCTCCCAATAGATCCCTCAAATTGAATTCCTGATTTATTAACTACGCGAAATATTAAAACAAAAAAAAGGCTTCCATTAATTATTTGAAATGGACGTTGTTGCCAAAAATATAAATTTACCAAAATTACGCAGTTGGAAAAATGTCGGGTAAATAAAACTAAATAAATCTATTTTTTTTTTGCGGATTATGCTAGCTATGTAGTCCTAATATTACAGCCCACTCCTTAAAATTAGATTCTACCGTAATCTGATTCAATTATTACTCTCGATCCAAATAAAATTACATACTATATTCCACTACACAGAATATTTCTAAAATAAATGCCAAAGCTTTGGGACGAGAGTAGAACCATCCTATTTCATATGTTACAAACGAAGAAATCCAACGAATATGTTTTTTTTTCAAATAATCTTATGTGCTGTTCTAGTTTATTATCGTTTATGGTTTAATGGGCTACGAACCGCTGACTTATGAGGATTACGTGTACCCTGTCTGGGCAAACGTACTAGGCTGGCTAATTGCGACTTCCTCAATTGCCATGATACCCGGCATTGCAATTTACAAAATCATCGTCACGCCCGGCAGCTTCATCCAGGTAATCTCGATATTAAACTAATTGTACTTATTTTTACCAACTTCTAACAATTGATGAAAGAATGTCGCATTAACGCATATCTGTTAATATTAACTACAAGCCTTTAACATCCATATCAACCCTCAGACAGAGTTGAACAATTTTATTTGTGAATAACACATAAAAATTTCACATTCATTTTAAAAGAATTTGTTGCGCATGAAGAGATTAGTTCCTCTGGATCGTTCAATCTGAAAAATGAAAAAACTAATTATTCAATTGCTAGAACTCCTCGTTTCAACAACTGCCCCCTGTGGAATTTATTACCTATAATGAAAAACAACATTAACTTTAACAATCCTTGAATACCAACCAAGTAATGTTACCAATATTTGTTAAATTATAGAGATTGAAGATTCTCACTACTCCTTGGAGGGACACGCAGCAGAAGAACGCTGACTTGTCCTCGGTAGCAAACGGCGCAGTTCATCGCAGTTTCATCGCAGACCAGGACTTGAACCTGCCCAACGAACAGCAAGAATTGACCAAAGAACAGACAGAGGTGATGATCCAGTCCAGAGAAGGTATTAACGGGGATCCACCTCCGGAGCCGGTCTAGGACAGTGCGGTTGTGATTTTGCACGGTGCACGGTTCCAAGTATACCTTTGCTAATATTCCATCATTGGGATTTAGTTTTATGGAAAAGTTTTCGCGATAAATCGCCTAGACCTCGAACGCACTCACTTAGACTTTACGATGCGATCCTTACGACGATTCTTTACTCCCTGAATGGCGAGGATTCGCGACGGGACCTTTGTGCCAGTGAACTCGATTCTTTTGACAGTGAGGAAAAAGCATTTTCTTTACGCGTCACGATTTATCAACAAGAAATTGTTTAAAAAAAAGTATTGTAACTTCTCTCCGCCGTGGACCACAACAGACTCAGGTTTTTTGAAACAACTGCTTCGCTTCAAACCTTTCTTCTACACTGATAATTTTTTGTCTTCTTTCCCGGAACTCTTCGACATACCATTCAAAACCAATTGGACTTTTTGTGCCCCGCATTCATTCTTTGTTTATTACAATTCCAGTAGACGAAGGTTCGGACATTCTTCTCTCATGAAACCGTATTGAAACTCTTTTAAACGGGATCGTGTGTTTCTATATTCTTGCAAAAGATGAGACGAATTTAATAACTAGCAATAATACATCATCGTTATGAATATTGAAATAGTAGCGATAGTGTACCAACGTTATGAAACGAACAATTCAGGTACTGATTTTATTTCTTTAAGTAAGAAATATCCAGTCGTTTCCATTTGATTGTTCGAGCACTCTTACATAGTCTGGCTTGGTCAGACGTACATGCTGTGTAGACTATACGCAAATTGAACCCACCGATCAGGTGTAAAATGTTATATTACACTGTATTAACGTTCAAATGTTATTGAGATAACGAAGCCTATCATCGAAAAGCCTTTATGCTTTGTCGATTTAATATCTAGAATAGAATAGTCCTTAGACAGGCAATACGATGGAAAAGCAGGAATTTTTAATTAGCACAATCTTTTTCCTACAACAATTGTCTGTCTCCTTGACTCTGAGAATCGACGACGCAAATGGTTGAATAGATGTTAAGTATTTGAAAAACTATTATTGTGAAGTTGTTAGAAAATATTCTATGTGCAGATATACATATATGTATGATATAGTTTATAGCTATTGTTGTTAGATATAATGGTATGTATGTATGTATAATGATATATTGATGCGTGTGCATATATCTATACATACATATAGGATAAACCACCACCCACTAAATGCGTCCTCGACATATTTCAGGTTCTCAAAAATCACGAAAACTATTATGGTGTTCCGTTTAAAACGAACCATCCTGTATAATTGTATGTTATATTTTATACATCGCATCCGAGTTGCAACCACAGCCATAGGTAGCAGCTCGGGCCTTGTTAACGTAATAAATAAATAAATATTCGCAAGAATACGACAACTATATCATAAGTAAAATAACACTCTTTCGTTGCTTCGAAATTGTAATTATCTCGGATTTATATTAATCAAACCTTCTGTCATAATATTTCATAATTCTGTTTATAAATTTCAATGATGTTAAAAATGCGTACTTGATTCACATTTGAATTTTCGTTCACGGGCATCCCACGTCGCGGATGTACAATCTCATGTATCACATACAATATCAGTTTCTTTAATAAAAATTTCTGAAAAATATCAAAATGAGAATATTTTATTCCCCAGTTTTAAATAATCATTAAATTTGTTTTTATTTATTAGCGTTTGTTTCGTCGAGATTGAGAAATTACGCCAATTTTTACGGAGGGAAAAGGAATGGTAGTTTTGAGCCTTAAAACTAATAAAGAACAGGTCCTAGTGGATAAATCATAGTAATGACAAAAAAGGATACCTCGAATAATAATTAGTAAACGATGCATCAATCCTCCTACCTAAAACTTTCAATTGACACTGTTTCGAGGTTAGGTAAGTAACTCAGCTCGGCATTTAGTCAAGTCCTATACAACGCTATTATAGGCGAAGCGGCTACAACCACAACTAAACAAAAAGGAGGGAAATTCAATTTTACTTAACATTTCATTTCGTTCTTCTATGCATTATTCATAACTCTATTAACACTACTGCCGAAATGTAAACTTACATCTTGAAATATACATTAATACCTGGCAGAAACATTAATAGCGTTATAAATAATGAGATACAATGTAATACTAAAGTAGAGTAATAATATTAAAATTAAAAAACATATATTATGCTGCGAGTAAGAATTAAATTTGTCAGATTACATTTTTACCCAACTCTGAATGTTGGTTACCCGCCATCCCTGCTTTTTACTTGTGTTATAACCTTAAAACAAATGCTGGATCTTTATATTTTCAAACAGAATTTTCGATGCACCATTGTACTTTGTGTACTCATGAAACAATATAATCATAAAACGCCACCCTTTCACATACGTTTTGTCTTTGAATATTCGTGAAGTATTCGAAAAGCCATTGAACGATATAAGTGATCTATAATCTATGATAGGGATATGTGCAGACGAGATATCTGGTCACATTATTTTAATGAATTATTTATTTCAGAGTATGTATTCCTTTTACCTCAGATATTTTAAATACTATAGAGCTTTACTTTAACGCTTATTTAAGGCTCGCTTTTAGAACACTATACTCGACAATTCCATAACATTCGACTTCTCGTTATGCTGATCGATAGTGGGAAAAATGGCGCCTGTCACGGAGAATCTAACCGATGTACAGAAGAAGATATTTGAGAAAATCATAAAAAATGAGGTGTCGGAACTTAAAACGCTGTTGGCAGCAAACAAAGTTAAAATGGATTTCGTGGATGAAAATGGTATGAGCCCGCTTCAACACGCTTGTTACAAAGGAAACAAAGAAATAGTACAGATGCTTCTTGATCAGGTAGGTTAACTCTTTAATAATGTAACTAAATTATTAAAACGTATTTGAAAAATATTTTGCTCTTTTAATAACTGTGGTACTTCCATTGTCAATAAAAAATTGGCAAAAATATACCTTTCGCATATATTTTTCATTTTCCGTATTCGTGCATTTAACACAAGGTTAGAGAACATTGGACAAACAATAATTTATTAATCCGGCAAATTGTATTCACCTACAAAATATTTTAAATTAGTATATTAAAGGAAGGAATAATCATCAAATATATGGCTATATATCTTTTTTTTGCAATTTAAATGAAAATTTCTTTAATAAAACATGGAAATAATTTTTCTCAAAAACGTTTGTAATAATTTTTGATTTTAAAGATGCATTATATCGCATAATGTATTTAAAAAATTTGGAACAGTTAATTGCATTACTTTAGAATGTCTAATTCTTGCAGGGAGCAGATGTGAACGCGTGTCAACATGAAAATGCATATACGGCTCTCCATCTTGCAGCTTTAAGCGGAAATGCTGAACTTTGCTATCTTCTGATGTCTTACGGGGCACGATTAACAGCAACAAATAGCGTAGGACGAACACCGGCTCAGATGGCTGCTTTTGTTGGCAATCACAATTGTGTAGCGACTATCAATAATTTCATTCCAAAGGCTGACATAGATTACTATGTCAAACCGCAAGGGTTGCAGACAGAATCTATGCTACCGCCGCATTTAGCAGATTCTTTCCATAAATTTATAATGCAAGTAAACGTGCATCCTGTGCGCGTAGTTATGAATTTACAAAGATGCCCTGGTCTTTTGGAAAATGCTACTAAGGTAAAACAAATAATTTCATGCGCGACGATAAAAGTTTCTAAACAACGTCGTTCTTTCTCTTCCTACTTTTAGGTGCACAATGTGCTGGAATGTATGCGTCACAAGGAAATGACGAGGGGCGCGGAGACAAACGAAGTGATGGCGTTCAAGTATCATTATCTGAGTTGCGTTGTGGCGGAAGTAATAAAATTTCAAAAAAGGCAAGAGGCAATGAAGGCGGAGAAAAGTGAAAAAGCAAACGAGGAGGGAGAAGAAAAGAAATCGGACACCATTGAGGTCCTAATAAGGAAATTTTTAAAATGTAGTAAAAGCGACGGTACTCCCGAATACCAAGAAGTATTCCTAAGGGAATGCGTAAGAGAATTCCCGTATAGGGAAAGCCCAATTTTTCGTCAAATGGTAGCGACCCTTGCAGCCAGCGATCCACCGTCCGCTGTATCGGTAGTGTCGGCTGCAATTAATGGACAGAGAGCGTTCTCAGACAACGCGCAAGTTTGCGTCACGTGCAGAGAAGACAAAGCGAACAAAAAATGCAGCAAATGTAAAACTGTGCAATACTGCGACAGAGAATGCCAGAGACTGCATTGGTTCATGCACAAAAAGGCGTGCACCAGATTAGGTCAAATCTCGATGCCGAGCACAAAAATAAGCGACGCGGACAAAGAACAAATAAGCAGTACTGTAAGCTCCAAGCTACAAAATTTAACTGTTAATTAAGAATGAGAAATGCGAAATTCAATTCCAAACAATCAGTTTCGGTGTGCTGTACGTATGAGTTTAATTGTTAATTATTTTAATTACGTTAGGAGACTAAGAAGAAATATGTTCTGCTATACTTTCAGGAAGCGTCTCGGAGTTTTTTAGTTTTTAATTATACAGAGAGTAACGGACTTTTTATGTATCGCTATATATTTTTACCTTCCTTTTGTCTGAAAAAAATTCATCACCATTTATGTATTATACATATTTTCGTTATACACAAATACTCGGTTAAAAATGTGATTTCCTCAGGATTGTACTCTTGCGGTTGCCATCGCCATAAAAATAAAATACACTTGTGAATATGTTTTTATCATTTTGAATTTTTAATTATTTTTAGAGTCTTAAAACCCTTACTTAAAATCATGATAAAAAATAGATATATCATTATATTCTAGCGTATAAAAAATATTTGGACGAATCAAAAATTTAGAATAAAGTATATTAATCTTTAACAAGTGGAAGAAGAGCTAATATTTATTTTATTTATTCATCGCGTATTCTTATCTAAATTATATGCGGAAGAATCGGAATGTCTACTGAACTCTATGCAATGTACAGTGCCTTTGACAACAAAGAAATCACCTAACTCTATTTCCGAAATTACTTCTGTTTCATTTAACAAGAGAATACGATAGTTTTTTTTTACTTACTCGTAATTAGTTATCATTAAATCAGTCCCGATGTCGTAGAACAACGTCGCCAGTTTTCCTGCGTGTTTCATCGATGGCGAAAACAATACCTAATAAAGTTCCAAATAAAATCAAAGATTTATCAAACATTGTTATGCGTATATTCATATAAATCTTACGAAACTAGCCTTCGATTTGCAATCGATTTTTGCAATGATTTACAATGATTTAATAGAATTAGCGCGTTTAGAAATTGATCAATCGTGAAAATATTAGAATGCAATGTCTTCTAATTTAGAAATATTAGTAGAAGTAATTCTTTCTTTTTCAAATTCAAATGCAGAAACCTAAAGGATATTTTCAATAGTCGCGGATATAAAAAATAAAAAACATCTATCTAACGATACCATTTACAAAATAATTTGCGAACTGCTTCTTTAAATAATATAGTTGAATTTTGTTTTTTTTTTATTATGTGTAAATTATAGAAATATATTTATATTATTTATTCTATTTTATTTGCTTGTAAAATATGTACTATTTCTATTTATTATTTTTAAAATGTATGTAATTTTTATTTGTAACTGTGCAAAAATATTTATTTTTGTTCTATAATTACTGGTAAGATTTTTGTCACTATTGCAACAAATATTGATACTACCGCCATTTCTACCAAATAAAATTGTTGTTTCAAGGTACGTGAAACTAACGTTTTTATCGTTATTTCTATATCCTTTCCTTCTTACCCACTTCTTACTACGAATATTTTGTATAAATAATGCAACATTTCATGTTGTTTTATAAATAAAAAATTACGTATATTTACCTCGTCCTAGATTACTGCAATATGTCTGCAATATTGCATGCTACATGGATATTATTGTTGAACCAACTTCTTTTTCTAAAGATGGTTAAAACTAACAAACCAATATCTACGTTGATTGCGTCGCATTTTAATTTCATGAAAATGTCTAACATTGAATTTATTACGACGGAAAACTTACAATGAAATAATTTAGTTTGCGTTCGGATTTCGTTCCTAATTCAACACTATCGATACTTGAATCATCGTAGCTAGGTTCACAAATGTACAATTAGAATCTAGGGGTTTTTTAGTATTGTTACTCTATCGCGTGAATCCGGGGTTAGTACACATAGCGCCGCGACGGGAATTTATTAGAACTAGATTAATCACTAGGTGCCAACCTAGTTACTGACATTGAGTTTGAGTTGGTATCTATGTACTTAACACACTTGCATAGAATGACAACAATGTTATTCTGTGTCTTTAATTGTGTAGACTTGATTTTTTTTTAAATACCTTGTAATTACATTCGAAGGGCAACAATCATGGTAAAATGGCCTTAACGTATACCAATTACCCAAATAATACGGCTGAATTTAATTTTATAACAGAAAAGCTTCTCATATTAACCCAAATAAAAAGCAATGACACAAAGTTAATCAACAATTACCTCTGCGAGCTTAATAAACTCGATTTTCGATATGTTACTATTTTAAATAATGATGTAAGTTAATTTAAAATAACTTTGAGCTATAATAACTTATTCAAGGCTTTCGATTTGTTTATTTCATTGAAATGTTTCAGGAACTGCAATTACTAATTAAGCAACTATGCATGATCATTGTACCTTTGCAAACAGTTCTGATTCAGAATACTTGCAAACTATTAGTTAGTTTGATCCAAAATAATGTAAGGCTTCAAGGAGAAACACTGAAGTGTTCTCAACAATGGATTTTAGAAGTTTTAGAATCAGCTGCTCTAATTGCGCACAATGACATTCTTTGTGCCTTGAAAGCTATTTTAATCAACGAGCATTTTGATGATATTAATAATGTAAATATCATATTACATTATGTTAATTTAAAATATTGTAAATACATTTCATTTAAAATAGCATGTCTTTACAGTATTTACAGTTATTACTTGGAAAGGAAAGATTGCTGAAGAAATATTTAACTCCATCCGATTCAAAATGGTCTGAAGTACAGTATCAAGCGGTTGGTTGTTTAGAAGGAATTTTGATAAACAAACATAGCGATACTCCTATAGCACAAGAATTTATATGTATTATAAAAGATATTGTATTAGATATTGTTTCATCCTTTTTATACTTAAACGGCAATAAACTTTATTGCTCTAAAGTAAGTAATAAATTTGCAATATACATTAAATTTAGAGAGTATCATGCATAGAATTAAATTTTTAGATTTTAAGTTCGTGCTTGCATATCTTGCACATTATAACTGCCAATAAGTTATTACCGCATTCCACCGATTCTATGGGCGAAATTTTGGGAGTGGTACAAGCATTTTCATTTTATGGTATTAAGAAATATCCACACGCAAAGCCACAACTTCTGCGACCAGCAGCGATGAATCTTCCGGAAACGATTCACGTTATTCCTAGATGTAAAAATTTGAAAAACCATAAAGCGAAATCGAAAAAACTAGTCAAGAAACCTGTCGGAGATGTAAAAAATAATATTGTAACCGAATGCAAAGGTGTTGGTACGCATTCCAGCGATTCTGATACCTCGGACACTGAAAGCAATAATTCTGATTATCTGGATTCCAAAGTAAGATTGGAAGCAGTATGTTTGCTGCAAGCGATCGTTGAAAATTCACAGAGTCGTGAGATATTTGGATTCTGGCCGCAAATTGTAGCCACTGGATCACGAAGCGACGCACGAGTATTAACTAGAAGTATTTTAAAGGAGCCTGTATCGAAAGTGAAACAAACTATGCTGAGCACATTAACAGAATTACTTGTAGATGCTAAGTCTTTTTTAATACACGCAGAAGACGCCCACCATACGTCTTTTATTACCTTTTTTGGCACTGTGTGTCTGATGATAAAAGAATTACATTTCACGGTGTCCTTAGTTTTAAATAGTGACAAAAATGTAGCAGTTTTAACTCATGCTTTAAAATGTGCTGCCGCTCTGATTCAGGGTACGCCGTATTCGCGTTTGAAAACAGGACTTGCTACAAAATTAATGAAAAATTGCGGCCCGTATATATTTCACAAAGGTATTTGCGTTATTGATATATGCTTGTACAAAAATCAACCGGTACATTTATTATATTTTTTTTATAGATCCGACAGTTCGAGTTGCAGCGTTATCAGCTTTTGAGGCTGTTGCTTCCCACGATCCAGTGACGCCTGAAATATTTGACATACTTGCAAAACAATCGACTCTGAACATAGAATCGGAGCATCCATATTTAAATACTTCGCACAGCGACAATACCGAAGAAGAAGTAGACGTCGAAGACCTCGAAAGTAATATAATTGATGAATATGAAAATAAATTATTGAAAGACACGAACATCTGTTTCTTGATTCACGTCTGTTTGGAGAATATAGCAAATAAGGTATAATTGTATTTAAATATTGCAAGACGAAACGTAAATCGTTTTTTATAACGGATCGTGAATTGTTTGATCGCAGACAATGAACACACCTGTCCGCCTTCAATCTCTAAAACTAATCGGTAGAATGGCATTCGCTACCGGAAGTCTCGTGTTTTCGCACGTAGAGCTAGTTACAACAACTTTAACAGCTGTTATACAGGATTCTGAAACACAAGTGATATTACATGCTTGCCGTACTCTAGAAATTATGGCTGGTTGCCTGATAAACACCGACTCCGAAAACGACAATGCCTCCGTGTTTTGGAACATTATATTTGAACCCATAACGCTGCTTCTTCAACATCCACAAACAATATTAAGAGAAGCTGCGTGCGATTGTTTAGGTAGCATTAGTCCCGTTGTATTAAATCAACTATCGGTAAGTATTTGCGTAGAAATTTTAATAATACGAATTACGACTTTTTCGTCTAAATATTCGGTATCGATAAGTCTACAGGTTTTGTTCTATAAATTTACTCTTTTATGGAATATTGTATTAGACAAAAAAGTTGTAATTCACACCCGAAGCTGAAACGGAATCCTGAAAAACTTAGGGTTTATTTCAGGACCTGATTTCAGTTTCGGGATCTGCACACCTTTAATATCAATATATACATTTTATAAAAGTGTTTTAGAGACAAAAAACAGTTCTAATTATCACGGTACTGTTTGGCGCAGTACACGATGAAGAAAGTGCGGTAAGAGCCGCTGGATTACGAGCGTTAGGGATGTTGGTAACTTTACCACCACTGAAAGAGGAGACTGGATTTTTAATGGATTTAGCTGATATAGTTTGTTTGACTGCTGACGATAGAAATCTTGGTGTTCGTGTCAAAGGAACCTGGGCATTGGCTAATTTATGCGATTGCCTTTCCAAAGACAAGTTAGTTATATAAAAGTGTTTATAATTTGTATCCTATTCTTAATATCTTTACGATTAATATATTCCTCGTTTTCATAACAATTCTTAGGATATTTGTACAACTTTCGTTACAGAAATAACGAAGAAATGGAACCACTTCCTCTCGAGGTTTTGTTACCAAAGCTTTATCAGGTCAGCATCAAAGCAACTAAGGATAGCGATAAAGTAAAATGCAATATAGTTCGAGCACTTGGAAGTATTTTGCACTTATGCCCGACCAAGCATATATTAGGTGATACATTATCGGGATTGAAGGCTCTTATAAATTGCGCCACTTTAGGGAACGATATGAAAGTAAATGAAAATTTAATCTATATGTTGATCAACGATGTAAACTATTTAGTGTTTTGATACGATCAATTTTGTTTTATTGGATATTAAAGGTGCGCTGGAATGCCTGTCGGGCCATAGGATTAGTTTTAAGTAACAATCCAGATGATATATTACCGTCTTCTTGGCGGGTACGTAATTAAAGAGATGAACACTGTATATTATTTCCTTTTCGTGTTACGTATAATACAGATTTTCTATTTTAATAGGATCAAGTGTTCCCTGTATTATGTAATTTAATATGCGATAGCCCGAACTTCAAAGTTCGTACTAACGCAGCGTGGGCATTGTACGCTTGTAATTCTTACGGTAAATATACCGCAACTTTGTGGAAAAGCATTATTTTAGCATTTGAGAACTCTCAGTACGTGCCAAGCTACATCGAGTATCCCCATCGTGATGCTCTTGTTCAACAAGTAATTAAAATTATTACAGTTCGTACAGTTATGATCACGAATATTAACTATTGCTACGATTTCTTTAGCTGTGCCTCACGCTCAGTCATCTGGCTGCTTGTACAGAGGTGTCCGATTTACAAAATCTTTGGATAGAGGTTGGAGATCACGTAGATGACATTTCCAATTACATGAAGCAATTCCAGGTATAATGATTTATTGTATTAGGTGTACAACTTAGCTTCCGCCGTTTTTCGATAGCTGGGCTTTAGCGGTAAGCGGTGGTCGAAATAAATAGATGACAAATATCATTCGATAAACTTGGGAGACCGTTATTAGTGAAAGAACGTGTTGCGAGTGGTTTCAACGCTTCAAGAAGCAAAGTTGTATACCTAATATTACCATCACTAGCAGTTTAAAAAATTGGAAAATTAACTACTATGACTCTGCTTTAGGAAATTATCGTGCCCGAAAAAATTGGAGATTTAATAAAAGCGAAATCTCAGTTACAAAAATATGTGAAAAGTGCTCCTTTATTGGAAGAACGAAAGATTGCCCAAACATTGGCAAGCATTTTTGAACGAACAAAATGACACGGTAGTTTCGATCTTACTATCCCAATATTATGATACACAAAACTGTTAAAGATTGCATATTAATTATATATAAATATGAATAAAATGTAAAATTACTTACTAATATATACACTACTAATTATTACATGTTTAGATCATTTAATAAGCACTTAAATTTCTAATTTATGTCAAATATTTGTACATATAAACCTATTTAAAGAAAATTTAACAATTCCTTTGATCATGTTTGTAAAAAATACGTATTTTGATCATTCCGGTAGCAAGAATCATGATTGGATATAAATACAAAAGTTATAGTCACAGCAGCTTTCAACAATTGTGCTTATACATTCTGTATTGTTATTTCAACTTGCATCTTTATGGTCAATATGACTCGATTTTTCACTTTCCGTATTAGATACTTCGCTATCATGAACAATTTCCAAGTCATTTTTCATGTTACACTCGTTTTGCAAACGTGATTCATCATTTTGATTTATATTGTTCTCATCTATACTTTCATTTACAGATGACGATAGACATTGTACATTTTTGTTATTTTCAACTGCACTGTCTTCAGTTTCATCGTTAGACATAACTTTGTATTCGTTATCATTTTTGTCATCCGACTCTGATTCGCTCGAACTTTGTTTTTCCGAATTGCTGTCTTCGTTTTTGTTACTTTTACCTACATTTACTAATTTCGATCTTTTTCTTTGTTTCCATTTCTGCTTCTTTTTTAATCTTTTTGCTCGTTTTTTTGCTGTTATTTCTTCGGCTGTTTTTTTGTTCTCTTCTAGCTTTTTATGATACTCCTCATCTAAAAGTTCCTAATGAAAACCCCATAAATATAAAACACTTATGATGTAATTATTTTACAGTATTCTTACAGTATTCCTGTTGTTATTAACATAATGTGGTAGTAGCATTATGTGTCAAAGTGTCGATTAGAGGTAAACACATTCCATTATACGAACGTTTCATTATTACACAGAACAATGTTAAGGTACGATTTCAATTTCATTGACTAAAACATTGACCTTCTTATACAATGAACTGAAACTCTGAGTTAACATTACCTTACGCCCCTTTTCTTGAATAAACTTCTGTCTTGCATATTCTTTACGCCGTAGATGTCTGTACACATGAAACTCTCCGCTGCCTGCACCTGCACTACTGCCCATCACATTTCGAACAAATTCTGGCACTGTTGGTGTATTCTTACTTTTAGGTCGTTCCGGCAATATAACAGGCTTTTCCTATTACAACGAGAATCGAATATTATATCGTGTTCTTACAAAAACTAACCGTAAAATTATTGCATAAGTTTATTAAATTCTAGCCAAAAATGTACAAACGAAAGAACATTTTAAACATATACGTACAGGATTTTTCATTAACTTTTGAAGCTTTAATCGCTGTAAATCGATTGCACTTTTTGCAACGACAGGCCTCTCTTCCTCTTTCTCTTTATTCTCCGGCATTTTAATTACTAATTGTTATTGCAACAGTTTTACGTACTTATAACATTGTTACACTAAGAGGTTAGGCATAAACAAACGTGAAAACACACGATCAGTGTTAATGAAATCCGACCTCGCATTGTTAAGTTAAAAAATTCGAAAAAAAAATGTACCGTCTTCCGATATTAATAACTATTTAATTACGGACGGAATGGTTGTAAAAAATATCCGTGAATGTTGTCAAGAGTAAACGTTGATACAGTTATAAGAATCGATACATAATGGAATTCATTCTAGAGTTCCATCTAGCGAACTTAAGATGAAGCATTCTATTTGTTCTTCTCTGATCCACTAGGTAGCGCAACGTATGGTTATTACCATAAATGGTAACATAAATGGTAAAATAGTTGCGAAGAATTAATTATTAAAATACTATTTTAAAAACGCGTACATCCTATATTAATTATTCTCTAAGGCAGTTTTAATTAATATAACTCGTTATATCAATCAAGACATATATATATATATGTGTGTGTATATGTCAAGTTTTTCAACGTATAGAATTTTGTTCACCGTATCAATTTTATTTTTGCTTTATATATTAAATCTGTAATAGTTTTCTATTTTATATAATTACTTTTCTATTCTATCTACGTACATACATGTTTAACAGTCCAAACCACATACGTATATTACATTTCGCCCATGGTGTTTATTCAAATGAATGTTAATTACAATGTTTTTAGAAAATCCGATACAGATAAAACGGCTAATGAAAAAAATACGTACGAAAACGGTGAAAATTACTAAATAATTTTGGCATTGATTTTCGTGTGTTCGTGTATACTATACATAAATGTATTATGTGTAGTATTGGTAGGTCGACAAAATATTCGTTTCAGAAGGAACCGACGATAGTTGTATAACAATCATTTCCCTGATAAAATTGGCGGACAAAATGAAACGGGCCCTTTAGTGAAATTTTCGTTAGTGACAGTAACAATGACATGTTACTAATAATTTCAAAGCGATCCTGTTGGTAGCGGTAATAGTAGCAGAAGGCTTTCAATATTGACGCACATTGACGCTTATCGAGAATCTCGTAATCGTCGAAGACTGAAAAAACTCTGCTGTCAAATTCAAAGTGATTTTCGGTAGAAATATCACGCTGCGTTCATTTCAGAAACAATGTCAGATACGATAATAGATGAAAGGTAATTTCTACAAACTCTTACTGTCACTGTGTTTCATAGACATTCGATTATCTAAATATTTACGAGAATTTTTCGCAGAGTAACTGATGAAATTGAAGCATTACGGGCGATACTACTCGACGACGAGTTGAATATTAAGGAAAATGACAGGTAAGTCGATAAATTTAACGCTTGTGACCGAATCACCGAGCTAGTTTAATGAAAAATTTAATCTAATTGTCATTTGAGAATGTTGAATCCTCACTAGCCTTAGTAATAGTGTTGCATAAAATATTTTATTGTAATATTTACAAATGTATTCTTATATATTTCTAAAAATATCTTATATTTATAAATGTATATTTAGTAATCTTTTTTTTTTATAATGATGATACTTGTAGTGTTATGAAATTCCTTTTTTTAATAATCTTTTAAGCATCTGATAACTAGATTCTTAGCATTTATATTAATTGATATTTAACTGTAATAGAGGAACGTTATATTTGGTTGAATAGTATAAGAAATATTAGTAATTTGTAATTTCCTTCTTTGTATACGTAATCAAAATTATTGTTTTTCAGGGGTGAGCCAGAATGTATTGAAACTGTGTTATTTCCCTCGACCGGTGAAGATTCTCAATCTCAATATGTTTGTGTAACACTAATTGTTCAATTACCTATGGGATATCCTGATATATCACCTATTATTAATCTTAGAAATCCTAGAGGATTGGATGAGGAAACAGTGAGATTGATGCATTCGGATGCGGAAGCAAAATGTAAAGATTTCGTAGGCCAACCGGTTATGTTTGAACTCATCGAGGTATGTACGGATATAGAAACAATTTTTTGCAGATTATTAAACATTTGATCCATTATTATATCAGTTAATAAGAGAACATCTTACAAGAAGTAATCTTCCTACGGATCAGTGTGCCATATGTCTCTATGGTTTTCGAGAAGGGGATGAATTTACAAAGACGGAATGTTATCATTACTTTCATTCGCACTGTTTAGCAGCTCACGTCGCAGCTACAGAACGATATTATAGAGAAGAACAAGAAAAATTGCCGCAATGGCAACAAGACTCTACCAATAAGTTTCAGGTATAATTATCGTAGTACACTATCCATTAAATTTGTATTACCATAATGTTAACAAACATTTAACGTTGATACGCTTTCTTTTCAGGCCATATGTCCCGTATGTCGAGAATCGATTAATTGTGATGTAGATAATTTATGGTCTGCGCCTCCTCCGATCGACGTAGAAGCTGCAACAGATTTTTCAGTTACCGCGGAATTGAGAGAATTACAAAAACAAATGGCAGCATTGTTCTTAAAGCAACAACAAAGGGGCGGTATAATCGATTTAGAAGCAGAAGGTGTAAAAATGTTGGTAAGAACAGAAGATGAATCGGGTGCTACTACAGAAGGACTCAATCCACCAGGAACTAGTTTGAATGCGTATTCGAATCAAACCGTGCAACCAGTTAACCAAATGGTATGTTTGTATATTTTTTTATGATATTACGATCATGAAATAATAAACATCACGAACTTTTATACATTTTTTATCGAAGAATAAATTTTTAAAGATTTAAAATACTTTAGTAACAAAGTATTTTTCTTTAGCAATTGCCACAGACAAAGCAGCCATCGCACCAAGCACAAAATCATACTCATTATCAATCACGTCAATTACATAATACTTATCATGGACATAATAATCACGGACATCGCAATAGAGGCCGTGGACGTGCTCATTACCGTCGCCAGCTTGACAGAGTTAGGCAGACGGAATCTACTCCCAGATGACAATGGGCTCAAGATAAACTGTTTACTGTCTGGTCTATAATTTCACTAAGTGTACACAACATGATTAACATGAGTAGCATAATTATGAATGTATTATATAATAACTGTTCAATTTCAAATCACGTTCACGTGATAAAGTTATAGGTATTATCGTTCAGCAACATTCCCGTTGTAACGGTGTATAAAATGAGGCGTGTTAAAACTTCCCAGATCTATCTGTGTAGACTGAAGCCATGGTGCTCTTTCAAACGATCTGCAATCGTACAAAGTTCATTAATTTCTTTTAATATAGATATGTATACAGAGCTATACTTACTGTAGTGAATTATAAACGAAAAAGAATGAAAAAGAAAGTGCGCAATCAAATATTACACTAAACATATTTTATACCGGTGGTTTAGAATTTAATGGTATAAGAACATCAAAAGGAAATAATAATTCGTATCGTTTATATTACGTAGTTTTTACGATCATTTTTAACTGTGCTTTTCAATTTGTAATACTCATCTTCGCGCTATCACAGATATCAATTGTCAACGATATTATAAAATCGTGGCATGTAACAGAGCAGACATGGATCAGTGTTTAAACAGATACTAACTTATTCCTTTTAAAGGAATCGAAAATTGAACGCGTACATTCACTGGCAATGTAAATCTTTACATGTAATGCTATTATATCTCAAGTTTAACATACGAAATATACCTTTCAAGAGTTGGGAATCTTGGTTTAATGCATGACTCAACCACTACTTCTAAAAAAAAACCGTTCAAAACGTAATTGAAGAGCCATAATATATTGTTTTCCTAATGCGATGCGTTATTTTGTATACATACATATACAAAGTGATCCGTTATTGATTATATAATCAGGAAGTGGGTGATCATTCATAAAAGAATAAGTCGAAATTGCACAAGCTTCATTTGCAAAAATTTGCTGTGTATGTACTTTCTACTTATTTTTTCACGAATAACTACCTAGTTTCCGGTTTCAAACACCATCATAAACGAACCACTCTGTATAATATCTGCTTTCCGAAACCTTCTATATGTTATCGAATTTTTCCATTTTTCTGTATAGTTGGAACTTGTTTTTTCTTCGTTTTGTAGTCACATATTTGGCAAAATAACGAGTTTTATTTTAAGTATTTCTTTGTTGTATACAAATGAAGGTAATATCGATAGTTCAATGTTAAAAAAATACAAAAATCAATTTATTCCAGTGTGAATCGTTTTCATAAATGCAGCTTTGTTACGTTATAATTTACGTATTATTGAGATTATTGTGATCAGTAAAAACTGAGATAGAAAAATCGATTAATTTTTGCTCTTTAAAACGAAGAAGAAATAAATAGTCAATAATGATTATGTGATTTTATATATATTTTGCAAATAATGGATTTAAATTAAGGATATTATTTTATTCTTTATATAGATTAATATTAAATGCCTTTATTTAAAAAATACAGGATTTTATTAGTTTGTGCAATTTATTTATAACTTCTGATAAAATAAGACTATACTAATCAAATTTAATGAAAACTATTATTAAATTTATAATTATAGTAAACCGATGTAAATATTTATTACATATTTATTTATTTTTTATGTACTTGAAAGTAAATTATTCATTTTTATTAACGGATTTTTCTTTGCTTCATCACACAAATATTTGGTGTAATTGTAAAATTTGATTTTACATAAGCAAATATATTATTTTTTTAAATCTTAAATACGTACATATGTATAAAGGGTGGGCCATTTAAAAATGAGAATATTTAACTAATCTAAAAGTAAAAAAACAATGTTCAAAGTAGTAGACATAGGAATAAGAAAACAATATTTTCCAATTATTTATTTTCACAATTTCAAGATCATGTGTATTATTTTTAAGAATAGTTTAAAGGAATAATTGTTCTATTTTCAACTTGTTATTTTAATTTTTATTCAACTGAATATATCCACTCATTTAATATTATATTCGTCTGTGATATTTTTAAACAAAAAAAAAAAAAAAAACTCGGTTAAACTTTTACTATACTTATTTTGTAAATATGTATATACGTAAATAATTCGTATGCCGAAAGTTAAATGCTGAAAGCTCATTGCAGATTTACAAACATAGAAACTTTTCCATATCGATATTAATAACAAAAGTGTTTTAAATTATGCTAATGTTTTGTACAATGCAGGATAGTCTGCAATAGTCGAACAAAGTTTTCCATGGATAAAATTGTAATGTAATTCAAGATGGTATTATTTATAATAGTAGCCTCTACCGTGTCCTTGAGATTATTAATGCGAAATATGTAATAAACAAATTAATATAACAACTTACTAATTTAAATAATATATCTTTCTCTCACAGTTTGAAAAATTCTTGATTTTATAATCAAGTCATTCAAAAGAATGAGATATTTATATTTACTCTAAATTTTTGTTACTAATTATAGTTTGTAATTTGTAATGTATTGTGTTACTTTTACTTTATAATTCTTATATTGCTATGATTTTTCACCATCAGAATATTCCTTTTAGCTTTAAAATGCAATTATTTGCCTCAATTGAAATAAGTTTTATAATTTTTAGCGTCTATTGTTTACTATGTAAAATTTATTTGAGTTAAAATAAAATGTTGCTCTTGTTTTATAAAATTGGAACAAGTTGAAAACACGTTTATTATCCATTCTTGAAATTACAAGATATTGTAACCCTTGACTTTTACTTATAGCTCCATTTCAAATGGAAGATATACAAAGAGAGTGTAGAAAATGTTAAAAAAAAAATTGAAAACCGGAAAAACATTATAATCCGTTAATTTATTGAACAGTCATGTACGAGGCAATAATAACGATATTTAATAAATAGGTACAACTTTAATTTTGTTTAAATAATTTAGTTTTCTTGAACATTTGTTCGTGTACAAGTAATAATATTGTGCAACAATTAACAAAATAATACATTACTTTTGTAAGCTGCTCATTTACAATGCGCCATTAATTCTAACTTTAATAAAAACATTCGTTCTTTTGGATTTATTCTTTTCACATTTGTAACAATAATAACATGTAAATCATCACGTTTACAACCTCATCAACCCATAACGACTCTTTTATTTATTACTGAATTAATAAATAATTAAAGTAATGGAACTGACTCAAGTTTATACGTATATTAAATATATATGCAACAAACCCATTATATTTACTTTGTCCATTCACCATTTTTTTATGTATTTAATATTATATTATCCTCTAGTATACAATCTGAAATAATACTACGTATCTTTGAAAATAACTATTACTCGATAAGGGAATTTAAGCCTTGGAGGTCGTTGCGCGCCGGAGTATCAGGCACAGCCCGATTTATGATCGCAAAAAGATAATACTATACAATGCAATGTTCCCTCAGTTTATTAAGTTTTAACTGTAGATGATCGATTTCTATTTGCATTGGTTTACAAAAGTCTTTACTTCTCAACAAAACACTAGTAGCTGTGTTCAATAATACTGGATTAATGGAAGTGGGCGACGGAATGTCTATAGAAATGGAAGTATTGAAACTATTATCACCGTAACCCTCGTCAATACTTTCATTCGAAGTCTTTGCCAGTGCCTTCAATTGAATTTTTAAATCCTGTAGAAAAAATTAGCTTTAGTATTATCTAACGTTTAACGTCAATAAATGTATGAAATAGTTGCGAACATTACTTTGTTTCTCATTAAAACCTGCTTTAGACACTCGCGTAAAGAAACATCTGTCTTATTTTTCTGGAAAAAAATTATACAATAATTATTCATTATATTTGTAGTTCTTAGATTTAAACGAAAGTATAAAATAATGTTCTGTACCATATCATCTAAATCTCCCTTCGCTTGTATGCTACACAATTTATTTTCTAAACTTTTAACTTTACATTTTTCTAGTTGAAGTTTTTTAATAAGCGCGCTATTAGCTTCATGAGATAACGTTTTTGAACGCTTATTTTCGCTTATTGTATCTTCCATCGAGTTCAATTTCTTTTCGATTTCTACGTTTTTTGATTTTAGGAGCTTGTACTGCGCGATCATTTTTGTTAATTGCGATCGTAACTGAAACGTTGCATCTTCTATCTGACTTTGTTCCTGTTTGGAAGAAAACAGAGAAGTCTGCAACGTTTCATTTTCAGATTTCAATTTCTGAATATCAAGTTGCGTCTTGCGTAGCGTGTCGGTAGTTTGATTTTTCTCAATTTCACATTTCTGCATATTTTCTTCCATAGTTGTGATCAACATGGATTGTTTAGTTAAAGCATTTTCCATCAACATTTTAGAAAGTTCATTACCCAACAGACGCTTCTCTAATGTTTTTAGTTCTGCCTTAGTATCGCGTAGTTCATCCTCCGTTACCTCTAACTTTGTAGACACGTCCAAGGGATTATTATATGGTGGAACATTATCCGCTGTTTCTATAATACTATTCGATTGCTTCTGTGCCCTCAGTCTCTGTATTTCGCACTCCAAATCATGTTTTTCCTTCTGATGTTTTTGGAAAAGTTCATTATAATCCATGTTCAACTGCTTGTATTTAGCATTTATATTTACTACAGTTTGCTGCCTTTGCTGTAATATTCCTTGATAAGTATCGATCTCTACTTGTAAGGTCTTTTTGCTTGCTTGCAAGCCATGCACTTGAGACTGATACCATTTCGCAGATGCTTTCGCTGCTTCCAAATGATTATTTGTATCTGCTAGTGTATTCTGTAACTTTTGTTTCTCCTGAAGTACTATTTGCATTTCTACGTACAACTCGGTAATCTTTCCTTTAAGACCTTCATTTGCTGCAATTCTGGCGTTAAGTTCGATACGTAAATTTTCCAAATCAACTCTGAGTCGTTCGTTTTCTAAATCTAATAACGCAACACGTTTTGACAATTCTATGTTGGATACGTCGGGTGTTGATAAATGCCAAATTTGAAACTCATCGTTTAATTGCAGGGAATCTGTCGATGCAAAAGAATCTATTTCTCTTTTGAATGAATCGGACAGGTTGTCCATTGTTCCAAATTATACAAAACTGTTATGTATACTTAGCATAAACCTTCCATAAAATTTTCTTTCATTACGTGCTGCATATTATCAACAAATTGCACGACTACCGTAAAAAATTACAATTATACAATATTAGAAAGTATTAGTAAATTCTTGTCATCGGTTTTATTATTTACAAATCGTATTCGCTGTGCGTACTGCATCTTCTGAAGTATTTAAATATCCTTAACGTGGTTGCACTAATAAATATTAAGTACAAATATAATAAACATATACCGGACACATGCGAAATATATGACTTTAGTACTTGTCATCGCTTATCTGTCACTTGTCGTCTCTTATTTTTTACGGAATACGAGTGTGTATGCATGTTAAAGGCACATTCAATTGCAAATTTTTCATACGTTGAGTAGCAATAAGTATAGATCTTAGAATTCATACGAGTTTCGAAAGAAAGTATAAATACCATGGGGTAATGCCATAGGACCGAATATCACAAATATGCAACCACAGAATAACACTAATTACTTCTTGTCATAATAAAAATCACTAACACGTCGCAAAAAAATAAATTACTGAAAAGTAACCTACCGACAAAGACAGAATAATAACCAGAGGGGACACTTCACTGTATTCGGAGAACGAGAAATCCGTATGCGCATGCGCACGAATTGGTCAATAGGATTCGCCCAGGGATGGTGTCAAATTTAACACCGAATCCTTAATGCGCGTGTCTAGCGACGTTGGTGCGTTTTCACATTAAAGATCATTTTCAAACAAACGTTTCGCGGGCTTTGTTCCGTGGGTTGTAGGTTGTAGCGATTAGTACAGAACTTTCAAGTACAGTTATAAATCAACAGATAATAGCGATGAATGTAGTTACATTTCTCTAGGTAACATCTGTAATAATTTTAACGTTAAATATCTACACAATTATTCTCTCTTCTTGTAAGAGCCAAGTTGTGTCGCTCGGTTAACTGATGCGCGGAAATTTTGAAATGAAGATCTGTTTTCGGAAGAAGAAGTTCGAGAATTTCATTGCTCTCGAACTCAAGGTCTCAGCTTACCAAATTGCAAGGCACGATGCCCAAAATTGAAGTCAATTTCAAACTAGAGACCTTCACTGGAGATCTTCAAACCAAAAGCTCGGAGTAAAAATGATTTTAGTGACTGTTACATTTGGAGATGTTTGTTCTCGTTCTAACGGAGATCTCTTCTACCGGACCACTTCTTATTCAAATGTTTTATCACGTGGGCTACAAGGTATGCACTTTGCGTGCGATAACGTAACATTATATTATTCCATAACATGGCGCCACTGTCACATTAGATGCAACTCCAACAGAGACGATGATCTCGGTAGCGCGCATGGTCGTTTGCCGTCTTTGGATTAAGGGTGGGTCTGTTCCTTCTGCGGGAGGGGTCGTATAAACGAATACAAATACAATAAATAAAAACGTACAGTAATATTTACACAGAACTTATCCACGTATCGTTAAATACCGTGAAGAACAACGTCGTGGATAGAAGTGGCGAAATTCAACTTTTGTGTGTCGGTGTTTATTGACAGCGGAACGGTGAACAAAGCCTATCGGTGGATGGAGTTCTCTACGGTTCATGCTGTCTTTCCCTAATTCCCAGTTCCCCCCTTCGTTCGACACGATTCCCCATAAAGATTCAATCCCCTATACATACACTCTAGTCGCTCCCGTTCATGGCTGCGGCCTGGGGTGGGGGAAAACAAGCTGTATAACGACGTAAAATTTCGAAGCTTGTATGCAGGAATATGTCAAGTTTAAAAATCGGTAAGTCAGTGTTTACTTCTTTTTTTTGAACGATAAAGTAGTGAGTTATCATACTTAACGAATAGTAAGATAAGCGGCTGAATTGACTCGCGCTAGTCGTTGCCCCCTTGCATTCAACACGCTTCTACTTTGCTTTCGTAGTATGGTAGATAGTAAGGCAATGAACGTACCCTATATACGTGCTTCAAAAATTGCTAATTCTCGTTCGAGATTTGCGCCAAAAGGACCGGGAGATACTTATTTAATTTTTACGTACACGCTGTATTTTTGTATTGTAAATATTTCAGGATGTGCGATATCCTCGCGTGTTTTATCGAATCCTTCTGTATGACATTTACCGAATTTAGTAGAGTACAAATTGAAGTTAATATAATATTATGTGTGTAAAACATTCTCTGTTTTCTTTTTTTCTACGTAAGCTTACCAGGTATTTTTCTTAATTAAATAAATTATTGAATGGTATTTTACGTTTGTTTGTTTATAATAATTTTACTTATTGCAGTTGTTGATCAAATATAATGCAAGATGCTTAATATTTAGCTCGTGTAATAATGTATTAAAGCCACATATTTTATTATTTGTAATTTCTTGAATACTTTTGTTACCAATATGACAAAGAAGGGATATACTTTCCAAGTTTTTAATTTTAATATGTATTTCGTTGGTTAAAATACATCCAATGTTTTATAATTATTTTTATATATTTTATATACTTTGTCTTTACATGATAAATCTTATTCAGATTCAATAAAATTAATAGTTCCCCAAAGTTCATTAACGTTTTTGAATGCAATATTTCATTGGTAGATTTATCGATATCTTGTCTCTGCTGAAAAGTTTTTTTTACTTTGATATTTTATTAACAAATAATTTTTATCAACTTTCTTTGATCCAAACATTGACATTTCTATATATTTTTTAAATGTTTTATAATTAAGATTCCAGAAATAATACAGTGATAGTTTTAAGTAATATTTTTAAAAAGTATATAGATACGTTTTTTTTTTTTTTTTAATAAACTTTGTTACTTGTAACTTAGTTATAACAAGAAATATTAAAAGAAATCTAGTTTAGTAACTAATCTTAGTTATTATGGTGTTTAAATAAGAAATATACATGAAAATTTGGTTCCAATAATTTTAGTAGCTATAAAACTGGCATACATTAAATGCAAATAGGTATAACGCAATACATAAAATTAACTAGAGATGTAATGTAGCATTTTTAATATTGTGGTACATCTAAGTTTTTAGATTTACAGTATTTATTATGTCAAAAGTTAATGGTTGTTATTTCATTTTCCCTGAAGTGTTGGTAATACACTTGCTTGCCCTACCCTCAAGAACGATGGACTCTGAGCAAAGAAATCAGCAGGTGTATCAACACTAAACAAAAAGCTAAAGAATGAATGCCTGCTGCACTCACGCTGCCAACACAGTACAAGCAGACTTAAGATTTATGCAAGTAGTGTGTGAGTAGCAGCTACTCACGCCACACTCAGACGTATATATCTGTTTTCGCACATGGCAGCCATGAAGCATGGTACGTTTTCTTCTTGTATGCTTTGCTTTGTATGTAAATTTGTTTCAACAGCCATTTTGGTATAGTTTCTCAGGACAGAATAAGTTTGGCGATATATCTTTCTTACAAAGTGTATTTCTAAATATGTAGTTCGTATGAATTTTTTTGGGTATACCATGATAAATTCCGTATCAGAGGACTTAGTAACTAAAGGCAATAAGTATTTACATTAAGCGCATATGTTGTTATATGCAGTATTTTATATGATGTTTAATTTTCATTTCTGTCAACAAATTGCAGTTTGTAGCCAATATTAAACTGTTGTGCACAATGATCTGAAGAAGTTTAAATGTAATATATACAAGATTATCTGCAATATGTATTACAACCAAACGGTAGATCGTTCGACGTACAAAAATAAATAGAAAACATGAAACATGAGAACAAAATAAAAATAAAATAATTATCCGTAAATTTTTAACTGTAAACTATTACTGACACATATTGTGTACAAATACAATGGATATTCTACATTTTTAATTAATTTTTGTACATAGAATCTCTTCTCAGTTGTACTGATTATTGTTGAACATCTTATATAAAATTACCGATTGAACAAATCCACTAAATTTTAAATAGAGAATATACAATTGAATGTTATACTAATAGGATAAATATAAATAAATTGTAAATATAAATATTATGTCCATTAATGTAATTTTACTTTTATACATTACTAATAGTTTCCTGTATTGATATTACCGAAATATACCGTTCATAATAATACTTGATACTAATGTTTATTCATTTTCAAAATGTTAACTAGATCGTGAATCTTTTTATTACACATAGTAGTATTCTGACATTCTGCAAGATAACTGTTATCATCTCTTGCCTGTATTTACAGACATACGATTAAAAACCAACAAGACTTATCAATGAGCACAACAGCTTCACGCCGTCTGTGTACTATAATGCAACAGTTATATAATACAATAGATTTTGTACAAACTATAGTTATAATCTTTTGGGATTTTAATTGTAATTATTTCTTCTTTTTTCTTTTCAAATAGAGTTTTCTTTGTATATGTGTTATATGGTTTTAGTTTTATTTCCATTGTATGTTTAAGTAGTAAATATAGATAACTTCTAGATTTTGATCTTATTATTTCCCTATTATATGGATTTAAATGCTTCTTGCGACAATTATAAATTTAGAAATTGCAACAATTACCCGTAAAATATTCGTTAAAAATTCTATCCTAAAAAGATATCAGAGTGTTGTTAAACTGCTAGTGTCTAGAGTATATAATACTCTGAAGTAAAAATAATTATAATAATTTTCAGGCAAGACAAGTCAAGACGACGTATGTTATGTTGTCGCCAAATATGATTATGGAGCACAGGGTGCTCAGGAGTTAGACCTACGTAAAAATGAACGGTACTTACTCCTCGATGACTCTAAACATTGGTGGAGGGTACAGAGCGCAAGAGGCCAAGCTGGCTATGTGCCAAGTAATTATGTCAAGAAAGAAAAACCATCTCTTTTTGATAGCATCAAGAAAAAAGTCAAAAAGGGCTCTGGCTCGAAAACTCTACCATCTAGTAATTCACCCTCTAGAGCTGTGGAATCTCCTATAATGGCTAGGCGTCTACCTGCTGATCCAAGCGAAGCAATAGGTACAGCGGTTGTCAAATATAATTATCAGGCACAACAAGCGGATGAATTGTCACTTGTCAAAGGAACTAGAATCCTAATATTAGAAAAGAGCAACGATGGCTGGTGGAGAGGTCAAAGTGGCACACAAGCAGGCTGGTTCCCGTCAAATTACACGCAAGAAGAGGGGGACGCGGATGATACTCTTCATACATACGCAATGGCTGAAAATGTTCTTGACATTGTTGTAGCGCTTTATTCATTTTCTTCCAACAATGACCAAGAACTGTCCTTCGAGAAGGGTGATCGTTTAGAAATCCTTGATCGTCCACCAGCCGATCCTGAATGGTATAAAGCAAGGAATAGTCAAGGACAAATAGGTCTTGTACCACGAAATTATCTTCAAGAACTGAGCGAATATTTGACACAACCATATCGTGAACGAGGAATGACGAGTAGCGAGATCAGTACAGGAGATTCTCTCGAGAGAAGGCCAGACCCTGGCGATAGACCGCATCTTGTTGGAAAACCTTGGTATTATGGTAGTATTTCACGCTCGCAATGTGACACGCTGCTGAATCAACATGGTCATGATGGCGATTTTTTAATTAGAGATAGTGAAACAAATGTACGTACATAAAGAAATTATATTAATATGATAAGATAGTGAAATTGAAACCATCAGTTTAAAATATTGTTAATTTTAGGTGGGAGATTATTCGGTATCTTTGAAAGCTCCAGGACGTAATAAGCACTTTAGGGTACACGTGGAAGGTGCATTATACTGCATTGGTCAAAGAAAATTCCATACGCTAGACCAGTTGGTAGACCATTATCAACGAGCGCCTATTTATACTAACAAGCAGGGTGAGAAGTTATACTTGGTACGCCCATTGCCGAAAGGCAACCCCAGTAGCAATGGTTGCTAGGTGAATTCGTGCCATGAGACGGTCCATGCGCTTTGAAATGTATCTATGAGATACGCGACGCCTGCCTAGTAATATCACTATCACACATCTCGTATGTTTATACATAACAATTAACATAATTGGTGAATTCATATATTAGTGTTTCCTGATTGTTTGTCCATTTACACTGATATATAATTTATTACTCTAAGTAATTGCCACAAGCAATTCTTACCATTCATTGGAGCTTCCAAACTATTTAGCAAATAAAGCTAAAAAGCTAAGAGAGACGAGTAAAACGTTTGTACGGCAGCTATATGACATTTGTCTAGTTGACACACAAGGCTTCTCTTTATATCCATATGTAATTGTAAAACACAACCGACCATGTTATTACGATTAATAATATATTTACAACTACACGTAATGTAGACTGCAAGTATAACAATGAAACAACGGTTAATTATCATGCAATTATGACCGATTAAGTGGATCTCTACTCTGAATCTATTGGTATTGAATTTTGACAAAGACTAAGTGTTCATTTGTGATTTTGTATTTATTAGAAATTTTTAAGTAAATAAACTGTATTTAAGTGTGCATCAGATAAAATGTAGTTTTGTTCTTAATCCCTTGTATACAATTTATTATATGCATTTTATAAAAAAAGAGATTTAACTTTAGCGCATTTTTTTTTTTCTTTTTGTCAGTACTTTTTATCGTTTAGAAAGTGTTCCATTCAATAGAGAATCACAAATACCAACAAAATGTAACTCGATCGAATGCGATTAAATTTTACACACAAAGAGTAATTGTAGCAGGTATAATACTCACATAGTTGGTAACAAATATTAATCTTTATTTAACGTGTATATTATATATTCATAAATAAAAGTATTATTTTAGTTATATGAATAAGAGATTGGTGCTCCTGGGAATAAAAATTAATGGCACTAATTGCCAATAAGGTCACATATATAAACAATTGCCCTAATCTAAACATATTTTAGGTCTGCATTATTTGTTCGTAACTCCATTAAAAACTTATGCTTACTTAATCATAAGAAAGGATTGTTCGAATTTCTTGTCATGTTGCTTAAGCCAGAATCAACCTAAAAAAAACTAGCATGTGTTTAAATGTATTTAATTAAAAAATAACATTCGATAAGAATGTACCATAAAAGGATTTGCATGATATGCTGGAAGAGTGGGTTGCCATACTTTGTTCGTCATTAACTGACTAAACTGTATTACATCTCTGTTGCCAGATGGTCCAATACCTACCCATTGAGGGTCTAAAATATTAATACTGTTTTAATTTATTTTGAAGTTTTAATATACCGTATATTACGCTACCGAAATGGAAACTTACCATTATTTATAGGAAACTGTACTGGCTTAAATGGATTAATAGGATTACATAGAGAGGTATCGATTGACTGCATATTATTATTGACTACGTTGGCCGATGGTTGCCATATATCACTAGTTGCAAAAGGATTTGAAATTACGTGCGTAGTTTGATTCCCTACGCTCCAAATTGAATTCGAAGCTAAAACAAACAATAAAATAATTTTTCTAACGCGCTCATAAAAGCAAACTGGTGACAAATTATGTATGTACCATTATTAGCATTCCATGTAGATGTATTTATTGTTGGGGTTTCATCTTTCAGTTGCGTTTGTTTCATTAAAGAGTCTAAGTCCTTCAGTGCCGCATAGCGATCTTCCGATGGTGGCATATATGCTCCATTTATGTTAGTTGTATTCATACAATTTCCAGTAGTCTGATTAAATGGACTTGACGATTCAGCGTCTAAACGAAAAGAGACGCGTTTGTATTCGAATTATTGTATCGATCTATATAGAAAAAAAGAGTAAAATAATTCTCTCAATTTACTTGTGTTTTTTGGACTATTAAAAATAGGATTGTTGTCAAAATTGGCAAAAAATGGTTGAGGTACAATCGGTTGACTGAGTTTGTTTGTAGGCGTTGCGGTAGCAATAAATGGATCAGGAACTTTGCTGAAATCAGCTACAAAATCTGTCGAAAAATTGTTAGAATTAACCGACTCAGAATTGTTTATTTTCTGAGTTGAAATAGGAGACAAAGTAGAAATCCCAGAATGCGGAACCCTTGGAATGTTTGTTTGATTTGACAATTGTGACTTTTGATTTGCCATGGACGGATCCAAATAGTATCTCTTAAGTTCGTATTTTGCGCTCATTAGATCTTTCATCTTTTGCTCGTCTTTTGTGTCCAAAGTCTGAGAGGAATTTGGATTCATCAAGCCCAACCATATCCTCCTGCAGTATTCGTTACCACGTTCCCTTATAAAATCTATTTCCTCTTGTGTAAATGTTGCCATAGAAATAGATTTTACTCTATGTGGTGGTGTCAAGCCCCGCCTGCAATTTTAAACAAAACTAGCAATAGAAACATTTAAGGAAACAATGTGAAAATCTTACAGAATCTCTTGTATTTTGGTATACAATTTCTGTAATACAGATATCAAAAGTTGTTTGCTTTTCTGATTAATTATAAAAAAACATTAATTAAACGAACGGGTAATTTAGAATTAAAAAATATTTCCTGTTAACATTTATATACTGAACATTGTATGATACTTTCTATATTCAACATACATAGCTACATAGCAATCAAAGTAATTGCTCTGTAAACTTTGGAACACAACTACTGATTTTCTTCTTTACACGTGTATACAACATTTTGATCATTGATAACAATAACTATACACATAGAAAACACTGATACAGATAGTGTGTATTAACTTCCTGACTCCGAATACGAGCGTTTTAAAATGAGTCATAATATTTTCTGCGAATTAATAATAAAATACGTACGTAGCACGTGTATCGAGAGAATTTAATTATTCGTTCCTACGAACGATAATATTTTATTTCTTATTAACAACGAAATAGCCTGTATATGAAACATTGACATTTGGTTAATGTTTCATCTTCAACCTCTGATCGTTAAAAATCGCGCAGGGGAATTGGAATGCCAGCCTCGCTTGTGTCACGAAAAAAATAATAAGTAAAATAATCGTTACGTCGATTTCGACGATGAAGACTTGGGACACTTTGTTGGCTTCTTACAGGTAACGAGTACATACTTACAATATACCAGAACAAGAGGTACAGACGAATGAACCGATTGTCATGTTGACGTAAGTTGGGCCTCGCTGATGGCAGTCGAAACATTCTTTATTACCGGGTTGCGAGACCAGCTCGCGTAATATTTTTAAATTCTTCTCGTCTTGCTTTCTCTTCGCGGACGCCATTATATACGAAGATAATTTGTAATTCTAAACGGAACAGAGACGGGGACTTCTTTCGCGGTCTGCTTGCGGAACTGACTCAATTTTCTGTCACGATAGTCGTGCGTGTTCCGTAACACATTCTAAAAATGTTTCGCGAGAAAACGGATCAAACACAGACCACGTTCGCAATACTATTTAAGGTAGACTTTCATTCGTTGGCGCCAGTATTTTTACATTAGAACACGCAAGTTCATTCGTTGGTTAGAGGCTAACCGTTAGCCACCGTCGATTGGAAACCAGAGATCAGACTGATATAGAGATTTATTTCAAATTGCAAACCAGAACGAATAAAGTGTTTTTATTTGATTGAACGATTAAAATAATTAATCGTCGAAACGTTAACGACTAAATCAGTTAATCGATGAAAGTAATCGTTCAAGAATCGACGATCGAATTAATCGATCGATGAAAGTAATCGTCAATTAATAGTTGTTTACTTTCAAATGCAATTTTTTCAATTAATTTTGTGTCGCTGTAAAATTATATAAACGAATAAACAAATATAGACTATGAAATGCTTATAGATTGTTTAAAAATTGGGTCACTTTAAATATCCGACGGAAGACATATGCGCACTCGATTTAAAAAAAAAAAAAGAATTTATAAAAAGCGATTATTCCGAAAGATTTAGTTACCACGCACCGTCGATGGGCTTCCGCTATTTATTTTGATCGTGTGTGATTATAAAATCGTGGCATATTCTTCGAATTCGTCGATAAAGAAAGAAAAGTCTGCTTTTGGTAAGTTTAAAATTGGCTGGTAATAATTCTGTTAGAAGTAGATTTTTCATTTCTATTTATAAATTGGAGATTATACATAAGCTTTTTCGTGCCAATTACATAGCTGATTTGGTTGCAGTATGAGCAAAACAATTGTTGGATATTGGACAGCCAAGGTTAATATGTATACATGTGCGATACGTATATTTAAAAAACAGTTTTTACTATTTCAGTTACCATCTTCAAACGTGTTTATTTCGTATTGTATCGAAAAGTGTAATATAGGTGTTTAAAAGTTTCTGTTTTGCTTCGTTGCAGTTCGAATTTTGCAAAAGAAAACAATGTTATTGATATTTAAGAAAAGGACGAAAATAATTCTTGTCGTATGATTATGTATATTGTCAAATAATAGATCCAATTCGAAGGAAGGTCATAATTGTCTTAAATAAGATGACGTCTGTTGAAACAGCAACCACAAATCCACAGAGGTTTATTAGAATTTTTTATATTTTCCAAGAAAAATTCTGGATTAAGATACAAATAATTGCTTTTAATTCTAATATTCCTGTTATTGTTTGGTTTTACAGATTTTCTCAAATCAGATATGCACGCCATGGTAGTATTATCGATTTAGATATTGATATGTTTCTTAAAATTTCAAATTACGAAGATACAGTGAGACAACTCGATATTTATTATGGAATCGGTACGAATATTAATTTTGGTATATTAAGATCAAATATATAAAATTATCATCATATCGATATTACATTATTTTTAGTTAAGAGGCAATTGTTACGTTACCAGAGTTGCATAACAGGTTTGTTTCCACAAATTTCAAACGATAACGTAGTAGGAAGCGTACGAGAAAGTATTTACTGCGCCGCTGCTATTTGGAGTTTGTACCAAGCATACAGGTAGCTACCTGAATGGAAAATATTTTATTATTAATTATCGTACATAATGTATTATATTGTTCTTTCAGACGTATAGACGACGATCGCGGAAAGTCGTATGAACTTGGACAATCAGCTGTGAAATGCATGCGTGGAATTTTGGAATGCTGGGTAAAGCAATCTGCTAGAATAGAGTTGTTTAAACGCAACCAATGCAATCGCTTTGCCCTGCATTGCAAATTCCATTTATATACTGGCGATGAGATTATTAACGATGATGTTTATAATCATTTGCAAGTAATTATAATAATGTACTAGTGTAGATTTCTTTCTGAAACAATTACAGATATTAATCCTATAATAGACTACTGTATATGTTTAGAGTATGTGTTTGCATTATTTTATATTTTTTCTAGATCGATATTGTTTCTCTTTACTTGATATTCTTGGTGCAAATGATTTCATCTGGACTGCAAATTATATATACTCAAGATGAGGTAGCATTTATACAAAATCTTGTATATTATGTGGAACGGGCATATCGTACACCAGATTATGGCATGTGGGAACGTGGCAGTCGATACAACGATGGTACGCCCGAAATTCATGCAAGCTCAATTGGTATAGCCAAAAGCGCTCTCGAAGCTATCAACGGATGTAATTTATTTGGTGAAAAAGGAGCCTCCTGGTCAGTTATATACGTTGATATCGACGCTCATAATCGAAATCGTAGTATTTTCGAAACGATGCTTCCAAGAGAATCCAGCTCTAAGGTAGAAAGTATTCCGAGGAATATATCTTCGATGTTCGTGAAAATGTACTTGTTAGCATCGAAATTACAAACATATTATCTATCTTTAGAGCGTAGACACAGCTTTATTGTCGACAATATCTTTTCCGGCGTTTGCCACTCACGAAGAAGTATTGTACAATGAAACAAAGACAAACATAGTTCGAAGATTAAAAGGCAATTATGGTTTTAAGAGATTTGGAAGGGATGGATATAAAACAGTCTTAGAAATCAAAGATCGACGTTATTACAAATCCGGTGAAATCAAGGTCTCTGATGTATTTGATTGTTAGTACGTTATTTCTGCAAACTCATTTAAACAAATTCGTTACATTTGTAATCCTGTTCCATATAATCATCCCAACATTTTCTATCGATAGTGACTTAATACAGAAACTCTTACTGCAGGAATTCGATAATGTGGAATGCGAGTGGCCGCTGTTTTACATCTTTATGATCATAGACGGTGTTTTTAAAACCTTACCGGAACAAGTAGAAGAATATCAGAATTTACTGAAAGAACGAATAAATAAAGATGCCAATGGAGGTATATCGATAGAAAATTATTAATAAGTTTAATAATGCGAGATACTATTATAATTCTACGATTAAATAGATCCTGTGATACCTATGTATTACTATGTGCCCGAGGAGAACTTGGAAGCGGAAAGAAATGATCCCGGTAGCACCTTCCGACTAGCGAGCAACGAAGGAAGAGGACGGAGAGGTTCTGCGGACACCGAGCCGGCTCCCATATATTTATGGAATCAAGCAATGTTCGTAATTGCACAGTTACTTACTGCTGGCCTGTTACATATCAACGAATTAGATCCAATTAGACGATACCTTCCTTCGTACAACAGGCCACGAAAAGCTGGAAGGTATTCCGCTTTTCAAGTAAGCAAGAACATAATTTTCTTCGAATTTTATTAAATTAATTATTTGTACAAATTATTTTGGATATATTTATCCCATACAGGCTAAACCCAGTATTGTAAGTAAATGATAATATATGTATGTGTAGTAGAATACAGTTTGCATTAATGTTACTTTAGTATTTGATAATTAGATCGATTGGTCGATACTTGATAAAATGCATACATATTCGAAGCTTCTAAGTGAAAAGTAAACGACATACATGCTTAGTAATGTTTTGCATCGATTTTATTTTAGCGTTTGAGTAACTAATTCCTTCGGTATCAAATTGGCAATATTTATTGCGTAATACGTGCATATTCGAAACTTTTCAATAGCAAACAGAGCATGAAGCTTGAATCAAGGCATGGTTTATTTTGCTCCTTTCTTACAATGCTTGTTGGAACTATCTTGCCTTTCGTTTTCAATGAATACCCTTTACCATATAATGTATTTCTTGTCAAAAGATTTGTTTCTTAATATTTTTTATTTTGTCTGGTTTGTTAATAATTTCAGCAATATTTCTTGACAATTATACTTTTTATGATAATGTGTTGTAATAATGCATGATTTATCTATTACAAAATTTCTGTATATCAGGGTACTCATACTGATCTTGTAGTGCAAATTGTTCTTATTGCCGAGTCTATGCGATTACAAGCTATGATGGCAACTTATGGTATACAAACACAGACACCGCACGAAGTGGAACCTGTTCAAATATTATCATCTATGCAACTAGTGAAAGTGTATGAAAAATTAGGAGTAAATAGCAAATTAAATCTACAAGGTCGACCAGCTAGACCAATCGGGTCTCTTGGTACAAGCAAGGTATGTTTAATACACGAAAGAAAGACATTCAAGGACTTTTAAGACGTCGAAGAAAATTTCAAAATGATTTTTTACAGGTTTATAGAGTATGTGGCATGACGGTACTTTGTTATCCCCTGATATTTGAAGTATCAGAATTTTACTTGTACAGAGATATGGCTCTATTAATCGACGATATTAAAACGGAGCTTCAGTTTGTGGGCAAATATTGGCGACTTTCAGGTCGGCCTACCGTGTGTCTTCTAATACGAGAAGAACATATGAGGTATTTATGAACCTGTTAGTGCCTACAGCTTCAACCAATGTATCGTGTATAAATCGATAAGATTTCTTTCTACTTCAGAGATCCACAATTTAAAGAAATGCTTGATCTCTTTGCAATGTTAAAGAAAGGCTATTGCGACAAAACGAAAGTACGAATAGGTCGACTGCAAAATCTCATTTCTTCTTCGTGTATTGGTAATTGATATTTATTTACTTTTTCGATCGTCGTTTACTAAATGTTAACAATCCATTTTTGTTACATAGAACACTTGGATTTTATAAATACCGTGGACACGGATCTTGAACTTGCCCAGTTCAAACAGTTAGAACACGATTATATTGGATACCAAAGTCTTACAGACGTCCCTAAGGCTCTAACTTATGCGGAGAATATAAAAGACTGTTCCGTAAGTCTCTACAAATAAAAAAACTATTTACATTTTTTATTCATCTTGGTTATTTCGTATTTTAGAATTTCATGAACGAACAGCTGTATAATATATTAAGCGAAATTCGTAATAATAAAAGTCTTTATACCTTGTGCCAACTTTATGGCATTTTGTTAAAACGAGAAGGTATTAATTACGAAATTAATGGAATGACAGGTACTACTATTTTATGGATTTAAAAATAATATATTTGGGATATATTATTTTACCATTATTTCATATTTTAGTTGGCGATCATTTAAGGTCATTATATCAACAAGCTGGCTGTCTCAGATATTGGATGGTTGTCCGATATTGCAGCAGTCTATTGAATCATACTGTTGATAGTATCAGCCCTTTTATAACAGGTGTTCTTGTTAAAGGAAAACAGGTAATCTTTGATCGTATATTTATAGTATTTAACCAGCACCGAAGATCTTATTCGTCGCTAATAATAGATAACAGTTGGAGTAATCGGACACGAAGAAACAGTGTTTGATAAACCGATGACACCAACAGAAATTCAATCAGTCATGTACTCTACAATTCAACCACATAACGTGGTACAAGCAGTACTTCAACAAGAGGTTTTATTATACTGCGGTAGACTCATTGGAAGGAATCCAGAAATGTTTAGGGGAATATTAAAAATTCGTATTGGGTATATATTGAAATCTATATCATGAACGTACGTTCAAGAGATATTTTTAATTATTATTACTAAAGATCGTTCGTGTTCGCAGATGGGTTTTAGAAGCAATAAAAATTTATTTGCAAATGTTCGTAAAAAATGCTAAACCAATCGAGAATTACAGTCCTTATGAAATTCGCAAATTCCTAATCAAAGTATTAACGGTTAAAGATTGGGCTAATGCTGAATGGTATAGTACTTTTTTAATTTTTCATTTAACGTTTAGCGATTCGTTGATTTTATGTAAGTTAATATATACTATCTGTCTAACAGCCTTACAGTTTTGGGACGCAGAAAAATCGAAGGTTGCTTGTGCAGAGTACCTGCACATTTTTACAATCATGTATGGGAAGTACTGATACGTTGTCCAGGTGGTATCAGTGTTAACGATCGAGAATTGTCTCAAAAACCTACTCTTTTCAATATGACTCGTTCAGAAATTACATTTGCATTGCTCGTGGAATCGTTGCTTCATCACATACAATTGCCAGAATATCGCCAAATTATCGTAGAGGTATTTTTTAAAATGCATTTATTTAACAAATACCATTTTATAAAATATTGTTAAAACTACAACATCGTATAATGTTCTCAGTACTGGATAAGTGCACTTTACGACATAGTTCAATTATTGTAATATTTTCATTTTTACAGCTACTCACTATAGTATCGACAATTTTACTTCGAAATCCGGAGTTGAGTTTTCAGAAACAATTGAATCTTACCAAACTTGTTGAAGATAGTTTCCAAATGTATTGCAAGGTAAATATACTTAACGTCATAAATTTGTTATATTTGAATGAATCGTTATAGAACAGTTTGTCCTTTCAGGATCATGATCTGGAGAAAACTACCGATAAATCAGCATTCTTTTCTGCTGATTATTCATTAACTACAGGGTACCTTGCCCGGGCAGTAGTTAATAATGTGCTAGCCGGAGGATCTTTTTCAACTAATAGTGATATCAATGATGCAATTGAAAATAGAGAAACATGCAAAATTACATAGTTATATAAAATAGATCTCGATAAAAATAGAATATATATTGTTTGTAAATGCATTGAACAAAATTGTATGTACGTAAACTTTGTTGTTATATTTTCTGAATATATGTATATTTCTTAAATAAAAAAGGATGGACCTTTGTCGAAAAATTTATATTTATGTACTAATTACAGTACACGATCATACATTAGAAAATATATTTTTTTTAATATTTATAGTATTATAATACATTCCACAGAAAATTAAATGAAAGTATACACAGCTGTACAAATTTAATTACATTCATGAAAATCACCTTTTGGCAAAATTTGTGTCCATTGCTCGTCCGGATCGTTGTATGTTATTCATATTAGCCTTAATTCTAGATGCGATAGTACCTACTTCCGCAGCAGCCGCTAAGTGCTTTCTAACAAAATCTTGATTATATTCTTTACCACAGTCTATTTCTTTCTTTTCTTCTTCGTTATATTTTTTAACATTTTTCTCTCGCTCTGTATCTCTCCATGTTGCATTCGCTATCATTTCTTGTCTACGTTTCTCCTTCTCTTCCTCCGTGAGATGTTTCTTCTTAGAATTCCACCTTCTCTCGTCTTTACTTTTATTTTTATCTTTATGCTTCTCTTGGGTCATTTCAGAAGATTTAAGATTGCTAGTTTCCTTATAATCTAACTTGTGCGAAGCACGTACGTCTTCAACATTACTTCTATTGTGATATCTACTTTTATGAGAATTATTTTCTCTATCTCGAGACATTCTTGAATGAAAATCTCTGTCTTTGTTCTTATCAAAATCTTTTCTTTGTACTCTGCTCTTCTTTTTGCAAATTAAACTGTCGCTCCTTTCTCTGCTCGAACTACGATTTCTGGCACGTTTCTCGTACGCCTCTTGCCTTCTGTCTTCCATCTTATCAGCTCTTTCTATATATTTTTCTTTATGTTTTTTAGCTCGAGCGCTATCTTCTTTGCTTTTACTTCCCTTTTTTTGTTTATACTTCTCTATACTTTCGTCGCCCGAACTTTCATCACTACTGCTCTCGCATTCGCTACTAGAATTATCGCTTTCGCTTTTCAATTTCTTCTTTCGTTTATGTTTAACCTTCTTCATTGATTTTATTAAGTCCTTGTTATTAATTTTGTCTTTTAACTGTTTATATTTAGCAGTTAACAACATATCTAATTGTGTCTCGTCGTCGCTATCTACGTTTTGTCGTTGTTTTTTCTTCCTTTTCAGTCTTTTTTCAGACTTGTCCTTCTTCGATTGTTGTTCCAACTAACCAATAATGAATTAATCATTAAACAAATAAAAAGATTTGTCAACGATTCAAATTGATACTTATTTGTTTATTTATTTATTCACTATATGGATAGAACCCATTTCATGTACAAAAACTTAAAAATGCGAAGAAAGAACATAGACAGAAGTGAAAGAATAAACTTCCATAGACAAATGTACAGGGTGTTCGGCCACCATTGGGAAAAATTTTAATGGGAGATTCTGGAGACCAAAATAAGACGAAAATCAAGAATATCAATTTCTTGACTGAGGCTTCATTAAAAAGTTATTAAAAAATTAAACCTAAGTTATTAAATCTAAAGATCTTTTACTAAATCATTGATTATTTTGTACAAAAAACACATTTACATGGATATTCACTTACCAGCTGTCTTAACTGCTTCAATTTGACAGGATTTTTCAGCAACTGATTCCTCGTTTCCATCTCTTTCTTTTTTATAGCATACAAAGGATCTTCTTGCATCTTTCTTGCCAGGTCAACTTGTTCGTTACCAGAAAAGAAACGTAACGAAGGCGGGATACATTCTGAAATTATAAGTCACATTTAAAATTGAATTAGAGATGCAAATAGGGCCAAGAAGATTCTATTCCTCAAATTTATAACATAAAATACCATGTTCAACATGATTTCTTGGTACATGGTTTGCTTCTGTATCCTTTTCTGACTGAACCATTTGCTCAAAAGATTTATCGATCGGTCGTCCAAGTAAATATTCTTCTCTGTTGACTGACTGATTTGGTCCTTTGTACATCCAATCCAACTTCTTGTCATCCTTTTTCTCAATTACGCCCTGGTCCTCTGCATACTTTTTCATATCCTCCCTATCCTTTTCCATTTCTATTTCTTTCTTCAATTCAGCTATCTTTTTCCTTTCCTGGTTTTGCTGTTGCTCCGCTTTCCAAACTTTCTCTATATTTTTCATAGTAGATGGGTGCCATGATTTTTTCAAATTCTGCTTTAACAAATTATTTACTTTCTTGAATAAACGCTCTATACACCATACAACTCTTATTCGCGCAACGAAATATTTAAATTATTACTTAACATACCAAATCGCCTCCACCCATTTTGGTTACGAACGTGTAACGAAATTAATTTTATTATTACACCATTTCTTGTACTTTAATGTACTTTATAAAATGTTTTCTTGATATATACACGAAAACAATAACGATTTTTACTATAAATTATTCAAGGATACCGCACACACAAATAAATAATAACTAATCATAGATCAGTGTGATCAGCATAGATATGTAAACTACTGTACTCCCAGAGTTTTGTGGCGCCTCTATAGTCCAGTAGTTAAAGCTACAGCGGAACCATCCATGGGGACAGAACTAACAGAAGTGCCTCTGATGGGAAAAAGAGAGAATAAGGCGGTGTTTTTGATTTAAATTTGTTTTTAAATGTACAATCAATCAGCTCGAACAGAATCTCGTGTAAGCATTTTATATTGTTACGCTACCGTGTGAACTTAGGTTTAATACACATAGCGTTGTAACGAGAATTAATTGGAAGTCGATTAATCACATATCGTAAACCTGCGTTGGCGTATAGCTGCAGAACACTGGGGTCTTGAGGAGCTGATGACGGTTTTCTACAAATTATTATTAAAAATGCAGAGTTCTCGCTCAGCCTTGCATGGCGTACCTGGACGACGGGATTAAAAGTAACCACAATTGTAGTAGAACAGCGCCACCTGTCCTGTGATACTAAAACTAAATAAAAGGGCAGGAAATTCAAAAACTTGCACAGACAAGGTATAAAATAGATCAAACTTTATCGTTTCGCGAATAATATAAATATTATTCTACGCCATTTTACATGCAATTAAATGTTATCTAACAGTCAATTGCATAAAAAATAGCTGTAAAAGCGATACGCTATCACGACCTGTACTCTCTGTCGTTGCATGAGCAATCAATTTATTTATCTTTGACACCAGTCATACTGTGAATTTACGCACTAATTAGTTCCCGAATAACTGACGTAAGTTGAGGTAAACATAATGCAGACGCGTATATACAGATTTAGTATTAGATCAAAAGATGGATTTTCCATTTTTTGATAAAAACAATTAAAGAAGCACTCATTCAAGAGAAGCAGTTATTTATAAAATTATAATAAACAGTCAGCGGTTGTCCCTAGTTTTCCGCTAGGGAACGGCCCTACATATGAATTTTCATACGAATATCGCATTTAAATTTAAATACTAATTGATTAATATAATATTGATAATTAAGTATGTACGACGTATATACTTTTACAAACAATTTACTTCTTTGTATATCTCCAACGAAATTATTTAAATAAAATAAAAAAAACGAAATATTCGATAATTTAACAAAGAGATTGAGTTATAATCATCAGATTTATGCAAAAGTATATTGTATTGCAAAGACAATTAATTATTTCGTATTTTTAAGATTGGTATACTTGCATTTAATTATGTTCGTATTAATTTTTTATAAATTTTGATGCGTAACAGTCAACCGGAAGAAAGACTGTACTGATTCAATATGGTGGAACATTTTTGATACGCGCACTGTTTTCTATTTTGTTTTAAAAAAAGTGCAATACATTGATAGAGCTATCGATAAGAAAGTAAAAATTTAATGATTGTATATAAATAAGCTACATTATGACTTTACATAAATTAAAGCAATTGACACGCGCTTCATAACAGTTTACATTTTTACTTGAAATGGATTATCAGTGCATCGATGATTACACATTTTGTGATAGTCACACGTATGTTGTTTTTTCAAAATATAATTACAATACAATTAAGGAACTGTATTATTGTTAACTATTAAACGAGCTATACCGTTGTTGTTTAGTAAAATTGCTGTGCACTATTATAATATTGTGACAAGTTCACAGATACATCAATGATATTTATGACAACATTATAATTATTATGTACTTTGAAGTGGAATCTCTTCAGAAATATCCAGCCTCAAGCATGTACGTAATTTTACAGTAAACGTAACTAATTTTAATTATATTATTCTAATTTCTTTAGATTTTTCTATTATTATTTACTTTTAGCATTAAGAAAGTTATTTTAATATTCATTTACTTTTAATTGCGGAATGTTATTTCAATAGGAATAAATCAGTGGAAGATTTGTTAATATCTAGTCGCGAAGTAATGAGTAACATAAATTCAGCTGGATTGGAGACTCAAAATTCAGCAACAAATATGGGAAATGGTGTATCAGATAACATTCAAGAAGCGCTTACTGGAACGTGCGGAGAACGATGTAGCCCAGTTTCAAGTACAAATCTGTCTCCACGCCCTAGTCCCAAAGCACGTAGTAAACGAGATCATTCTAAAACAAATTCCGATTCAATTACTAAAGAATCCAACAACGTAACCAAATCCGATGAGCATCAATTAAACGTGAGATTTTGACCTTTTACTATAAAATTATGTTACGGCAATTTTCTAAAATTTGATCGATTATAGGATGCAGCGAATAAATCATCAGATTCTTCGCAAGTGGTAAAAATTTCACACGATAGCAAAAAGGAAACGCGTGGTAGCGAGCGAAGTAAAAAAAAGTCATCTTGGTATAATGTTTTGTATCCAACCTATAAATCAAGATCCGAAGATTTTAAGCGAATATTCAAAGATGTGCCAGATGATGAAAGATTAGTTGTTGGTAAGCAACCAATTAATTATATGCATTTTCGTAGTAATAAATACTTGCTACTCGTGTTCGATTACAAATACACATCGCAATGTGTGACTTTTAGATTATTCGTGCGCACTACAACGTGAGATATTAGTTCATGGAAGGCTTTATGTTTCTCAAAATTATGTATGCTTTTATGCAAATATCTTCAGTTGGGAAACTTTAGTATCGCTGCGTTGGAAGGATGTTACATCTATTACCAAAGAGAAAACTGCCCTTGTTATTCCTAATGCAATTTTAGTAAGCACTGCCACCGATAAGTTTTTTCTGACATCGTTTGGAGCAAGGGACAAAACATACGTAATGCTATTTCGCGTTTGGCAAACTGCTCTTATTGGTGAGGTATGACAATTTTATGTAAATTATGAACATTTCGACAATTTGCTTAAATTCTTTTTGTATAAAACTCAAATATTGCAATACATGCTTGTCCATTATATTTTAATATAGTTCTTCAAGGGACAGTGCATTCAATAACAACATTTTTATTAGACATGAAATATTAAACGGTAATAATATATATATTTAACGAAAGATACAGTCCAGTAATATCATATACGCACAATCGCCGACTGACCGTTCATTCACACCGCATTCCGACAATTGACACTCGGGGTCGGTGACTTCGCTCCTACATTAACTGATTGCTATATAAAAAGTTCCTATTTGACAGATAATTAGAACAATTGTTGCATGATTTATAAACATCGATTCATTTCTTATCTTCCATGTTGCTATTCAGATTTTATAAGGTGTTGCATAATGCATAAAGCGGTTACAAGATTCATATAGGTATACGACTAAAGTGTCCCAGAATCATATGAGAAGATGAAGCATGCAAACTCCTCATGACAAAATAAATCATATATCATTTTCCGCGTGTGGCGGTTCATAGACAAGAAATACACACAAATACATGTTCACTTACGCATTATATCGTTAACAGTAAGTATTCCAATATATCTGAAGTCTGTTCTTAAATGCATTTGTTTACTAATCTCAAGAATATTTCATGTATAAAATCACGCATTTTCTGCACATTTACAGTATGAAATATATTTAGGACGCAATCATACAAAACGTCTTTGTTTCCAATCATAGTACAAAAAATCTTTTGTTTCGTGGAGATCAAATGAAAAAGATACATTACGCGATTCATAATGATTTCCAACATTATTTTGATCTGTGCGACCATTGTTTTTAAACGATTAATACTTATCTGATAAAAACATAATCGAAATGATATTAATGATAAAAGTATTCATGTTCAAATAAAAGTTTCCTGTTGTTTGGGTCAAACTTTTTATTATAAAATATCTAGGCGTTGAATCTTCGATGCATAAACGTATATATTGTAATATTACTTAAGTTTATGTACTATAAGAAGAAAACTCAAAATTAATTTTCGTAAATGTTTCATAACAAATCAGTCGAAGTTATTCAAATGACGAGAAACGTTTATTTAAATGCAAGAACGAGTCATCATTGTTTTAATGAAAAATTGGCAAAGCTGTATTGATTGATAAAAATTCGATAAGATTTGAAATTCTTCTAACTTCTTCTGTTTATCTTATCTGTTTATCCGCGTCATATGTCTGTTTTGAAACCACTAATTGTTACTATTATCGGTAATAATTATACTTTCAATAATGGTATATGTAGCAGATTGATAATTACCAAAATGAAAACTATACAACTATTTAGAAAATACCGACGAAGGTTTTGTTATAGTGGATTTCTATAATGCTCAGTAATTATTAATGTTCATGGATAACTACGAGAAACAGATATAATTATAATTATAATTAAAGAATTTTCAAAACTTTTATATATTTTCTTTTTCTTTAAATTTCGAGTCAATGTTAAATTTAAATCTACCCAAATTGAATTTAACTTCCTTTTCCGTTTCTCTGTCGAGTGATGGAATTAATACACAGATTATCAATGGTTTCTATCAAGTGCTTTTCATTCGCCTCTTTCTTCAGTTTGTTTTCGAAAATTTTTAAATAAGCTATTGTATAGCTGGGACATCGTTGTCACCCTTTATATTTCTTTGAAAATGAAATGGTTGTATAACTTTGATGTGTACATCTCGAAGATGTACTGAAACACTTACTGTTAACAGTACTGTTTATGTAAACACATATCTACATGTGTCTATTGTGATGATTGCGTGTGTGTATATACCGTTCGATATATAAATAACATACAACCGACGTTAGAGTTCATAAGTTTTATTGTCTGCCTCTCGGAATAGTAAAAGGCTTGTTCATTGTGTGTGTGTGCGTGTTATGAGGAAATTGCATTTCACGTTGTACTGTTAAATATTATAAAATTATTTATTTTATCCACAAAATATTACGTATGGATTCAAGTTCTGTTTGTAAGATATTTAATATTTTAGCCAATGAATGCAACTGAAATGTGGCAACTTGTTCATTCCTGTTATGGAGATGAATTGGGTTTAACATCGGACGATGAAGATTATGTTCCACCGTTACCACCGCCCGATGAGGAAAAATTACCAACAAGATTGTCCGTAGAATCGTGCTCAGAGGTAATTTAAAACACGAATGTATTAAAAAGGCAAATTAAACATTGTAAACCACTATAACATTTATGTTTGGTTTAAAATATAGGTAGAAAATAGCAATGTGGAAAACTCAGCAACCGAGATTGGGGATGGAATTATCGAATCGAAAACAGAAATTCAACATCGATCTCGACCAGTTCCTATCCCCGATGCGACTGATCAAAGCGACACGACAGAAAGCGAAGCGGAAAAACATGGGTGTATGTATCGAAACAAATTTTTTTTTTAAATTTTACTTGTAGAATATGTTGGGAAAGTTTCGCGGGGGAAAAAACCGGTACTAAAATTTAGATTCTTCAGAATTTTTAAAGTTTCTAACACCTGTAGCCAAACACTTTGTATAACATATTTAATTATTGTAATTTCAGTGAAACCCAGTATTAGAGGCAGTGTAATGTGTACAGCATCACACGAAGGTCGACAAATTAGCAAGGCTTCGTTTCCCATTCACATTGATCACTTATTCACCTTGTTGTTTACGAATTCAAAGTTCTTCTTAGATTTTCAAAATGCCCGCAAAACTACTAGTAAGTTACGGTACCTCGATAACCTGTAATATAGAAACAATATGATTTTCGTGAAATAAAATATTATTTATAATATAATTGTTATTATATAAATAAATTCAGGAAATTATGACAAATGTTTTTGTTGAATCAGATTTAGTACAGTCGGCATGGATGTACAATGAGCAGACAAGTCAGAAAGTTAGGAATTTATCGTTTACAGTATCGCTATCTCAAGCTATTGGACCAAGAACCTCTAACATTACAGAAACACAGGTGACACAGTAATTACTGTTTAATCAAACACGTATTATAACTTCAATTTGTTTTTTATTTTAGATTTAATAATGCATTTTAATATTTACCTAAATACCATTACCTTTGTTTCCATATAATTTTGAAATATTTATAGGTAATGCTACCGTGTAGCAGACCAGGTCATTTATATAGTATCGATGTAGAGAATATAAATGCTGGAATACCGTATGCGGACACATTTTATGTGTTACTTCATTATTGTCTAACCAGTATTTCCGAAAACGAAACAAGTATCACAATTAATGCTCAAGTAAATTACAGAAAGAATGTATGGGCCTTTGTAAAAGGTAAGAGCTTATGACATATGGATTTTTTATTTGTAAATGATAGTTAATTATTTTTTACAACAAAAATAGGCATTATTGAGAAAAATTGTTGGGCTGGAATGGAAGAATATTTTACGAGTTTAATAAAAGCATTAACTGTAGAATGTGAAGAGAATACCAGTAGTGGAGGACTAAAAAGAAAAACAAGAAGAAGACGACGTGTTACAGCGTCTGGTATCGCTCTGCAAACTCATTCTTCAGATCATACGTCTCCCAATTTACAAAATTCCTTGAATTTACCACGCATTAATGATAATAATGGTACGAGGACTGTAATACAACGTTATATCGTAATATTTTACTACACATTCAGATTGTCAGTTATTAATAATCATAATTTAAATATGAATAATATATTATTTTTTTAATGTATAGTATCTGGTGTTCGAGGGGATGGTAATATGATAGTTAGTTCAATGCTGTTGATTGCTGTATTATGTCTGATGGTAATTAATGGCCTATTATACTATAAATTGTGGGGTTTGGAAGAAGCTGCAGCTCATACAATCATGGACTTACATGTGTTGAAGTGTGTATTACACATTTGGTACAAAATCTAATGTGTCCGCGGAATGTTTGAAATTGTTTAATTTTTAGAAATACCCCAAAGACTGATGAAGATTGGATTCATTTATTACAACAACAAGAAAGTTTGCATAACGTAGAAACGAGGAAATGGCAAAGAGTGCTGCATACAGCGGTACAATTACTTAGACAAGTAAGTCTTATTTTTCTTTATAATGATTTTCTATTGTGAAAACGTTTCATTGATTATTACAGACAGAGGAGTCGTTAACAGAGTTACAAATGAGTATTCACCCTGCAACGGAAAAAATGTTTTCGGTCTTAAAGCCAAGTATAAAAAATTTTAATTCGCATACGGAACAGCGAAGTCATTCAGAAATATAAAAAAAAGCGTAAAATATTTCGATAAAATAAGCATTGTAATACGATATGCGATTAAAAAGCATAATTATAGTAAATTTTAAGTTTACTTGAAAATAGAAGTATCGTTAATAATCGTTGTACTTGCTCATAATTTATAAATTAGGCACAGAAATGCGCTGTGATGCTGATTCTTTAAACTCCAAGTGCGCAACAATACGCATGTGACATATTTATGTCTTATAGAAAATGTAATTTAAACATACTTATTTCTATTATTTTGAATATTCACAATATATTATTACGTATACCCAGCAACAAAACTATAAGACGCTTAATTTTATTTCGTTAAAACGTAGGTCAGTTTATCGCAAGATAAAAGGTGCGACATAACTATAAAAATTCATCGACTAACAACTTTTCATTATTTGTGATATATAACTTTTACAACATTTATTAATAATGCGTAACGCTACTTTCATTTCTAACGATTTTAGTCATCGTGCTTATAGGTAAATAGATATACGTAAGAAATACTTAGAATAGATAAGAAATTCTTTCCTGGAATAGTTTTCCATAGTCTTAACTATGTCTTGTAGCTTTGTTGCGGTGTGTATGTTTCCCTTCTTATGAAGTATTAAATTTATGAAATCTTTCATAATGATCTTATATTTGTAATGTATACATGCATAAGTACATGCATAGGTGATATATATGTGTATAGGTGATGTATATTAGTACATTGTAAAGGAGAAAAATAAATAATTTTTAAAACAATTTCTCAAAAGAGTTTCTGAAACATGACATTTGGAGCATATCTATACAGGGCGTTCGACCACTATTGGGAAAAATTTTAATGGGAGATTCTACAGACCAAAATGTGGTGGATAAAGTTCAGCAGTCCCGACGTATTGTACAAGTTTTTAAAAAATATCTGTAAGCAACTTTATATTTAAAATTATAAACCTGGAAGATCCAAACTGGTATAAAATATCAAATTATAGATTTGTATTTATGACATTTTTTTAATCAATGCGAAGGTACATATTTTCAACTTATTTGTCTTCCGGTTTATTAAATACAAGCGTATAACCGCATTTGCCACAGTAATGACGATCTTCCATTGCTGCCATAAAAACTCCAGCACCGCATTGTTCCATGGGGCACTCCCTTCTTAGTCGATGAATTTTTCCATTTTCATCCACCTGTTCGATAGTACAATTTTTAAATACATCTCGCCAAGAACGCATATCATGATTACCATCATCCTAATATTTTTATATAACGCCTTTGTTGAATTGTAATTATAAATGGTATTCACGTACCTTGTAAAATTTGAGTACAGCTAGTTTGACCTTCTTCTTTTTGTGTTTAATTTTCTTAGGGGTCGAATAATTCTTCTTCTTGCGTTTTTTGGCTCCACCACGCAAACGTAGAACTAAATGCAAGGTAGACTCTTTCTGAATGTTATAATCTGATAGAGTTCTACCATCTTCCAGTTGCTTTCCAGCAAAAATTAATCTTTGCTGATCTGGTGGAATGCCTGTAACGAATAATTTTCTTTAATAAACATTTACTGTGATATATATTTTACATTGTTACCTTCTTTATCTTGAATTTTAGCTTTAACATTTTCGATAGTATCCGATGTCTCAACTTCTAGGGTGATGGTTTTCCCAGTAAGTGTTTTTACAAAAATCTGCATGTTGAAATCTGTGGCATGGACACTGCAAAAAAAAATAAAAACAAAAACAAGAAAATTAATTGGCTTTGCGCAAAACCTGTGTTACAAAAGAGAATTTATCAATGTACTTAATTCACTATATAGACGACCCATACTCTACAATCACTTATGATATTTAAGGAATTAATCAAACAAGATATTTGTTCAAATGTAATTTTTATTACAAACATTCGATACAATATAATAATTTATACAAGTAACACAGCATTAATACAACCATCATTTTCAGGATTATTCGTAACTTGAGCATATTTTCCCCAAACTACTTTCCCAGACTGTGTTACTAAACCTAATTCCGAAATATTTACTTCAATGACTGTTCCTTTTGTAATAACGCCTAATGTTGTATACATGGATGAGGAGGGATTCTTTTTTACTCCTAAAATCGGCACGCAGAACGTTGCTTTCAATTCTGGATGAGATACATGCGCTTTCTTGAAACGTAATGCCATTGGTCTGATAAATCTTTCAAATTTTGGTGGTTTTCTAGTGAAATTTTCACCGACAAAGGTCACCTTTGTGACCATTCTCTTCCACGATTTACGTTTAGTTTTTCCACTTCTTACTATTTTAAATACTTCAGATTCCGATTGTGTTTTAACTTTAGGTATTGGAACGTCCCATTTACCAGCTTTTTCTTTTCGTTTTTGTTTTATCATGTTCGATAATATTTTAGCATCTTTTTTAACGTCGCGATCTAACAGATATACTGGTAATGCTCCATCCGACACGTCTTTCGACTTTTCTTTCACCTTCTTTTCCATGTGAGATTTTATTTTCTTTTTCATTTGTATCTTTTCATTTCGTCTTTCTTTATTGTATAATTTTGCTTTTATACCACGTAATGAACGAGCACGTTCTGCCCGCTTATGAGGCTCACGGGCCTCTCTTTTCCTTTTTCTTTCTTCATAATCCAATCTTCGTCCATATAGCTTACGATGCCTTTCAATATACTCGTTCTGCGGCATTGTGACTATTTATCCTTCTTCTTATATAAAGTTTACGTGCAAAATAAAGTACCTCTTCAATTTATAGATTCTGAAAATAAGAAAATTTAAACTGCAAAAAATAATTAGTATGGTTATTTATAGAATGATTATAGAATGATTTATTACTTTTATATATTGTGTGACACGTTTAAAGCTATAACAATTAAAAAAGAAAGGATGTATTGAAGAAAAATTTTCTTATCAAAGGAACTTTAAACATTATAAGGTGATTAAATGATATAATTTGACTCAATGTTTTGTTTTGAAGAAATTAAACATCACTCTTATAATAATAAAAGGTTTTATTTATGTTTTATTATGTAATAACAACAATTGGAGTACAAATTATTGTAATTGATATGCATTAAGGAATATTCAAAATCTAAACGCAAAGAAAATGTATACATTCAAGAAAATTTTATTTCGATTCATTTTACATCCTTCGTGTCAAATTGTTAAAGGGCAATGATTTAAATCAAAGCAATAATTCCAAACGCATTACTTCATACTTTATCTAAAAAAAACCATTTTATCGTGTCTACTAAATAGCATACAATATAAAAAGTCTGAAAGTATTAGATGTACCTACCTGACTTCCTACATACATTTCTTTTTACATTTAAAAATTACACTTTTATACTATTTAATGGATATGTTTAACAGCAATATACTTATCAACTTCGATGTTCACAAATTTTATATAATTAGACGTAAAAGAAAATTTGTATTCATACACTTAATAGTATCGAGAACACAGTAAATATTACTACAAGTTTAATAATACTATTTTCCATTCATGTGTAGTATAGTAAGTACACCATTGCGTGTTTGAAAAATACACAAGAATTGATACCTTTCGTAAATTTCCAAACGAAAATTAATCAAGTAGGTATATTACAAATGCTAAAAAAGAAATTAACATTCTTCTGTCGTTAATGTGATTACCTTTAAAAACATTTATAAAATAACATTTGATTTAGCACGCCATGTGTTCACTCTTATTCAATCCCGTAAACATTGAAATAGAACAGCTATACATGTAACAAAATTTGTAAACGCATTTATAGAAATTGTAAGACGTAAATGGGTAAAAAGTACATCAAAATGATCGTTCGTTCGAAATAATTTTCAGAAATCATCGATTTAACATACCTTCAATCACGCCTCTCGCATGCGGAAAGAAATCATAACCTTCGGTTACGAACTAAGATATTGGAAACTCGAAAAATAGAAAGCGCCATCTGGTGTTAAGAAAGATGTACTATTTGATGTAGAGCAGGTTTTTGAATTCATGAATTTAACGATATTTATTTCAAACAAGTTTTTACGAAGACAGAACTTAAGAATGTTCTAAAAAGAAATTTTAACAACGTATACGCGAGCTCGTAAAGTCGAGAAAGTAAAGCGAACTAGAATTGTAAACTTCAGTTTATATTTTATATATTCTTTCGTTCAAATTGAAAACTTCGTCCTTGTATCGTTTAAAAACCATTTGTTATAAATTAAATATTTAAATGTTTGTAGAGGAAAATTTAATTGGATTAATATACTACAGTCCTTTGTGACCGAATGTAAATTAATGTCGGCCATTTTGATATGTGATATGTGATGTGAGATGTGACCAAATAAGATGGCCGACAGCACGTGAAGAAGAGAGTGTTTGGAAATTATACAATTATTTGTTTAAAGTAATTAATTTTACACGAATGATTGAAATCGTTTAATCGTTATGGAGAGAATTTGTTGTGTGTGCGAAAGAACAGAGTGCTCGTATAAGTGTCCCGTATGTAAAGAGCCATAGTAAGTATGAGAGGCTATCTTCGTATTTTTCGTACTGCTGAGATATTTTTACATGTAACAGTTTACACAGATCCTGTGCCCGTATGTTCAAACGTTAGAGAAATTATTGCAAATTTTATGTTATTTCGTGTTCCTATAATAAACTTAACCTATGTATATTGGGGTAGGTCATTTTCGTACAGAAAAAGAAACAAATTTCAAACTAGCGTTTTTTTAGATGTTTTAATGTTTAATTTAATTGTTCTATAACATAGAGCCAAAGTGCATGTTTTGTTCATAATACATATATGAATTTTTTCTTTCTCTCCAAGAAAGTTACGTTCCTTAGGAAGATAATTTTTTTTATAATTTAATGCAGAACATAAATAGATAGTTACACATATTTTTTACTTTGTGTGTCAGTTGCTCTAAAGCTTGCTGTAAAGCCCACAAAGCAACTAACTGTCAACCGCCAAAGCCTCAACAAAGCGAACCTGCAGAAGATAAAGTAAATACTGCTAAGTACAACTTCCCTACGGAGGATACAGTTCCCATTGACAAATTGAAACAATTACAATCTAGCGAAGAGTTAAAGAATTGTTTAAAAAATCCACACGTACGTGATATTATGCGCGCAATACTGACCAATGAAAATCCTACAAAAGCTATAGCTTTGGCTATGGCGGAGCCAATATTTGTAGAAATGGCAGATGCATGTTTGAAAATTGTGGAAGCTCCAGTTAATGATCAATCATGTTAATATACTTGGATAATATTATGGGACGCTATGTGTAGCTTTTAAGGTGTGTATGTGTATGTGTGTGTTATATACATTAATACTGTGTTCTCATTTAAATAATGGTATAGTTTCAGTAAAACTAAAGATTACATGCAAGGAAGATAGAAGTAAACAAATAATTTTTGTATAACGTTTATTGATAAACGACAATTTTCTTTTGAATCTGATTAACAAACATTGCAAATTGTTAAAAAAGATATTAAAGTTCTGAACGTGGAATGTAACGAGATGAAACATAATTTTCAAGATCCATTGGCATCTCCATTCCATCTAATTCCTTTTGGAGTGCATGATATCTCTTTCTGACATGATAAGCTGCCATTTTTGGTTGCCTGTCTCTAGTAAATATTCCCTTTTTGTTGCCACCCACTCTGATGAATGCTACAAACATAATATAATACTACAGTACTGATTTTCATAAAATCATTAGAATTCTTCAGACAAAGAATGTATATTTGCCAGTTGAGACTAGTGTTATTAATTATTAGCTGACCTTTTTAAAAGTTTTGTTTTGTTATTTACTCACTTTGAGCCGTTCGGAAGTCAGCAAAATTCCAAATGAATTCACCAATGAAAAAACCTTCGTTTCTTAATTGGTCGAATGCTTCAAAATGTCTAGAAAATACTTCTTTTTGATATTCTTCGCTCCATACGTATTCGGGCAGCTAAAAGGTCACGGTAATATTTCTTTTAAAATGAAATTAATTCTGTATTGTTTAATTTTCTATAATTAAATGTTGTACCTCGTGTAATCCAGGCATAGTGTCGGTTCCATACTCTGACATGAGCACGGGCTTATTGTATTTCCTGTGCCACGCTTCAGCCTCCCCTATTACTCTGTTTGTAATTGTATCGAGGCGACCAGGGTTGGTGTACCAAGCATTGTATCGATTAAAGCTAATCACATCAAGATATTCACCAACTTTATCTTCCTAGAAATCATTTATTCGTTTTTCATTAATAGTCCACATAATATAGTGTTAATAGTATGAGAGTATGTTTAATCCCTTGCCATACAAGGACTAGTTTTTCTTAGATTTGTCATAAGTTTTCAAGAATTCTGTAATAGTAACCTGAACTGTTCGTGCCATAGCAATGGTAATCGGTCTGGTAGGATCGAGTGCTTTCGTATGATAAGCAACTTGTTTAAAGTATTCTCCAGCATCCGTCAGTTGGGTTCTAGGCTCGTTGGCGATGGACCACATGATCACCGAAGGACGATTCTTGTCCCTCCTTATGAGTTCGGATAAGGACTCCTTGTGACGTGCCAGAAGAACTGGTGAAAAGTTCTCAGTATCCACGGATGGACATTCATCGATAATGAGGAACCCCAGCCTTTCAAGAACGAGTCAAGTAATAATATGTACAATTATGCCAATAAAACTATTACGTAATAAAACGAAAGTGAGTTTTAGTAAATTACGAAGAAGAAATGTCCAGTGTGTATCCAGAGACGGATTTAAGTATAAATCGAAAAACTTTAAACAAGAAATAATAAACACTTTCGGATCTAGCGTTTCAAGTTTTTATCTGTTTTAGATTCTGTTCGTACCTGTCGGCTAAGTCTAGTACTTCGTCGCTGTAAGGATAGTGGCTGGTCCTGTAAGCGTTTGCACCGACCCACTTTAGCAATTCATGATCTCTGGCCACGGTGGCCAAGTCTAGACCGCGTCCTCTTATGATAGAATCCTCGTGTCTACCGAATCCTCGCATGTACAGAGGTCTATTGTTCAGCAGTAAACTGGTGTTAGTCCAGAGCAATGTCCTGATGCCGATCGGTAGCCTGTAGACATCCGTTTTGGTGTCGTTTGCGATGGACATCGTAACCTTGGGTATAGAAAAAAAGCTTTGTCTAAGATTTAATACGATACTTTAATCTCTACAATAATATTTTTGTTTGTTAGAAACATTGCAATCCAAGATAATATAAAAAAACAATCGAATGGTGTGAACTTTCGAGATTCCAAACGCTGTAGCGCGAGGATGAAGCATAGAAATATACCTCAAAGGTGTACATGGCCCCAGGGTTAGGGTCCATTCCTCTAGACCACCATAGTTTAACAAGTGGTACTTTGAGCGTACCAGAAACTCCATAGACCGGCTCCTTTATAGCTAAAGTATCCGTATCATCAAGTAGCCTCACTTTGAAGATCGGAACTTCGTATTCGTGCAAACCAGCCGGTTGAATTATGTACTTCACTATACCCACGTCGCCAACGAATCCGGTCCTCACCGTTATATCTTCGATGTACACGCGTGGTTTAGTATGCAGCAAAACGGGCCTGCAAATTAAGAATGTTAGATCAACATTCTCTATTGTTATTCATTGGTAGCCGGGAATCAGGGAACCAGGTTCCGTTTTTCTATTCTTCTCGCGATAAACAGATTGTTTTGCACCGGTAGTTCGCTTTTGTCTGTTACGAAAGTTCCGACCATAATCTATTATCGTGAAATATTTGATGGTTCGGAGAGCGTGAACTTTTTTAAAGGCAGATACACGAGTTAGAGGGTCAACTATTATGCGCTAACGTTCTCTTCCCCTCCTATATTCACTAAATACGTATCAAACTAGTTTTCTAGCTTTCTAGAAATGCTTAAAAAGTTGGCAGACAGAGTTTAAGAATATCAATATTCCTGGCGATTGTATTATATTTTATATGAAACAACACGCATAAGCATTTATAGAAGAATTTCTATCAAAAGGGATACTTAATACATGCTTATAAAACAATGTGATGATAGGATGGAGTATACATATACATATACATATAGGTGTTTACTTGCCTGTGAATACCCGCGTAATTGAAAAAATCGAAAGTGTAAGTCTGCGTGTGTATAGTCCCATTGTCAACGTCGGTGTCGACAATTCTTCCTTGCGGCACGCTTGTTTGCAGTAATGTATTATCCACCGCCACTGTTATGCTATTTTTACCGCCGTAAATTAAATAGGAAGAGATCTCTGCTTCGAACGGCAAGTGACCCATTTCGTGGTTGGTCACCAGTCCGCCATTCACCCACTGAATCGCACAAACGACACAAAAATTATTATTTCAATTTTTATTTCTTACACGGTCTCGATCCTCCGTAGCAATGGTATCCAAACATTCTGGAAGAGGTCTCTTTAAAGAAGGAAAGAACTTTCGGGCGTGAAATAAATAATATTAGGTCTATCGAACAGTTCTGACTGTGTTTTAAAATTAAAACACTATAATCTTTCCCTTGGAAATGTTAAAATATTTCCAGGTTGAGAAACGCTGCGTCGGTGTTTAGATCTGACAATACCATTAAAAATAAGCATGTAGATTTTTTTTAATGGAGCTATGTTTCAAAAGCAGATATCGCCTTACGATAGGGAACAAAGCTTGAATAAAACATGGCTCTCGTAGAACAAAGGTACGATATGGGGCGTATACACTACCAACCAAAAGTTTGGAATCATTGCGTCTAACGATCTAAATCGTCAGGTTGACAATTTTGGTATTAGAAATTGGACGAAATCTGTCACGATTTGAGTTTCGAAAATTACAAATATTCATGCTTCCGTAACAAAAAAGATTTCCTCCGAAATGTTCAATGCTGAAACATCTTAACACTACTCACGCAGTTTTATGCATACCAATTTCGATTAAAAAGTGTCTCGACTATAGAAATAATGATTAAATTTTGGTAGAAATAAAAATGGTGTCAATACGTTGGAAAAAAACGAGAGTTTTTAAAACTTGCTTTCAGTATCTTTAGAATATTACTTTATACATACAATAAGTTGATACTTACCACTTGTGCGAGATAATTGACCGACCCGAACCTAACGAAGACTCTTTGTTCTCGCCAAGAAGAAGGTACAAAGAATGTTCGTTGGTACCAGACGGCTCCAATGTGGTCTCTAAGATCTCTCGAGGTTGTGATATCGTTGTAAGACGATGGAACAGGCATTTGCATTACTTTTCCTACCTACACATCGGTTATGCACATGAGGGAATCGTAGGAATCGTAACAGACGTATAATTACGCGAAATTAGTATCCGTATAACCATTCCTACTTCATCGTTTCAACTAGTTTCTTGTTAACTAATTTCGCATTTTTACGTTCCTTGTTTATTAATATTTATTACGTTTATCTTTACGTATTTTTCTCGAATACAATCTTAAAGAAGAAGACCCTGAGATTTTGAAATAATTTTCTTTCGATAAATGGAGAATGTGTTTCTTTTAAAATACCTTTGACAAATCGTTGGCGAACCATGCTTCTTTGTAGGCCTTCAATGGATCTGCCGTTGGCAAAACGATGAAATCCCACATACCATCGAGACTTTTTATCTAGGAAAATGCAATAGCCACGATCGTTTGTAGTTTCAATTTTCGAAAACGTTTGTACAGTCTGTTCATTAAGAGCGTGGACTGTGTTAGTTTAAACACTTGCAGTTTCTTGCAGTTACATACAGTCGTTTTCGATATGAGTATCATATGTGCTAAACGATTTGGAGCAGTATTCTTGTACTGTCATCCAAAGGGACCAGAAATGAGTCTCAAGTCTCGCGAATTTGTTAATAACTGGGTACTACGATATAAAGACAGTAAGAACGATAATGACCTCCCTAAACGAGGATCAAAGAGGGAAACTACAGAAAAACAAGACAAAATGATCTTCATCCTCATTTTTCCAAGAATCTGTCGCTTTCTTTGAGCAAGGGGCAAATTATTCTAGCAAGAAAAGGCATAATTGGTATTTCGACAGTCGAACATCGCTTACAAGCAAATAATGTTGCATAGCGAAGTGCAATTGTCAAACAAAGTATGCAGAAAAATTGTTAAAAAGCATACCTAAGCGTTATCAAGAGATAATCGCTAATGGGGGAGATTGGAATGAAATTATTTTTTTCTGATTTATCGCGTCCACGCTCTTAATTAACAGACTAATCATATTGAACAGTGCAATTCGATAACATTTTTCTAAACTGTATAAATGTTCTATAATGTTTGTAGGCATCATTTGCTGTTCCAAGCTTTGTGGGCCAGACGATTGCACCGATAAACAACGCTGACAGTAAAAAGCATATAAGTGAAACGTGAATTGGGACGGTTACCTCTCGTGATTCGCTCTCTCGTGGATATAGCATGCCAGGAAGAGGCAAGGGTGTAGATATATCCGGATAATCTACATAATCGGGTGCCGATTCCCCGGCCACCGCAGCGCCGATCACAAGAAAAACTAAACGCCACATTCCTTCTCAGCTTTTCCTACAATAAAAACGAAAATAAAACGATCGAACGGATGCTTTCTTTCTTTACAAAAAATATCAATGATCGTACGAAGTGATCCGTGCAAAGACGTTGCGCGTTAGTCATCCTGGGTTCACTCTAGACTAAATTCTAGAGTTGCTCCAAGTCGACATAATATTTGGTATAATTTTTACCCTCGAAAATTGAGAATCCTATATGTTTGCAAGACAAAAGGTACAAATTGGATTTATATGCTCTTTCTGTACGGTATTACCGACAAGAGAATCTATTGTCGAGAAGTGTTCGCGAGTGTATGGCCGCCATTGCGAGTCCCCGCGGAAAATACGATGGTTTGGGCCGCGTGTGGCCCGCGGGCCACACATTTGACATGTAGGGTTCGCAGTAATATCGGCTTCCTGGCACGGTGCCTTCCTACGAGAGCAGACTTCCCTTCCCAAAGCGTCAAATCGTTTCCTCGTGTCGCACATATGTATGCAGCGTCGCTGTCCTTAATTCTTCGAATAGACACCACGAGAATTTAACAATTGCTGCTGTTTATAGCGATGGGAACGACGCCCTCGCAAGCGGTATCGATTAACCAGAGGAACGATATCTAATCGACACTACCGATACCATCCCGTTGATCGTAATTTCGTATCGGGCACCGAACACGGCGACCAGCAAACGTGTAAACGCGCAAGCCAATGTTTCTCTTCGAATCGTTAATACCGCTGTAATCTAAGAAAGTGCAAAGGTCCAAGGCTTTCGAACAGAGTGTTTTACGCAAAATACTTTATTCCCCCTCTTACCTTTTAACAGTACCATAATTTATGGTAAACGATAAGAATTTTTAGCTTTTATCTACCGCGATAATCGAGGTCCTACTCCTTTTGTCTTTCGAAATATAATAGAGTGTCTCTGAGATAGAGTTTCTTTTCTAATTGTTTCCAAGTAATTACACTCATTGTTAATACATACGAGCGAATAATTGTATGAAATACATCGAATGAATTTTTTCTAGGCCAAGGACGCTCTCGAAGCGTTACGTTATTTTTTCGTCTTTAACAGATTATTAAAAACTTTACAAAATACACCTTTATATTTAAACTAAATCATTAACAATAGCGAACTAATCTAAGTATAAGTAGAAGAATGTATTCAGAAATGTTAATACGATTTAACAATTTTTCGACCTCGAAATTTCCTTCAAGCGAATATTGTAATCGGCCTTATTCGATTCTGGCTGTGTTTGAAACTATCCAGGCGTGTTTGAACCTCCGGGGTTTACCGAACGTACGTATATGAATGCCTCTATTATCCTGGCTAATAAGACAAAACGACGGGGATGTTTGCGGTCCTCTACGAGCCGAACGATTCGTACAAACGAGGCTCCACCGAATATTCTTTTCGATAATCCGGTGTAGAGGCTCTCGCCGAAAGATTCACCATTCACCACATGTCGCGCGCGTCTCGGAGGAAGAATCCAGCACGCGTGCACGCCGAGGACTCCCGGAATTCTCGATCCCCGTAAAAATCCTGTTTTCGCGGACCGGCGTCGACGACGGAGAAAACATCTCTCGCAGCTTCGATCCCGAGGTCAATGGAACTCCTATCGCGAGGAGACAACCGAGAGTCCTCTGGCGATTTCTACTTTCAGGATACGAAGACACTCACCTCTGCTGTCAGACCGAAACAGACGAAAATTCTCGCATCACGGACGAAACGTAAATCTTTTCGGGTACCAACAGCATCCGTTTGAAGCGAAGTTTTCTTTCCTCCCGGTGTTTCGTCGAAGTTCAACGCGGCATAGTAGCTTTTGCAACCCAAACGTAAACCAGCACGTCGAGATCTTACGCGCCACTAGACCAAGAGAATCGAATCAGTTCTACCTATCCCATCGGACTACACTGAGCCTCGTCGGCCGACTGGTCTGCACTTATACCTACCGGGTGTTCGCGATCCACCGCGGCCCCAGTAGTGATGGGATCAAGCACCTTACAAGCGCCCCGAATCTGGCTCGAGGGTTTTCAAATATTGACCCGGGTTCGACCGAGTCAAGTCATCCGCTACACGGACTCGCCAACGTGCATATTCGAACGATCATATATTCCTACAGTTAACACCATACAGCGAGTCACAGCCAAAATCATTCAAATTCATTCGAAAAAAGAAGTTTAGGAATGATTTGGGAAAAAAACAAGGCAGACATATTATTGCAAATATATCTGTATTTATTGTGTAACAATGACTAAAGAAATGAATATTGCTTAACGTAAAAAGAATAAAGTTACTATAATACGGTGCAGAAAATATCCAGGAATCCCCGAAAAGAAACGAAGAATGTTAAACAAAAGAAGATCACTAACAGCCATTTAACAGTCTCTCTAAGTCGGATACGAGTTATTCACATTCAATGAAATTTTTCCATGTTATTCTCGCACATTCCCCATACGGTATACACGAGAATTTCCAAATATTTACTATACTGTACGGTATGCGTCAATCAGGAATATGTCATCGTTTGAATACTTTCGCGAGCCTGTGTGTGCATCGTTCGAAGACGTCTCAAGACGAGACAGCAAACAAAAGTAATCGCTGAATCGGATCGAACGTCAATGTTAACAGTCAATAAATAAAAACAGAACTATCCGCTCGTTGCACTGGCTCGATAAGCTATAGCGTCGTTCGAGTGCAGAAGTTATGCTATACAGGAAGCGTAGCATATTTAGATCAACGAAGAATTTAAAAAATTGGACTAACGTTACAGTGGAACCTCGTTTATCAAAATTTCCCGCCGTCTTTCTTCGTTAGTTCGGATAACAGGTCCAAGCACGGATGGATAGCTTCGAACACATCCAGAATCGAATAAAGCTGATTTGCAATGTTCCAGGCAATTAAAAACATTTCTAAATCGAAGATCGCAAGTTTTACTTTCTCGTGGCCGTAGAATGTTTTGATTCCTTTACTTTTAAAAGGAATTTACGGTGTTCGAAATGGTTCCAAGGTATTTTACAGCGAATAAGTTGCAGCTATTGTATTTTCTAAGCGCCTCGATTAATTCATTTTACGTAACTCGTCCACGATTCGCGATACGACGATATTCTGCGAGAGAATTAAGCGCGAGATACGCCTGACCGCAGGTAGTTTAACTTCTACTGTACCTTAAATTAGTATTCTGTGTAAATAGAGATTAGTTCGTTGACATTTGTGGGTATTCCTATCTACCGAAACACGTTTCCGGGCTTCTTGAGCGTCGTCTGTTTTTCCTTTACGCGCAAGATTGGGTTATCACTGTGACACTATTCGAACTTTTCGCTGTAATGATTTATCTGTGCGCCTCGGGATGCCTTTAATATGCTTTCAGTATCGATATACATATGATAACGTTGGTACAAGATAAGCGTTACTTTCCTTCAATTTTGATAAAATCACAGAAAGTGTTCGAAAAATTACCATTTTAGAACATCGCAGGAAGTTTTAGAAAAACAACTTTGTCTAAGAATAATCTTTTTAATTTTTCTAAATAAACTGTAATGTCGGTAATTATTTTGTATACTAGTAATTAATCTTTGTAATGTTGATTTCTTGATTTCGTTTCGCTCATATCTTTCTTAACCCTCAAGCACACACGTTCAACAAAATGTTAGAAAGATCATGCATCGAATTGTAAGGGGATCCTCGTAAGAAGCCTTTAAACTTATGGTTTTAATGGGTCGATGATCAACAATGACTAGCTTATGGTCACTGGTGGTCAACAGCGAGGTTGACATCAAGGTCAGCGGTTCAGTGAGGATCCAGAAATGGCCAAGAAGTGGGACCAATCGAAGTAGTTTCTCTGCAGACAAGACAGTTATAATTGTTAAGTTCAACTTTGATTCTGATTAGTCTCCCCACCCTTTCATCACCTTAGATATATAAGCAGGGTCACTGCGAAGAATTCTTCAGTCTCGTCGCGAATTCGGGAGTGTGCAAATCGCCTGAAGTGACCCGGGGACCGCTGCCTGACCTGTGCTGGCCACTGCTGACCACTACTGGCCTGAGCTGACCATGACTGACCAGAACTGACCACTACTGACCACTACTGACCAGTTCTGGCTAGCGCTCCTGCCACTACTGACCACTACTGACCACTGCTGACCACTACTGACCAGTGCCGGACGGTGATGACCAACGGTAAGAACTGTTTAAAACTTCTCTCCCCTCTTCTATTCTATCGTTTGATACCAATTTCGCTTTAATAAACTGATTTTGCGTTGCTTGCCTAACTGACGTTGCTATAATATGAATATTTTCTTACTTTACAGCTGATCCAGTGGTAACTACCCTATATACTGACAACAAGTAGTAAGTCCACTCCACTTATTTATATTTTATTATTTTTATTTGTTTGTTTGATGTGAATTCAACTTTATTTATCCATCTGACTGGTTTGATATGTATAATATTGCAAGATATAATAATGTAATATTATATTCTTGCTCGAATTCTCGTAATATTCTACGGAGGTACTTTGTTTGATTCTTCCATTTCGTTTGATCGTTTGGTGTTGATTCAACTTGGTGTCTCGATGACACTGATGAATATAAGAATGCCCCTTTTAAGATTTTTATTTTTACGTTTCAGCTTAAATTCTTGTAACATTTTTCCAATATACTCTGTTCAATTCCCTTTAGCTAGGTGATAGATCATTTTTAAGTGTTTAAGAAGCTCCTTTTTAATACCTTAGCTTACAATGGTGTTTCAGAGAAGTGATAAGTCTACCGAGCCAAACATGAACAAGACGTCTCAGAGATGTGATAAGTCTACCGGGCCTATGGACCTTGGAGTTGGACCTTTTGGCACGCACAGTTGGAAATAAAATCGTAAGGCAAGGGGTTAAACAAAATAATTGCTTGGTACAATTAAACTAGACTTAAGCTTCGACTGGTTGTATAAATGCTACCTTTGGCAAGTGTAGTGACCGCGGGTATGAATGATACCCGTGAATAGTAACACATGTATATTGTTTTATCTCAGTATCTTTTGCTTAAAATTATAATCTTCTTGCACACCGCGATTTTCAAGATGACAAATGTCATAGTAGATTCATTTTTAATTTGACACTGATTTTAAAATGAATATATAATGAGTTCATATACATATATGAATAGTTCACTTTCTCTCGTCCGCTCGTTCTCTGGTTCTCGCTTTCCGAGATTATGTCTCGACCGAAAGGATCGGAGAGTTTCGCTCGATCACCTCTGTTTGATAGAATGAAACATGTGACGCCTGTGTATTAGGTGTGATAGCTCTTACCGCTTCAACCCCGGTGCAGCTTGGTTCAGCTTAAGTGGGGCCTCGCCGAGCGCATATATTCTCCTCTTTATACGGAAAAGAGAATGACCTCCGGCGAGAGTTCCTGACCCATATCCGTTCTCGAGTACTAAGCGGGTCCTGTTGTGACCGTGTGTCCTCCAGGGCCCGGCGGTTGTACGTAGAGAGGTCCGATCGACGTGGGTCAGGGGCGCGACTTGCTTTTCTGATAATCAAGGCCGGGGGGGATCAATCTGATACCCACACTCACTGCACGCTTATGAGCACGTGTCGCGTCGCGTTTTATTCAAGCGTGCGATGCTTTTACACGCCGCAATTTTCAATATGACAAATATCGTAATATCGATCGAAAGTAGAGTCATGATTTTAATATCATTTATAATACTTATAATTATATTAACTTTAGAACGAGTGTCAAATTAGTAGCTTCCGATTGTTCTTTACATTCTTCGATAATTAAATTCATTTTCATAATTTAGTAGACGACTTTGGGTATCTTCGATATCGAGGATACCCAAAGTCTTTCTTTACTTATTAAAATATATCATTAGATTTACGTGCAAGAAGATATTTCGCGATAAATATATTTTAGAGTCAAAGTAACCTCGTATATTATCTACTATTTTTACTTTGTCACTGCACTTGCCTGTAGTTGTAGTATTTGTAGTTTTACAGATTCAGTGTTGTTCTCTTACTAATCTATTAAGCAAGTTTCTGTTACAGATCAAATTTCTACGGAAGTTTTAGGTCTATAAAGGTAACAATTAAGAATTCTTACAATTTTGTTTGATATTGCTTTGTTCGTGTTTCAGGAAATCATCGTGGGATAAATAGAAGATAGAAGAAAGAAGAAAGAAGAATGTATTTCGTGTATTTTGTTTCAGATTGCTTAGTTTATGTTTTAATAATTCAGATTTATAGTTAGGTAGGATGTAACAATATATTTCAGGAAATCTTCGTCGAAGGATCAACAAGGAAGAACATATTTTCTAAATATTTTGTTAGATGATTAGATAGGTAGGATGTAAATGAATTTAGATTTATAGTTAGGCAGGAGTTTGAAATTTACAGGCAAATTCTTTCTCGAAAAACTCTTTCGTTGGTTGTTTCTTTCGTTGGTTGCACTTTCGTTTATTGCTTCCTCGACCATCGATTATTGGTTGTAAAATATTTTTATTAATGGAGGGTGGTTGGGAATCGGTTAGGGCGGGTCTCCGTTCGCAGCAACCTCCTCGTGGTGAGACCTGGGTAATATTATTTAGCGTTTAATTAATAATCGTATCACTCCTAGATGGGTAATGCAATTATTAATTAAAAACTAAATCGTATTAGCAAATTGGCTGCGATCCGCTTTGCATAGGTCATCATAAATATAGAGCTTCTTCGCTAGGTTAGTTTTTATTCTCATTGATTCATCAAAGATTCTAAAGTATTGTCGTAGACGAGGTATACGAACTGATCTTTCACCCAATGTATTTTTTCGGCCCATTTTTATGGGGTCTCGAAATCCCATTACCATTTTCGTGTCATTCGCAACGTTACCAACAGATTCAGAAATGAATTTTAATCCCTTCCATA